CTGCTGAAGACCTGTCAGAATTGCAGCTGCTGGGCTTTCACGCCATTAACGAGTGAGCTTATATAAATATACCGATAGATACATTTTTGGTGCGAATTTGTTGTCTAATCTCGATTATTTACGCGCACTGCAGTACCGTAGGATTATCGCGAAAAGCCGTCGGACCGATCAACATCGACCGAATATTGGACGACAATATCGATGGCATACGCAGTGGCTTGAGCCCGTTTGATCCATCCAAACTCATAGATCAGTCGTATTATTGGACCAAGAGGATCTTTGCGAAACTGTTCGACGGCCAGGTGAAACGCGTTTCGACTATGTACCGCACCGGTACCTGCACCCTCAATTACTCCAATAAAATCGTCACGGCGAATCTCAACATGGGATGGGACATAATGAGTGTCAGTAGCATTAATATATAATTAGGGCAGTTATTAAGAGTTGTAGTTGATTTGACCTGGTGTTCTTTTGGGTGTGTTTATCAAGCAGTTTCATTACCCTTATTATTACGACGTCTTCCTCTGGCGCGGCCGGGGGACAATTTACGGCACTTTGTCAAATCTCAGAGTGCTCCTCGACATCGACATTAACTTCAGCAAGCATCAGATAGTGTTAAGGAGATTCAAATTCCATGACAACGGGTACGTATCATCCTAATGCATGGTAATCAATTTTTCTTACTCCTAGAGGAAGCTTTGTGATTTACATAAAAATCAAAAGCTAAAGTTATTTGTCACTGATAAAAAGCGAGCATTTTGATATAATTTTGCTGGTTCAAAATAAATTAATGCAACTTCGGTGTGTAGTCAATTTGTATTTCAGCACTTATCACAATAATCCAGAAATATTAGAAAAATTAATTTTAACGTAGTGATCTTATTCGATAATTAACCACTGGCGGGATCCATTCGCTCAAGGGAGCGTGTTTGGAGCTCCGAGACCACCTAGCGGCGAAAGTGTGAAGTAAAAGTTTGGAGATATGTTCGGTAAATGAAAATGACGTGTTGTAAATTGAACAAGTGGTATTTATTCAAAGTCTTCCTTCGATTATTCAATTCTTCAGTTACCTATCCCAGCAGTCATTGCAACGTCTCTGCATCGTCCCGTATCTCTCTCTTGCTCGACGCGTGAATAAAATTGAATTTGGTATAACGATTGGAAAGTGAAATTATGTCATGATGACTACATATGTCATGCACATAAAAGACCCCCTCTACGACGCTGGACTTTCTATTTTTCACTGTGTGCATAGCTCGCGCCACTTCTATCTCGACCTCGTGTTTTTTACATAGACAGTACAAGTTACGAAGCGGCAGCGTGAACATTTTTTAGGAAGATCTCATCCGCAGCAGCAAATGATTTTAAAAATAATCTCAAATTATAAATGATTGTGTGTTGTGTGTGAGTTAACAAAATGTTTCAAATACACCTGTATGGTTCTATAATACAACAACAATTAGCAGAATTGCACAGGTTACGAGATAAGATTATTTGGGGGACTGAAACAAAGCTACCCCAACTTTTTTGTCGATTCAACAAATTATTCAGCAATTGGAAGGGCCAACTTCCAAATCTTCTAGATGTTTTTTCGAGGGAAGAGATTGAGGATCTTCTCATAGATTCCATAAAAGACGTGCATAAAAGCAGAAATTCTTATGAGGGAATATATTTCGTCAATTTTGTGATGCAAAGCGGTTACAAGGACGAGCCCGTCGTCGATAAAAACGGTAAGCCACTGTTGCGTCGCACCACTGCGCTGCACTATGCGACTAGGCTAATGTTTGACAAAGTCCTCGTGAGTAAACTTTTCCAAATATATAATAGATTTGATGTGAATTACACGGACATGTTGGGTCTAACCCACTTTCACGTGGCCTGTGAGTACGGCTTTAGGGACATCGTCGAGAAATTTCTCGATCACGGTCAAGATCCCAATTGCCTTGTGACATTGACGGGGGATTCGCCGCTACACGTGGCCGTGTTCCGGTTATGGAGCAATCGAAGATTGGCGCAGTTGCTGCTGAGAAGAGGCGCCGATCCGACATTAATCAATGCAAGAGGAGAGACTCCTTTGGATATCATTTGCAAGGGAGACTGCGACGATGATGTCTTGGTGAAGATGTTATTCGAGATCGGAGACGAAAAGCATCAACTGGTGAAGGTCGATGACCTGCTGCAATCAGCTGTGGTTAACGACCTCTTCTACGTGACCAAATTACTTCTGAGAAGAGGCGCCAATCCAAATACATATGACAAAGATAGAATGTATTGGACTCTTTCTCGAATTTTCGAAAATTTTTTCGACGATGACTTGTTGGAGATTATATCGGAGATGATCGATGAACCACTTCGGGCGATACCAATTGACACTCAGGGAAGGTGGGGTCAACGCGATACAATGTTGCACTTGGCTGTGCGCAACGACAAAAAAAAGGCAGCCGAACTGCTGCTGAGAAAAGGTGCCAACCCGAATTTGATCAATCTTTTTGGATCAACTCCTCTGCACATTATTTGTCAGACACATCGCAATGGTAGATTTTTGGAACTGTTCTTCAATATCATCGAAGACATTCGGCAGTCTGTGCAGCTCGACGCCCGCGACCATTGGGGAAACACTCCATTGCATCTTATTTGCAAGGGAAAAATCAACGACGACGCGGTGAAGATATTCTTCAAGATCTGCGACGAGAAACATCTGCCGGTTGAGGTCAATGCTGTGGACAACTTGGGCCGGACACCACTACATTGGGCCGTGGCGAGTCTCTTATCGGATGCGGTCGATTTACTCTTGAATCATGGTGCAGATATCTCTTGCTTCGTTTTCCCCACCGAGGATTACTACGGGGCGAGATTCAACCCGGAAATAAATTATTTTTATAAAAATAAATTGATAATAGCGTCTGAAGCTCTGGCCACCCTTGACAGTCTTGAGAACAAAGGATATGAATTAGACCAAAGCAGCGCCCTGACGGTCATGAAATTTTTCGCCAAGCACGGATTGCTGGAGACATCGTCGGGTCTCGAAAAATGTTGGTACGACGAGGAAGAGTTCGCGACCGAAGCCAAAGAGATAATGATAAGACTGGACTTGTCGCTCTACGACCTGGTGCAGTTACAACCCGTAGAAGCGGCAAAGCTGATTACACGCAAGGAATACAGCGAGCTCGCCCGTTCAGTCCCATTATGGGATCGGATAGAACAGATGAGACATCAACGGGCTTGTGTTTTGCATCTGCTCGAGAAAATGTCGCGAGGATTTTTCCGGGACTGGGCGTTAGAATCTTTCATGGAACTGACGAAATACCGACTGCCACTCGAGTGCAATGAAATCATCATGGAGAAATCATTAACGAACAAAGATTTGTATAATATTTGCTTGGCGGCTGCAGGACCACCCATCAGTGACGGCAATAGTAATAGCGATAGTAATAGCTATGAAGATAACAATTAGCGATATTAGTAGACGTATTAATAGAAATAGTAATAGCTATAGTTATTAAAAAATGTGTACAAAATAGAAACATTTCTTTAAGTTTGTTATTTCAACTATATAAAATAATCTATTATATATTTTAAAGTTTTCACAAAAAGAGAAGTTAAAATTATAGCATGTTATAACATGTTCCATTTCATATCAAAATTACCGATATAGTTAAATAATGAATTGAAAGTAATATTAAAAAAATATGATTTAAATAAATATATGACCTAAAGATTGAAGGAAAAGAGAGACTCGACAAAACAGACATACTCTTAATTATCTTATTCTTATGCACGATTCGTGACTTCTTTCCTTTTTGTGGCCGACTCGGGTGGCATTGTATTAATGAACAACTTCAGTCTTGGGATCGCCGCTTAGTTCTCCGCGATATTTCCGAACCAACGCTGGAGTCTCTCATTTCTTTCATTTGGCTAATTAGAAGCAACTCTCCTAGCATTTACCATTTATTTATCGCCACTTTCTATCCCCTACGTCTCAAACGATAGTCATAATAATAGCGATGTAGTTAAGCAAATTCGCAGTATTTTTTTTATGTCGATGTTGTTTAATGTTGCATAATATTTTTAATATGAATCTAATAATAAATAAATTTAAAATATGAACATCCCCTTTTTTTTATTGACAAGGCATGAAGATAATTTGAAGTAAGAGATCTTACATTGTGCGTGACCTACATTAACGAAGAATTGATATTCAACGTCTCTCCTCAACTATTCAACAAATTCAACATTTAAACAATCACTCATTGAACATTCGTTACTAGCCGAGCTATACGCACGAACACAAATTTTTTTCGATTGTTTTGAATGTATCTTATTGTACATTATTTTAAGTTTAAATTTCGACCAGATGAATTATGTTTTCTTCAGTATTATCTAGAAATGAACAACCTATAAAGTATGATATTAAAAAAATTCGTTTTTTCGTCTAATGGTCAGGTTTCAAATATTTTTTTCAAATGAGAGATTAGTACTAAGATTGTTGCATGAAAATTGGAGGAAGCTCTTTGCCAATGAACTGGCAGCGAGTTTTTATTATTTTCGTTCATATCATTCGCAGAAAACTCGACGTGTCGTCCAACGGCTTCTGGACCAATGCCATCGTGAAGATCGCCATCTGGCTAACCCATGACGCGATTCTGCGCCAGGTCCAGATCATGGCCAATGACATAGTGGCTATCGGGGTCAACCGACTGAATAAGCAGATCGACCCGGATCACATACCCTTTACCTACGTCAATCTTAGCAAAATGAACGATTCACGTCTCTTTTTGAGTCTGCAAAGCCTGGGGCACAAGTTCGCCGCGGACGAGTATCACCCACACGATGTTTCATTAAAAATGATCAAAAACGAATAAAATATTCTGTTAAATTTTATGAGCAAGTAATTAAATTTTCATAAGATCTATAAACAAATTTCTAAAAAATTTCCATCGCTGGCGAGGTAGCTTTATTTGAAAAATTTGATAATAAAAAAAATACAATCATGATTTTATCGTCAATATTTTATTTTTACATCAACATTTTTACACCATACAAAAGGATAAAAATTGTTTTGATAATACTTTGGTTTTATCTGACAGTTTAAAATTATAAAAAATATCATTAAAGTAGAGTTAGTTCATTTTTTATATTTTTTAACAAAATAATTCATTGAAAAATTTTTAAAACAATACACATTAATTAAAAGATCTATAATTAGAACGAAAGCTACATATATTTATATATTTATGTACAAGTGTGAATTAAAATAAGTCTGAAAAAACCTGTTCATAGATTCATTCAATTAAATATCAATAATTTCATTAATGAAAGATGTTTCATTTTTTCTTTATACATAGTGGATATATACAAGTTACAAATCAGTCACTGGATCGGATGGAATATTGGCGTAATTCACATCTTCATCGCTTAATTCAGGTGACAGATTTAACACATTTAAAAGTCCGCTGTTTATCATCAAAGGTATATTGGCTTTGCTCAAGTTAGATCTGGATCTTTGTACTTTATCACCGTTAAATTTATTTTCACTATTTTCCGCTCCTGCAATAGTTGTCGGCAAAAAGGTCACCGATGAGTAGGAAACCGATGGGGAAATGGCAATGGAGTTGTTGCTTTCGGCGTTCAATCGTTCCCAGTCATCGAGAGCTTTTTTCTTTATCCTTCTGTAATCGCTAAGCGACGATACAGATTCTCTGTTTACGACTAATTTGGCATAAGAGCTCGAAGGCTTAATGTTATGGTCTCCTAAACTGGCGGTCGACGATCTTTTATCCAACAAATACGTAGTTTCTATTTTTTTATTCGTTCTATCGAGACTAGCACTGGACGAGCTACACGAATCGCGCTTATCATCGGCCGCGTCCTCTTCGTGAAGCAACGTACTGGTTGATCCATTAATACTACTGGCTGAGCCTTTGTCAGTGCTTACTTCCGCTGCACCGATTTCACTGTTGCACAATTCGAGATATCTACTTTTATCCATGGCGATGTTACCGATCACAACTGGTATGGATTTCGGCACTTCGTATTGCGCTCGAGGATCTCTTGATTCACTCGAATCCATGTCATCGTCCATTATTAGTGAATTTTTAGGTCTAATGGTGGGTTTTGATTCGTCAAAATCGCTTTGAAACGATTGTCTGCTCAAATCACCTTTGCTGTACTTATAGGCATTACCTAAAACAGATTAATGTCAGTTGAAAATCTGAACAGGATAAAAAATGCAAGATAATATTATTATCAACAAACCAAGGAATTGGCCCGTATTGACGGGGCTTAAGGTGCCATCTTCGGTGCTATTTCTTAGCATAATGATTTGATCCAAAATGATTCTGAAACTCGGCCTCGTTTCTGCCAAACTCCAGCAACGCAACATGAGCTGATGCAATCGCGGTGGACAGTTCAATGGTTTTGGTAAACGGCCTCCGGCGCGAACGTGATGCAAAACCTCGAGATTCGTACGTGCCTGATAGGGTTGCTGTCCCAGAGATGTGATCTCCCACATTATAACTCCAAATGCCCATACGTCGCTTTGCGACGTAAAAACTCCATCGACCAGAGATTCAGGTGCCATCCAGCGTACAGGTAGTAGACCTTCTCCTTCCTACAAAGGAGAGATTATTTAATATATAATACATGATACATTTGCAGACAAATTCACGAATGAATTCCTACCTTTCTGTAATAATCGTTTTTGTAGATGTCACGAGCTAGTCCGAAATCACCTATTTTGACGACGCGATTATCTCGATCACGCGCGGATACGAGACAATTGCGACAAGCGAGATCTCGGTGAACAAAGTGTAGCTCTTCGAGGTAGCGACAACCTCGAGCAACGTCCTCGCACATCGACAACAAGTCCTGGAGACGCAGAGCCGAATCATCGGTAGGTTTCAAAGATCTACTGCTTCGGAGATAACTTAATAGATCGCCTCCCTCCATCAGTTCCAATAGTAGCAGCGGAGAGTCCGAGTCTAAACAAACTCCTATTAGTTGCAACACGTGCTTGTGCTGAAAGTGACTCATCAGTTTGGCTTCTTGAAGAAATTCATTTTTCTCTTGGCTCGAAGCTCCTTTGCGCAGCGTTTTTACGGCAACGGGTGTGCATTTTTCTGGGTTTTCCGAATTTTTTACAGTGCCTTGAAAAACTTCTCCAAAAGCTCCACTGCCTAGAAATTTCGCAAGAGAAATTTGTTCCCTCTGGATTTTTGGTAACATTTCAGAATCGTCGGTTTCTGATTCCACAGCGGCAACGTAAAGTGCATTATTTTCGATAAAATTGCCTTTTGGAATTTCCTTGAGCGTTGCCAATTCGATGTTCAGTTTGGTTTTATTGGATGGCTTATTTTTATCGTCTTTGGATTTTTTACGACAAGCTGTTCAGACAAAGAAGTAATAATGAAATCTTTAAAAATTACTTGATCATATTTTCAATAAAAAATTACTTACAACAAAGGCAATAGCTGAAACCAACGAAGATAATTACTACAATCGGAATGCTTATTCCAAGAATCAGTTCCATGTTTTCTTGAGCTATATTGAAAGCTCTTCTTATTTCCGTAAGATCAATTACTGTGCTGACTTGACTCCAGTTGCTGAATCCAAAATCATTTTTTGCTCTTACTCGGAACGAATATTTTTGTTGCAATTTTTGTGGAACGTCCCAATAATTTTCTGTTCCATTGTAATAAACATTCCATTCCGTGTTGTTAGAAACTACTCCTGAATTAGTGATTGTTCCTTCGAGAAAGTACTCTATTATGTGGGAACCAAGACTTTTAGCCGGTGACCATCGTACTTGATATCTCGAGTTTTCTAAATTTATTAGATATGGACAGCCTGGTTCTGTCGGTATGTCTTCTGCAAATAAAATTTTTGATATTATCTCTCTGCTATATTATGCCAACAAGATTGACTATTGACTATGAATGAAAACAAAGTATTTACCTAAAGTTTGATACGTAAATCGTTTGTCGTTTGGCCATACAAAATCTTCGGGGTAATTTTTATATCTAAGTACTAATCTAAAAGTGTAATGCTCATTAGCTAGTAAATCTTTAAGAATATAAATCAACCTATTGTTAGTATCGAACACATAATTCGAGGCAGTCTGCCAATTTTCTTCGTCAGTCTTTGTAAACTCGAGCATGGAACTCGACAATAATTCGTTCATAGGCACCCAGCTGATGTTCAGTGCGTCCGAATGAACGCCGCTCAACGTTAAATCATTCGGCTCAAGGTGCATTCGCAGAAGCTTCACCTCGCTTTGGCTGAAGTTGTCGGTAAAATTTTCCGGATACGCTCTCACGTGCACGAAGTACTGTTGTCCCGGCGCGAGCGGATGAATCAAAGCCGAAAGTTCGCCGTCTCTCGCCCATGCCTCGCCGGTCTCGGACTCGTTCGAGTGCGACTGCCAGAACAGCTTGTAGCGCACGTACTCGGCGTTCCACTGTCTCGAGTGGTCCCACTGGGCTTGCGCGAGATTCGGCGTCAGCGACGAAACTCGCAGATTTTCTGGAGCAGATGGCGTGCCGGGTCCAGTTTTCAGTATGACTCCGGGCCCGTTCTCGTCGACGTGTACGAAATCTTGGTCTCCGTAATAATTGGTCAGTGTCAGCTTGAATCGATACTCGGTAAACGGCTTCAAATCGGTCGCCTCGAATATCTTCAAATACGTATTGAAACGAATTCTCTCTTGGTCATTGACGCACTCGTGATCGAGCGTTCTATTGTTTAATTTAGGCTGGCATTCGGTCACGTCGATAGTGTACAGAGTGGCGGGTAAGTTGTACTTCATGCAGCCGAGATAGGCACACGGTTCGGGCAGTCTCAAAGTGATGCTGTTCGCACTCGTCGATACCATTTGCACGCTGGACGTGGATGCTTGCGGCAGAAGACAATCGGAGTCCGGATAAGGTTGCAAGGACTTGCCAATCGCCCGTATGCTTCTGGCGTCTCTCATCGGGTACTCTCTGATTAAACCGTTTTCCGTTGTGCTCGTTTTATCGATGTAGTAAATTTTTCCCGTCACCATACTCGACCAATAAATATAATTGATGTCCGTGGTGAGGGAGAATGGAGCCGATGGGTGATCCGGGCTCGTGTCCAGCACCAAGTCACAAGTGCAGCCTTCGATATCGGCGATGTATAGCTGACCTTCGGCCGAAATCCAGTACATAACGGGACTTTGGGGATCCGTATTGTCGATGGTAAATACCGGTTGAATAGTCGGACGAAATGGACACGAGCAATCCTCGGTATGATTGAAAAACGATTGAATGTTTCCTCCGTAAAGATCGGATTGCATGACGTATCCAAGATCGCTCGAACTCAATTCCATCCAAAATAACGATCTGAAATTCAACGTGTAAATTAATATCAGCAGATTTTTATTTTTTTTTATAAAATAATTTTGTGCACAAAATTTCGAGGAAAATTAGGTAAATAACGAACTTGTTTTTGAAAAGTGAATTTTTACCCTGTTAGTGGAGCGATGTCGAGATTGACAATTCTTCGACTTCTCGATAATATCTTTGAATATTGAAGTATTCCAGCTTCCCAAATACTGATATCTAACTTCATAATATGACTTATTCCCGAGTCGTCGAAATTCGATTCCACCCAAAAGAGATTCCTGGATATCCAATCGACTGTCAAACTCAAGGCAGGGTTGTTGAGAGTCAAGATTTTCGTGATATTTTTACCATCCACATTGGCCGTCACCAACTCTTGCATTTCATTGATCCAATAAATTTTAGATTCGGTAGCCAAATGAGCGACCTCCACTGCTATATGCTGAGTAATCGTAATATTCGTTCGTTGATCCAGATCTATTTTCTTGACATCTTCCACTGTGGCAATGAGCAGTTGAGGCACTGGATTTTCGTCGTTTGTTGCGGCGGATGTAGGATCGGTGTACGGCCCGGAACCCGCTTCGGACGACGCACAAACTTGAAAGTAATAAGTCGAGTTGGCCTGAAGTTTGTGGATTTGATACTCCAATTGCGAAATCGGCAGAGATACGGAATCACAGATAGGGACCTCTATGTCTTCGACTAAAAACCAGCATTGAACTGTATATCCCGTTAATAAACCATTTGCAAATTCGGGTTTGTCCCATCTGAAAATTATCACGGTTGTTATGAAATTAATTTATTTTACAAAATAACAACTGATAATTCATTCGAACGTCTTACCTGAAAGTAACAATGTGATCTTCTTGTTCCGCCAAGGGATCCCTGTAAATTTCAACAAAAGTTCTGGGATTCGTCGGCTGACTCGGTACACTCTGGGGCGACCTCAGCACTCTACTGACCCTCTGAGCCGAGTCCCAGTAGGTATAAGCTCTGACTGTGATCTCCAGCAAAGAGTAGGGAAGCAAGCGATCGGCGTTGGCGTAGCTGACGCTGTTGCGATTCGAAATCACCGGCTGCGTGGCCACGTTGATGTAGTCCGCGAAGCTGACCTCGTAAAATACTCGCCCGTAATTGGTATTGTTGACGGCTTGCCACGTGACGTTGAAGTCGCGCCAATTACCCTCTATCCTGATGCTACTGACGTTTACCGCTTCCGGACGAACGACGAGTCGAGACATTTGCCGATCGAGCGGTGGTATTGGTGTTTTCAATGTGAGACTAGAGAAGCTCGCGTTCCATGGCGTTTCCAACGCTAAGGCCGATTTGAATTTACCAGAGACATCCGAGGCCATAGCTGTGTTTGGCGAGGAAAAAAAGAAGAAACGCTCGGAGATATATGATAACGATGGACCATACACATTTTGTATCGTCGAAACCTAGTAAAAAACAATTTAATTTTAGATTTTGAAAGGATAAAAACCAGCAAGGTATTTCGTTCATAGCTTTGAAAAAAAACTTACCAACTCGGGAGGAAAATCTCTATCGGTTGGTAACATGTCAGCGGTGAATGATCGATACAATTTAAAATCTTTCTCGCCGTCTCCTACGATCCAATAAACAAAACGATTTTCCAAATCCAAAGTTAATCCGGAAACTTGTAGACCATTGAAGTTGTAATCGTGGCGGTATCGATGCCTACTTTCGCCGTTCAGACGAGCAACTTCGATCGTTCGACTCGTCGCCCAATACACGTGAGCTTCCAACGAGTCGATGATCATTTTTTTCACTGCTCCAGTCTGTACCACTGCTTCTTGCAGCTTGCCGTTGAAATTCGATTTCATAATCTAGTTAGTTAATAAAAAATAATTTATAATTCTTATTTTCAATTTTCAAATTATATGAGTAAAACGAGTAACGTACCAGTTGTTTGTCTGGGTCGAACCAATATATTTTTTTTGTAATCCACTCTACTGCGACGTTACTTATCGATGCAATATTTTCAACCAAGATACTTTGATCGCTTGTGAAATTGTAGTGTATCAATTTGAACTGACTCGTGACCATAAACAAGGAATCTTCGTACCAATGAAAATCGGTAACGTTAATGTCATTGGCCACGTTCAAGTCGGTAAAATTTAACACAGTTTTTACGTTCTGTCCAATCAAATCACTCTGAGCGAGACTAGTATTACCGAGCCATAGAATGGACGCGTCCGACTCCTTTCGCAGCGTTTGCACCTTGAATTTGCTCGAGTAAGGACCGTCGCCCGAGCCGGAGCAGGTCGCGACTCTGACCGTGTACAGCGAGTGCTCGCGCAAATTGTCGACGCTCTCCTCGTAACCGTCGAGGTCTCGAATGTGAATGATCTCTCCGTTGCTGTCGTCCTCGATGAAGAGCGCGTAGGTCCAATTCTGCCAAGCCGCCTCGCTCTGATCGCTCGCGAGCTCCGGCTTCGTCCAGGTGATTTTGGCCCGATCGGCCGCGACGAGAACTTGGACGTTGGCCGGAGGTGATTTGGGCCAAGGAATTGGCTGACTTTCCTCGCTCAGCGTGTGTAGATTTACGAAACTTTCGTCGACTTTGTTGAAGAGCACGTGAGGCGTGTACTTCTTTTTCAGTGGCTCGAACGATTCCGAATAGATTTCCTCTCCGTTGGTCCAGTAAAATAATCCGTTTGCGCTCGACAAAGAGGTAACGTTGTTGAATCTCGGTTGCTGGGCGTCCGTTCGAACGTCAATGACAATTTTACCATCGAAGGAAACGTGCTTTATCGTATTTTCGGATTGATACGCCACCAACAATCGCCGTTCAGCATAATCGACAATGAACGCTCCGAGGTTGGATTTTTGTACAATATGTTCTGGCTAAATAACGTAAAAAGGCCTCGTTAAATTCAAGTACTTCGAGTAAATTAGTTCAAGTTATTTTATTTCAATACCTTAGCTACTATCTGCTCTTGGACATTCTGTAAATCAACTTTGTAAATTCCATCGGCGGCTATCCAGAAAAGGTAACCATTCACGGAATCTACTTGCAAAGAAGAGGGCTGATTATTCAATTCCGATACTACAAGCCTCTCATTGGTTCCATCCAAATCGTAACTATGGATCTCCCAGTAAGCAATGTCGTCCTTGGAGCCAGACACGTAGAGTCTTCGATTGAGCCAATCGACCGAGAGCAGCCACGGTCTCAAGTCGTCCGAGATATTCAGCCTCGTCGCGTTTGAGCCGTTGAACGAAACGCGATGCAAATTATCAGCCGAATCGCTCACGTAGAAAAATGACGAAGACATGTGCAGAGCCACGTCGCGTATCCTGTAGCTACTGGCAAACAGAGAAGTAGCCGACATTGTATCCGTAGTCTGAACGGCTACGACATTCTCACTGCTTATTATCAGTTTGGGTTTTTCTGCTGGATTAGCTGCAAAAAGAGATGAACGGATTAAAATTTAAACATTTAAGCGGGTCTTATCTTATACAAGCTGTGGGCTAGTATAAATTCTTACTTTCTGGTTCTGGTAAAGTTTTCAGGAAGGTAGATGCAGCAGGTCCCTCGCCGTTTTCATTTTTCATCTTCAGGCTGATGGTATAGTTGGAATCGGCGTCCAAATTTTGAAAGATGTAAGTGTCTTGTGACATTGGTATTTCCTGAAACAGATCGAGATTTAATAAATCAAGCTCATTTCGTAGCGATCTTGTATCGAAGTATCTTTCAACTCACGACTCTGATTTGCTGCAGTTGCAAAACATAAGAGTAAAGCGGCCCACTGGTATAGGTACCGGGTCTCCAGTGGACGTAAATCCTGCTGTGATCGACGGCCAACGCCTTGACCAGTCGAGGAGCCGAGCTCGGTGGTCCGCTCGGAGCCGTGAGGATCGACGCACTCGGCCGAGAAAAAATCGCCGCATCGTCGTCGATGGCATTTTTCAGGTACACGACCAATCGGAACTGCAAAATTTTTAACAATCAATGAGTGACGCGCCGTGAACAATCTTGAATTTCATATAATAACAATCGAATAACACACTAACTCGATATTTCGCGTACGGTTGTAGATTGTACAGGGATATTTGGTTATTCCCCAACCAGTTTTGATTATTGCAGTATTTCCACTTCTTTTCCGGGACATCTTCGAGCTTGCATTGAGCAAAGTAAAGCAATTTCGTGTCGTATTGTTTGAGATTTGCATTGCTCCACTTCAACGTTAACGAATTTGACGTCAATGAATCTTCGACTAGATTCGGCGTTGGTGGAACTCCAATATAATCTGCGAAAGGAAAAGTAATGAAACGCTTTTGGCAAGGATAAAAATCATTATTAAACTTGGATATTTAGTAATTATAATTAATTTATTACTTTAACTTGTCGCTGCCTTATAAATTAATTGTAAGGTTATATTGACATATTACGAAGTTATCTGTTTTTTAGCGTAAACACACATCACGCGTGAGTGGTGCGGGAGTGTCTAACCTTTTTTTCGACAACTATCAAAACTAGTGATATAACACCCTAGCGAAAAGTGCAAAAATAGATCGACATGAACCGATGGGTATCGTCGGCGAAGCTGGCGTAAATTTTCTTACAAGCGATTTTTCTGTTTCGTCGCTTTAGGGGCGCGAAATCGATGGACTCACGTAAACGCGAGAATCAGTTCAAAGAATACGAAGCAGGACTGAACGATCTGAAGAAGCTGTTCGACGAGCGATGGAACCAGTCGAACTCGAGCTGCGGCAACGACTACGACGTGCGCCTCGAGGACTTTGAGCGGATGCGCACCCTGGGCATCGGCGCCTTCGGACGAGTCATGCTCGTCAAGCTGCACCAGGACAGCACCTTCTACGCCATGAAGATTCTCGACAAAGTGAAAATCGTCAAGCTGAAGCAAGTACGTGAGCCAGACGAATTCCTTTTCGACAAATTCCATCCAGTAAGTGACGACGACGTTCGTGCGTGTGTGTATGACGCACAGGTGGAAAACACCCACAGAGAAAAGAAGATCCTGCAGTGCATTCGCTTCCCCTTCGTCCTCTACCTGGACTTTTGCTTCAAGGACAACTCGTACATCTACCTGGTGCTGCCCTTCATCAACGGCGGCGAGATGTTCATTCATCTGCGGCACATGGGCAAGTTCGAGGAGAATCTGGCGCGCTTCTACGCGGCCCAGGTCACCATGGGACTCGAGTATCTGCACAAGTGCGAGCTCATCTATCGCGACCTCAAGCCCGAGAACATACTGATCGATCACACCGGCTACCTGCGCATCACCGATTTCGGATTCACGAAGCACCTCAGCGAGTCTAAAAGTTATATTTCTATACACAGCCGAACTCGAGCCGAGAGGGGAATGCAAAAAAAAATATTAAGCACCGAAAATCATTGTCTTCTTATCGTAGGACGTGGACGCTATGCGGAACGCCCGAGTACATAGCGCCCGAGATCATCCTCTACAAGGGCTACAACAAATCCGTCGATTGGTGGAGCTTCGGTGTTCTGCTCTACGAGATGAACGCCGGCTACTCGCCCTTCTACTCGCAGAACCCCATGAAGATCTACGAGAAGATAACCGCCGCCAGGTACAAATTTCCCAAGACCTTCTCCGAGGACCTCAAGGATCTCGTGAAGAATCTGCTCCAGCTCGACCTGACGCGCAGGTACGGCAATCTCAAGGGCGGCGCGCTCGACATCAAAAAGCACAAGTGGCTCGCCAAAACCGACTTCATGAAGATTTATCAGAGAGGCGTCACGCCGCCTTTCGTGCCCAACGTCGCCGGCCCAGGCGACGACAAAAACTTCGATCGCTACGACGAGGAACCGTTGGAGGTTAAGAATCATAATATGTGCGCCGAAGATTTCGCGAATTTTTGACCTTTTTTTTTTATTTTAACCGGTGTAATTTAACTTTCTTTCTTACCTTAGATTAATGGTTGTTTTTTTTCATTTTAAATATAAGAACGCGTCGAGTTGTAGCTTGTAAATAAAATGTAACGAACGCGAATTATTCTGTAATTCGAAAAAGCTAAAACTCACCTCTGATAAGTTGATAGTGTTGACTCAGAGCATTTTGGCAGCCAACCGAGCAGTAAAGCTCTTTCGTCGATACCAGTTGTTTTGTTGCATTCTGAAATAGAAAAATAAAGTTTGTTGAATTTTATCCTTCAAAAGTATGGGTTTGTTTATCAAAATTTTTCATCGTGCCAAACTTACACAAACTTCCTGACAGCTCGAGTCGATCGCTCGCTCCCATAAATTACAGCCATTTGAACACTGAAAGAAAAAATAATCGATTTTTTAATTCGCATAATCGGACGATATTTCTCTAAAGTTTAGACGTAAATCAAAAGAAAAAAAGTACCCAGCTGATACTTTTAGCAGAAAGATTTTGTCTAGTTTTACTACGATAAATCTAGTTCGCCTCATTTAAGTTTGAAATATTTTTACAAATTCCCTTATAAAAATTCAGACAACCTCTCTGTGGTTCGTATTAAATTATCTATTTTTTTTTAATTTTTATCTTTCTTATTCAAGAAAAAATAGACCTTGAATCATAAATGCATCTATAATCACGTACGTTGCGAATAATGAATCTACTGTGTCATAAAAGTCACTTGAAATTTCTGTTAAAACATGCAACGATATTTTTTTTAGCATGAGATTTGCTTTATAAATAACATGAAAACGTGGAAGCTCGACTTGGATAAATGCTCGTGTGATAAGAGTTACGTATCAAGTGCTTAGGCAGAATTCACGCATGGTATATTAATATCCAATAAGCTGAATATCCATTAACAGATCGAGCGACTTTGTAATCATTAGTTCAAGTCAGCCTCTCTTTCGTACATATCCGCGCGCACACACCGAGCGGAAGCTGAATGTCATTGTTGTCGGTACATACGTAAGAAGGGGGAGTCTGGCGTATAGAATTGATATTTTCGAACGATGCCAGATGGATTAATTGTGCCAAGGGAATACGCGCTTATAGATTTGGAAAAAAAAGGGAGCAAAAATTTTTCGTATTCATGAATCGAAGAATTGAAAAAACTTACGTGATCGATTCTGCATCTGAAGTCGCAATCAACGTCAAAATCCGCATCGTCTTTGTCGTCCTAAAAACAAATCGGATGATTTACTTGCATGAAAAAGTCTGTCTACAGTGTGCATTTGAATTATTATTCTCTGTCTACTTCTTAATGCAATGAATTTTTCGACTTATTTGCATGAATGACATAATTTACGTTCGTATACGCTTGGCGCATAATTAAAATAAATATGCGCAGCAAAATTGTGATCTTTGAGTCTTTCTCACGCAGCGTTGCAATTATGAGCGCGTACATGGGGCACTAGGCTGCAGATAAAACTTCTTTACTCATGTGAGAAAACGTTTATCGAGTCGACGAAAGCCTCGACGGAAAAGTTTCGAGCCTTCAACGCGTGGATTTATTTATTACTTTATTACTTCAACGACGGTGTTCATATTTCACTCGAAGATCGAGTTGAATAAGTCGGCGATTTCGCGACGTTTTGTCAAAATACTCATCTATCCCCTTGTCTCGGAAATATATACTTTCGTCTCTAACGATCTTATTTTTGGAGCCGCAATTCGTGGCACCGCTCGGAGCTCGTATACACGCGGCGTATTCGCATGTAGTGGCAGTTAAGCCGATTAACAAAAGGCTTATAGTGCGTGTATGTATCTCGCACGCATCGGTCTCCGGAGACGTCGCCGTCGTCTCTCTTTCTCTTTCCCTCTAAATTGATACGTCCTTCGTGGTTGTTGTGTCGTTGCTTCTGCAAAGCGCAACGACCAAATGAAATTTCGCCGTTGTTGTAACGTATAACTCGTGCTCTCTTCACCCGCGTGTGACTTTTGCCGAGTGAATTTTTGCTCGGACCGTACATTAAATTGCGTGTGAGAATGGGAAATGTCAAAAGAGATAGAGAGAGAGGCGGCGATGGCTCGAATTTACGAAGCGTCGCAATCGATTTAACTTATTTATCTCGCGCCTTTGCTATGGCGATTCCCGAGGATTTTTATTTTATTTTTCTGTCTGCCCGACACACTCGTTGCTCGTTGATTTACCCAAGTGAGATAAACGTAAAATGAATAAAGGTTGTCGGGGAAATGTATCAAATCCACCGAGTACCACACTCGACTGCATTTAAATAAGTTTTGTTTTCGATCTGCATCATTTTTTCACCTATACACAAAAGTACAGAAACAAGCTGCAGTGAATCGGTATGCGTGCAATGTAGCATCGAACAAAAGATCCCCAGCTCTGCCTCTCTCTCTCTCTCTCTCTCTCTCTCTCTCTCTCTCTCTCGTTCACTCGGAGCGAGCAGCAGTTGAGAAAATAAAAAAAGAAACGTAACGTTGTTATGGAAAAAGCTGGCAGAAAAGAGGAAGCCGCTCTGCTGACCCCGCATGGGCCGTCGCCGCGGTAATTGCGCCGACTGATCAACGATGCGTGACATACGCGATGCAACGCAGCAGCTCTCGCATCATACGTATGTACGTGTAGTGGAGGTGCATTTCGTGCACCGCTGGGCATTAAAATATCATCCGGCGCCTCTTCTATACAGCATAATGCAGGTTCGCGCACGCCATTTCCTCTCTCGAAAAGAGGAGAAAAAAATCGCACCAGCATGGCGTGCTCGGCTCGAAGCGAAAATTATTATCATCGGTGTTCTTTCACGCGCGCGCGCGCCGTTTTAATTTTTAGCGTCTTAATCTTGGCGATGATCGCGCTATGAGCCAAGCTCGTGTAGTCATTGCTCTCGATTTCAGCCGATAAACTCTCGCACGCGCGCGCGAGGAGCAGATTTTTTTTTCTCTCTTCACTCTTCTCTACTCTTGTACGATATACTCTAGTCTAACTCTTCTCTTCTGGGCAGCTCGTTCGATCGCGAGCGCTGACTGTAACGAGGATTACCCGCTCATCGCACGGATGAAATATAATGTTTAATTGCAGCTGCATGACTGCAGTTTAGGTGTTTAAAAGAGAGTGAGAGAATATACCGTATAGGCGCGCGCGCGTGTGTGTGTATGCCTCTGTGACGCATGTATAGAAAAATTTAACGAGAACTAAAGTGAATAAGGAATTTACGCTGCGTTATATAGACGTACGCGTGTATGGCTGGGCACAGCGTACGTATTATATGTACGCAGCACCGCTTCATTAAATGATGCGACGAAAAAAAAAAAAAAAACGAGGAAAAATTGCTGGGCGTAGCGATGGAAAAATGAAATTAACGACGCTTTAAATACCTCGACTAATGCGATAAATCTCCATCTAATCGTGCGCGATACCGCGATGATAATCGGACGTGTAGGAAGATGAAAGCGAGTGAAATCGATTAGATCGTCGTCGAAACAACGATCGCGTCGATTCACAATTCGATCGTTACCAGTTGAGTCTCTCGTGAACCACTGCCATAAATTATATCATGTTTATATGCACGTATATAACGCATGCAGATCGCCGCGTTCAATTTTCTAATACTCTACGCATTACGCGCGCATAACCAGGCCATTCAACTCTCTACAGACATTTCGTATATATAATATATATATAGGAGCTAGCCGAGCGCTGCACTGCACGGCACTTTTCTCATTTCGATCGCTCGGCTATAATCGCGCGCATTCGTCGCGATCGGAAACGTGTGTGCGATACATTATGCATTAGAGGCAATCGACGCTATAACGAAAGAGTCGACGAACGAAATTGTACGAGTTCGCGGCAATTTTGCGAGCTTTCAAAAATTGTGCTCACGCAACAACGTCTTGCCGCAGAGAGCGAGAGAAATAGACACGATATACAGCGTGCGTGAATTTCTCTAGTCCGTGCCAATTGATCGTTAAATTCCATTAAAAATCCTTAACTTGGACATTGCAGGCAGGATCTCGCGTACCTAATTAAACGGTTCGCGCACGTTGTCTATAATATCGGTATATAGGGGGATAAAACTCGTCGACGCGGATCCTTGACCGGCTTATTACGAGATACATTATGACGGAGGCGAGACAGGTTGACCAATATCCTAATTCACGCACGGCCGGCAAGCGTTTCCTTCGATCAATATCGCGCGCAGTTATAAGCTATTCTTCTGCAATTACCGGCATGCCACCGCGTTGCCATGGACCGACGAATGTGTGCATATAACGCGTTAAGACTACTATGCAATGATGAGCATTCTTACCAGGAGATTCGAGGGAGGCTCGTTTCGAGCGCAATAGCTGTGGCAGGCATTACTGGTGATGCCGCCGTTGTCACCACCGGCTGTCAGGGTGTCCTCGGTCGCCGGCACATAGCGGGCCTGTACAGCCGAACAAAACATCAGCAGTAGGAGCAGCAGCATCGGTGTCGAAGCCGCTGCGGCGCGTCCACGGCGGGGACTTTTCCTCCATGGTGCTCCGTTCCGCTCGTCGCCGATTATCATAGTTCTTCGAGTCCGTTTAATATTGTCGCGGCGGCTGCACTCGCTTGTCGCGTCGTTTCAAGATCATTTCCAATTCAACGACGTCACATATAACGAGATAACATTCCACGCATTTTACTCTTTGCTACTTTCCTGGCATTTCTCAATGCGATAATTCATCCTGCGCACCACCGACATCTTCGTAACGACACTTTGACATTCGCGTTTTGCCGCGCAGTTTCACTTTGAAAGAAGATGCAAATAATTTTCACTTTCGAAGAGAGCTCGAAACACAACAACGGAGCACAAAGCAAAAAACACAGCACAGAAGCACGAAGACGAGATCCAGTGACACATCCAGCAGCACTTGTATAGTTACACCACACAGGACGTTCGTCGAGCGCGTCGAATTTTTATTCAAAACACCATGCGCGTATACACGATCGTGGCTTACCGCTGCAGCTTATAACGCGTACTGTATAGCTCGAGAGAGACCACATGCGCGCACGCTAACGCACGGAGCAACGACCAATCTCCACTTATATCCACTGCCGCCCGTGTTTTTATCTCTACCACCACATATATTTAGATTATATACACTGCTATACGTATATACATCGGCGGTGCGGGCACCAAGTCGCTCGACGAGAGCTCGACGGCGTTAGACTGGCGCATAAGCTCTGGGCCGCCGCGTGTGAGAGCCGCAGCCGATCATCGCAACGATCATCGTGCTCCGTGTGTCTCCCTACCATCCTCCTATTTACTCTTGTATGTGTGTGCGCCCCGAGTTCATTCAGACTTTTCGTTCTACACACACACACATATTTATAAATATAGCCGCGCACACATCATACTCCCGTATTATATTTCGCTGTACATTTTTCGGACTGCATAGTATGTACTGCAGATATCGTACGACGTTTGTGTCGTTTGATCGCTAATCATCGGTATAAACGTTATTTTCCCCCAACGACGCTTTTGGATTATCAGCAATTTTTTTTGGACCTCGACTGTCATATTTAGAAGCAAACTTTTAATGGCCCTCTGCGTCGTATAATGTGCAGTCTCAATGTGCAGTGCACCGCGCGCACATGTGCAGTTCGCGGGCTTCGTCGCGATTCTCACGAGTTTATATTTATGTTGCAAACTCTGCCGATTTTTATACGCTTCTCAATAGGATCTCGAGCATTTTGCGGGTCGCAAATAAGACATTGGCAACTTTTCCATTCCTCCAAATCGCTTCCTTTTTCTCGTCTCTTCGCTAATCTACTTGGCGTCAGGTTGTACATATAACAAGGATCGAACTCGAGATCGTGTCCCGCACATAATGTGTTTTTCAAAATAATACAGGCACCCCATGAGAAAAAATATATCTGTTCCATTGCCTTCCACCGCACGCACGCACGCAAAGACCTGCGGACAATAGGTATGGAACTTCGAGGATTCACAATAATGTGCCTATGTGTGTGTGCGTATAATGTGTGTGCTACACACAGACGGAAACCACATGTGTCGCCGGTGGGCTAATGTAAACCTTCCAACATTTTTCCCCTGACTCCGCTTTCAAACATTTCGATCGATTTACATGTCATAAACGAGCATTTCTGTATCGGAAGAAAATCAATCGGTGAAGTAAACTCGTGGCCCTTCCTAAGACAAAGCTATACAATTGGAATGGTATATTAATTACTTCAAGATTGAGATGCCTCATTATAAGCTCGTTAACGGATTGATGTTTCAAAACGCACAATTACGGGCGTCTAACCGCACCGAACAAATCGACGCCCATTGCGTTACGCGCGTTGCACATTACGCACAACTGATTATTCGTGCGTGCGGCGCGCGACACGAGTGACATGGAGAAATCATCTCGAGAGTGAAATTAAAATTGTTTGGAAAAACAATCCCGGCGCGTACGAAGCCGTATGATACGCTCTTCAGGATTTATCAAAAATTTTTATCTCAAACGTATATACGAACACGAATGTCGTACATCCCGCCATCGTAACCCTGAATTTTTGATAAAGTAAAAAAGTAGGTATGTAAGATTCGTAATGAGGCGAAGGAAAAATCATCCCAGATATCGAAATTATAATGAGCACGCTGCGCTATCGCAACGAGTAAAATATAATATTAATAGCGAGTACTGTGTATACGCGGGTATTTCCCACAAGAGTCTCTACGCGGACGAGTCACCCTAATCTTGCAAGCAGTGCACATTTCGAGCCGTCGTTGTCCAAGTCCAACTACAGAGACTGCATCGGAGCTCTCGCTCCCAAGCATATATACCCCCATGATTTTAAATCGAGCAGTCGCTCGTGAAGCGAAAGATGCCTGTATGTCGCCTATGCGACTTTCGAGCGATGCATTATATTATAATGGCACTCAATTATATAATAATATTGCGAGTGAGGAGGACAATATGCCATATGATTGGGCTAATTATTTTTTTTTTTTTTTTTTTTACGTACATTGTATAGGAAGTACGAATGTAACAATGCGTGTCTGGACGTTTGTCCGTATTATACATGCATAAACACGTACTGCACTCGGAGTGCATATGAGCGATTGTCCAACTTTTCGTTTTTATTGGCCGTGACGCGTTCTCAGCCTGAGCTATGCGCGCACGGGCATCAGCAGGAGCAACGAGAAAAGAGACACGAAAGGAACGTGATTATCGTGAAACGAGAGTCGGGAGGAGCGCAGCAGCTATAATGGCAGATAAAAATATATCTATCGTAATGTATAGAGCGAGGCTTTTTTGTTGTGCTATAGAGTTTACGTTAGATAAACGATAATCGTTTTATGCATATTACGTATCTATTTGTTATCGTTTTGACATTTATACTCTGGCATGTGGGACGTTTGAAAAGGAAAAAAAAATAGATTGGGTTACGCCGCGCTGAGGCTGAGCCATGTGTGGGCTCCGAAGATATCAAATGTATGTATCGACGTCATTAGTGCACGCGTAATTGCTTCTTTATGAAATAATTTGAATTTTGTCATCCCTTTTCGGCTTAGCGTGAAAATCTATTTAACGATCGATCTAAAATTAATAGTATGTTTTGTTTCGGTTGTACAGAATACGTAATTATCGCAAGCGCACATCGATGACTCGACTGCAGCAGCTACGATTCGTCGAAACGAACTTAATCAGTGAGATAAACGTTTGGAAAATCATACTCAAAAATAAAAAAATACCGCAACAGTAAGAAATATATCGACCGACGAGACATGCAAAACACGCTGATTTCGGTCTCGGTTATAACTTCTAAGCGGCTTCCTTTTTTTGTGCGAATTCACTTAAACATTGAAGCTTTTTCTATAATTAAACGTGTAACGACTAGATAAAAAAGAGAATTATTTTAAAAAATGGGCCTACAGGTTCTCACTAATCCTGAAGTTATAGCAATCTGTTCGAACGCTGAAATAGTACAATAATATAGTTATAAAATATATTAAAAAGTTTATTCTGTACAGCGTTTAAAATGATAATTTCAATGCAATATGTCTGATAGTTAAATATCAATTTTGAAAAACTTGAGATTTATTTTTTACAGATCGGCCATTTTAGAAATTATTATTTACATATAATACACAAACTGTCCTGTGTCATTTTAATGAATTCTCTAATTATAACTAACTGGTTTGTTTATCAAGTTCCAATGCAGCATACTGTTCTTCGTCAACTTCAGATAACATAAATTCTCCGTTAGACCTCTTAAAAAGTACTCTTCTTATTCCTTCTGAAAATTTCAATGAAACCATTAGTTGAAATAATTACATAAGATAATAAAAAAGTACTATCGTTAAGAATGAGTTCATCTACTCGAATTAACATACCTGAAGATGGTTCGTCAGCTAGAATCACCTGTGCTTCAATTTGATTATCATTTTCACCTTCGTCACCTTGAATCACCTGCGGAGTCACAATCTCATAGACACCCATTCCACCTACGACTTTATGATCTTCATTGTCAGGTGTCAACATGGTTTCTGACTTTTCTTTCTCCTGCTTCGTAATTGTTACAACGTGTAACAGTGGTTCACCGTCTGGTCCTAGAGTAACTATCATTGTACGACCATCTTCGCGTTTTTTACTGACTCGGTACACCACACCATCGTAGCCAGTAATCGTTACCCATTCAATGGGGTTTTCAAAGTTGAAATTGGATATAAATTCAGCATAAGCACCGGTGTTCTTTTCTCGCGTACTTTTCAAACAATTCGCATCTTCGTTGACCATGGTTCTTTTACTAACGAACGAACACAAAATCGATTAAAATTTGGAATAATTGTTTGTTTTTTTTTAACAAGAATCACTAGTCGCTACAGTCGATTCGGTCTTTCTTTCCTGTTTACACAGCAACGCGTGTAACAACTATACTGATTCAGCAATTCAGAGCAATATATCGACATGTCACGTGCGTGTGAATTTCGCAGCAGAAGAGAAAGGACAGATTCTTGGCCCTGACGAGCGCCGACGAATGACAGCGCGCCAAAGATTCTACCTCGGAGGCGTTTACGCAGACCTACGATTATTGCGCTCGGCTGCTCTTATTTCATGGATTAACTCGTTGCACTAACCCAACGCGCATAAAGAAGTTTCACTTCGAAAGTACTTCGAATTCACCGACTTTCGTTATCGTTTTCTGACAAAAATGAGCGAATCAAGAATACACCGCGGATTACTTTTAAACTATGCTTTAAAGAGTGTTTCTTGGCGCGTAGACAAGACGCGAAAAACATTTGATCTCTATGAGTTATTATAGGAACATCAATATTTTAAAAATTAATATTAACTTTGGTTTATGACCAAAGCCTCCGCTGTGCCCTCAGCATTATTATAAACTAGGCATCGTGCGTTTGGGTTTTGATTATTCAAAGTAACAAGTTATAAACATTTTGAAGTAAAGATAGATGCGACAATCACTTCGATGGCCGGCAGTCCCATATTCCGAGACCTCTGAAAAAGTCTCAACTTCTTTACCCGAGCTTTCACTGCTCATATAATCATTGAAGGTCTTTGTTTACGCCTCGTTGTCGATCGCAAAATCTAAGAGATTCGACGACGCGATGAAAGAGGATCCACCAGAATCATCCTCCGCTGCAGAATAAGAGGTAGTATTGTATAAAATTCATTCAGCTTTCATTCAAACTCATGTCAACTGTTTATTGAATAGTCAATTACATTGACTTATCATCCCCGGTTTTACAATAAGCACATTTTAACAAACTAATTACTAACATTTTCAAATGATGCAAGTTTTTAATAGTGTTAATATTTTGCCCTTGAATCCAGTGGAATCAACATATGCAAAAAGCCAATTGAAAATAAAAAATATATATTAACAGCTAGAAATACATGGACCGACATAAGACAAGTAAAACATGCAGATTTTGGTCTCGGTCATAAAAGTTTCTGAGCAGCTCCCTTTTTTGTATTTATTCACTTAAACATTGAAATTTTTTATGAGCTTGCATCACGCCATATTTTAAGAGAGCGAATGATCTTGACAATCAGCTTATCGAAATCATCGCAAGTCTAGTTGATACAAGTCTAGTGATTACATACATAACATACATAACATATTATGCGTGAGGAAAATACGTTAGAATTGTATACGATAGAGTTTCACAAAAGCACGGCCTGTTTATATTTTCCGGCGATAAGTTTACATAACTACAACGATAAATTGTTCACGAGCCAAGAGCAAATCTCCACTGTGTCGAGATAAAATTGGAGAAAAAATACAGAGAGACGACGAAAGTAAAATAGACGCGATGATTCGCGCTTACAGAATTAACTAGCGTATGATAATTTTCGTGTCGCGTGTATTAGTGTATAATATACTCGAGCGTCGGGAGTAAAAGCTCACGATGTGCCACTGTATTTTATATTGTATACGAGCGCGCGCGACTCAACGTTGTAAAGCGATAAACGAGCCCGATGACACATTATTTGCGCGCGCCTACGTTTTCTTGCCTTTTTTTTTCACTTATACTTTCTTTCTCTTACAGCTGCGCTGTCCGGCGTATAATGTAAGAGAATCGTCGGCGCGCGTATAGAAATGACGAACGAGCTTCGTCGTCGCTGGGATAAGCGTAATAGGAACTCGCGCGTGCAGCGTAGTAGCTCTCGGAAACGCAAATGTTAAGTATGCATACCCCCCCCCCCTTGCGTATATCATGTATTAAAACTGCGATGAGGCACACGTCGATGGGTAAGAGAGAAGTGCACCGTGCTGATGTTCAGAAACTGATGCGCGATTAAAAAATAGGAATAAACAAATAAAGTGAAGAAGTCGTTACGAAGCAACTTTATGGCTCGACGAAACTTTTGACTCGTCGTCGGAATTTACAAACACGTAGAGACGTGAATGTATAAAATCGTATAAAAAAAGAATCTGAACAAGCGTGAACGGTATATGTTTAGAAAGTAGAAGAAAGGAACTTGCGACAAGGTTTACGTAGGCTTTTTTTGTCGACCAAGGCAAATATATAACGACGAAACTCACTTCCCCGAGTTATTTAATGTTCCGTACGCGAACTGCGCCTCACAATGAAAACGAAATGATCCGCCGAATATAATAGAAATAATTAGAAATCGACCTGTTGCCGCTTATTCATATGCAAATTTTGCGCGCGTGTCTCGTGTCTCCTCTAAGAAGGTACATTATATACACTTTGAATAAAAAAAATATATAGCCTGTACGCGATCTAAATCGAATTTTCCATTGATTCCATGATAATGAGATATCCCATTGTCCAAGAGGCGCAAACACAAATATACACGCCGTATGACTCTAAGTTAATTGCATTCATCGAATAAGTATACAAAAATAGTCGATCGTCGAATAGATCAACGTATCAAGCGGCGGTATATACGTGTACACGTAATTAAAAGTTGAGCGCCTTCAAAGAAACAATGACAGCTCTTTTCCTTCGTTTTTCTATTGGCCTCGTCGAGCCTTTATCAATCGCGCACGCAAACAGTCCGAGTTTTTATTTGTATATCTCAATCGATTAGATTGTAAAAATTACAGAGTCTAATCGCGGGAACAATGATCGAGAGCCGATACGGAGTGGGCGATTATATCCGAAATTACTGTAAGGCTGCACGGATGTGATCCACTCGAGCCCTCTTGACAATATACCTATATAAATTCGTGCGCGATACAGCGAGAGCCCGACAAACATCCTCAAATCGCGACTCTAGATTTTCGTTGCTTTATAGCATTTCCCCCAAAAGCCGACAAAAAGATAAACACGCGGTGGATCGCTTCCAGTGTGTAAACCAAAAATAACACCTTAAATGTGCCTATGCGTGGCTCGCGTTATGTAGCGACAGATTCCGGTGTAGTTTCGAGGGCCAAATAATATTCATTGTATCGTGTATCGCTGCTCAGAAGCTCGAGCAGAGGAAAGCTCGCCCAATAGACAATGTATGCAGAAAAACCCAACTATATTATACCTATGTATCAAGTCGCGCGCGTTTATTAAGCGGCTCGCAAGTAATAGCCGTTTCCGCAGGAAATACAGTTGTGTATATGCGTGCGCCGCGCGGTGTGAGCTGCTAACGGGCCGCTTATGATCGTGCACGACTGCACCGTATCAACGGCATGTATATATATGAGCATTAAGCATGTTCCGCGACTACAGCATGACAAGCTTAATTAAGCTCCATTCGACGATGCTTCGTGCACTGATGCCGTTTAAAATTTTTCCCTTCGAGAGCTTTCTTATTATTATCCGTCTCGAGATCCTAATTTCAAAGATATTAAACCTACTGAATAATACGTGCACCTAATCGAGAAACAATTAACTTGAAAACCCAGAACTAATACAGTGGATTTGAATTAAAACATAGTATAAGCGCGTGTGTGACGTGTAATCGGTAAGTACAGTGAAGCCTGGTTTGTTGTAGGAAGCTTGCTTAACAAGAATAATAATTAGTTATTAGTTACTTAGGCTACATCCAAAATCTATTAAATGGTAAATTTTAACATTTTTCTCCGAAATTTTGATAACTTGCGCGTGTTACTTTGGAATTGACCGCGAACCAAGTAGTGTGAAAACGAATTGACAAGCCAGCATCTTTACATTATACTTTTACGAATCTAACAGATAAACAGAAATAGAACACATTTGCAGGCTTCACTTAAAATTATGATAAAATAAAGAAATCATTGTTTACTTCTGCAAATAGCAACATTTTAAAAAGATGAAATTATACCGACGATGTTTTAATCATCAAAAAAAATCTACTATTTCATCCAAGTTTTATAGATTCAATTAAATTTAAACAAGCTTTGATGAAAGAATGTGTATTAATAGCAAATCCAACAAAATTAAAAAAAAAGAATGCAAAAAAGTATAGAACTCAAACGTAAAAATACAAAGAATTCAACTATCATCAAACTGGCTAATTGCGATTCGGAGTACTCCAATATAGAAACAAATTTTTTGCTATCAACAGACACGTTGTAACGAGTTACACCTAAAATATCATTTTTTTTTAAATAAAAACAGATTTGAAGAGAAACACAAAATATTATTGACGGGACTGAAGTCTTTTTATTTACTGTAACTGTTTATGCGCAGTAATAATTTCACGATTTTATTAGACAATAAAATAACTCAATGAATGAATTTTATAAAAATATTCAAGATTAGTAGTGATTTAATGAATCCATTCTTTACTTTTTTATGCTCCAAATACATTTATGCGAATAGTGCAATTTTTAGAGAAACTGAAAATTAATATCAATGAAATCAAAATTAGCAGCTTTTTCTTGTAAGGCGTATAATTATTTTTAACCGAATGTAAAACTAGTATATTATGTGAAGACAGTTTTTTCGAAAAAAAATCGACCATAAGAAAAATTCCGGAGTTCACAGTCATTGAACTTCTTCTTGACGTTGCATATGAATTAGGTATCGTTTTAAGTGGCAAAGATGCGGGCAAGAATCTATAATAAGGGACCTTACTTAACTGCTAGAAACGAATTCAAGTGTCAATCCATCAATGTACTTAGCCGCAACGACAGCTTCTGCCTTATAATCTACGATTCGATTATAAATGGAAGCGATCGATGTTGTTCAAGACATTTTCACGATGCAACTTTGTTTTGAGAAAGTCCCGTGTCAATCGAAGTTTTTAATATAAAAAATCAGTAATAAGAATCGACGACTGTCAAAATTGTCAAATTGTTCAAAAATTAAGAAATATCGATACACATTTATTCAGTCTACATAAAGTTACAAAAATAAAATAGAATAGAAAATTCTATAAATAAATGTAATATGGGTGTTTTAAAAATGAACTGTTCTCTGTATGGGGGTGTATCAATATGCAGGCGCCATGAACAACTCACCGAGAATTGATGCAGCAGACGAGCGCGAGATCAGTAACGCGAAAAATAGTTTGAAAGCAGAATCACGATTCAAATCCTTTAATAACAATGAGTGAGTGCGTTAAAGATAAAGCAAACGACAAGAAGGAGCTCGATACCACCGATAAAAAAACTTACGCCGGTATTCCTGAAGCAGAGTTTGTGGTAAATATTTCATTTTTATATTCCAAGCGTTAAGTCACTTCAATGACATAACCTGATTACGGTGTGTACAACTCCATATATTCTCTTCGAGTCTTTTTATTGTACTTATAAAATTATAAAATCAATGGTTCTTTTCACTGAAATTATTCAGTACCTCACTTTTATTATTAAAAAATCCCTACAATATATATTGGAGTTTGCATATCGATCAGTAACAAAATTAATCCATTTACCATGTCCATATATGGTTATGAAAATGATACAATTCTAAAATAAAATTTAAAAAAAAGTTAGTAATGCCATTTTTCGTGAATATTACAAATTTCTGTTTTTTTAATTTTCCAGGATGATGTTGACTCTTTTATGGCAAAGCCCGAAAACAATGGGAATGTGGAAATGGTTCTTAGGAAATTAGATGAAGCCCATAGTAAATATAAGTTTATGGAATATAATTTGGTGAACAAGAGAAGGAAGCTCAAAGATCAAATACCTGATCTACAAAACTCATTGAAGATGATCAACAAACTTAAAGTTGAAAAAGAAAATAACAGAGAAATGCAAACACAATTTGTTTTGTCAGAGCAAATTTATGCCAAAGCTGTCATAGCTCCAACTGATAAAGTATGCTTGTGGCTTGGAGCAAATGTCATGCTGGAGTATTCTTTAGATGACGCACATGTATTGTTAACTAATAATATTGAGTCGGCTACAAAAAATCTTGGATATATCGAACACGATTTGGACTTTTTGAGAGATCAGTTTACTACTACTGAAGTGAACATGGCTAGAGTTTACAACTGGGAAGTCAAGAGGAGGAATGCTGGAAAAACAGCATGAAAATATGAAGTAAATTATTTAACAACTTGTCAAGCAAGCTCTGCTACAGTTTAGGCTGATTATTTTGCAATTTTTCTGTATATTGTATGTATGAACTGTTAAAGCACTCTGCTTAGTGAGATAATTTTTTATCAACAATAAATGAATGCAAACAATAAAATATATCTATTTCTCTTTTAAATAATATAATAAATCAATTTCATAGTCTAAATTTCCTTATTTTTATTCATTTTTGTTATTTTTTATGTCTATGTTCATAATATTAATGATGATTATTGATTTCAGCTAGTTATAGAATAAAAGCACAAATCACTGTGCTAGATTCATATTTTTTCATTATTCAGGCGGGTAATAAAAGAGACTTCTGATATCCAAGTAGAAAAGATGCTTTATTTTGTTATGTTTTGGCATAAACATACTGAAATACTTTTCGATGACAAATATACATATATAGAAATATTTATATAAATATAAGCATTTGTAATACCTCTGTTTCTTATCTTCAATACTTGCATATTTAATTACTCATTAAATTTGAATTGAAAAGTTCATTGAACACAAATTTGCACATATAAGATCAATTAAGTAAGATATGAAACTATTAAATTTTTGCTATGAAATTTCATTTTTGAAATTAATGTACTTTTACATTTCAGAAATTTTCAAGTAAATGGTCCTTTATAAAGAAAATGGTGAAAACAATATATTTTTAATTACTGTCAATATCAATTGGTCCTACATTCAACTAAAATGTAGCGATGCAAAAGTTACTTGAATCAATTGTAAACACTACATTGTCATCTTATTAGGCACAGTATACCCCATGAACTTGTCAACTTTCTTATGGCAAATAGGACTAGTATGTCATCACATATTACTTGCCTAATTATTAATTGACTAATTTGGTGAGCTTTGGGGCGAATATTGTGCATCGTGCTTAGATAATTTTAGTTTTAATTCTGCTATTTGCGCTTTGGCATCACACAGCTCTTTCTTTAAACTTTCTACTTCTTGCTTTTCCACTTTAACTGAATCAGAACCCATAAAGTGTCTTCGAAGATACCTAGTACAATGATTAAGGAATAACCATGAAGATAATGTGCATTGATATATTTTCATTAGAATTAATATTTTAGAATATCATAGTATAAGTTTTTTTTATATCAAAAAAGGATACTCTAAAGCATCTTCAGGCCTTTCAGATGATTCATACAGGGATACCAGCACATTGGTTAAGGCATCCATTACACCTGCATGTTCGAGGTACTTCCTGAATTCTTCTCGTTTCACGTCAACGGGCTAAAAGAACATTGATATAAGTCTACGAATTTTTTCATCGGGCAATGAACTCATTATTTGAAAGTAACGCAAACGATACTGCGATCGTGTAGCGTAAATCGCATGCAAAGAAACAAAAATTAACTCACTTTCGTAGATGTACTTGTGTTCGACATTTTAATCGGCAACAATTATATACTAATTTATATATAGTGTGACTCAAGATTCTTCTTTTAAATAAATTAAAGCCGGCTTTTTAGCTCGGATGCGTTAAAGTATGTTTACACGGAACGCGCACACTTTAACTAATGCGGCTATGCGGCTATAGTTTAACCTTGATGATACGTGCGATTAACGCGCTCTAATGAGGTACCGAGTCGATCGAACTTACTCAGGAATTTCGGGAGGTGATACTATATCATGACTCGGATAGGAAAACGTGTCCCCGCACCTATCACGCACCTCAGCCTCACACAAGCCACAAGAAGAAACAAGCGATTGAGCGACAGAGAGAGATAGAAAGCTAAAGAGAGAGAGAGAGAGGAAAAGCTTAATACAGGGAGAGCGCGATTTGTGTGCAAACTGTAGTTTCCCACTACCAATATATCTCTTTGTCTTTACCGCGTAAATATTATAGCAGACGTGATCGTAATTTTTAATTTTGAGATCGCGGACTGATTCAATTTCGACGTCGAACACACAAATAACAGACGTTGATACAGACTCGCTGCTGTATATTACAACAAAAAACGAGCTGATCGAGGCAGTTTCAGCTTTATAGAGTGGATCGGATTGATTTGCGACGGATTCGGATACTAAGAAGGACGATGTGTGTTTTGATAATACAAGCAAGATTACTACTTATATATGCAAACGGTGTGGGATAATTATATCCACCGCGTTCGCGACGCCCGGCACACCCCGCGACCATAATATTCGCATCTTTTTGTATAATCAAGTTGGTAAGGCGTGATATCGTTATTATCGATAAGGAACGGCGGTCTTTTTTAAATTTTAGAACATCAAGAGTAGATTCCTATTAGCCATAACTGTCAAAATCAATTTTTGTATTTTTCTCGTACATTGCTGATACGGCGACAATGATCAAAATGCTCCATATAAATCAATATTTAACCGAAAATGTCAATGTGTTTACTTAAATTGAAATCATATTTCACATATTTTTACAAAATTATTGTACAAGGTTCTCAGTATCCTTATTTTCTTTACTAATCTTGGAATCTCATATTATTATGGTTACATTGGTCATAAGAACTGCTGCTTGCTGCAGACACTAGGTGTTTCGTTTACGTTCTTGAATCATTGCGCGCTCTACGATATGTCAAAATTTTTGTTTACAAACTTTTTTCTAGGTTAAGAATAGTAGAATTACATTACATTGACTATTTCAAAATGAAAACGTTTAACTTAAAATAGTGTTTAAACTTCCGGATGATTTTTAAAAATATTTAAAGTTATTTTTATAAAATTATTATTATATTTTATTTTTAATAAATAACGTAATCTAGATTCAATTTCAAATCAAGTTTTGTATACGAAGTGCTCTGGAGCTTTTGTATACTGGGTGCTTTTAAATTTTTAAAATAATAGTTCATTTTTTACAAATTTCGAGATTTTTTTTCCAAAATTAAAATTCTTACACCCTTATTCAAAAAGTCTTAAATATTCTGAGAAAGTTCTTCTTTAATTTACTCGAAGCACTTTTTGTCTATAAAATGGAATTCTAAGTTTTTTTTCATGAACTTTTTTTTATAATTTTACTGCAAAACGCAAATGCAACTTGGCGTGGAACCAGTGCAATAAGTACTTGCCAGATGGAGCGCAAGGCGCACTTTCGACAGCCCACAGGTCACTTTCTGACTCCGCAGTCCGCAGTTCGCACGTGAAATCCGATCCCCTAGACAAGCTCATCGTGTGCTGGTCTTGCGTCGCGAATAGTAGTTTATTTCACTATGATAGTGATAATTATATGTTAATTATTCGTGAACTTGACTCGAAGATTTTGTACCTCTTGTGGGTGTTCTGAGTCTTTGAACTCAGGTAGGGTAACACGAAAACACAACCGCGTTAGTTTAGTGCTCGTTTACTTCGTCGCGTTGACAGTGAGAACATTAGCCCATCAATTATGGGCGATTTGTTCGACCTCGCGGGTCTTATAACAAGAGTAGGTGTAGACGCGGTGAAGATCAAACCTGAGCCGGGTCTACCCGAAAAATCATCTAACGAGATTCTAACCGAATTGTTTAGCACGTTTGATGGAGTTGATGTCAACACGAGCAGCAGTAGTAGCAGCAGCGACGAGGATGACAACGACGACGATAACAACAAGAAGGACGACGCCGGAGCCGAAGCTGATGCTGATGATGCTGAAAAAGTTAATGGCAACGACGATGATAAAGACGTTGACGATAAAAAACGAAAAAGAAAAGATAGTCTCAGCAGTACTGGTAAAAAGAAGAAGAAGAAGAAGAAACATAAACACAAGCATGATGACAAGGATAAAGAGAAAAAGCACAAACATAAAAAAAAATCAAAGGATGACGATGATAATAGTAGGCGTTTTGAAATAAAATTTTAATTAGAATCATTTATCTTAGTAGCTGTGTACTTATAGTTTGTTAATTTTTTTCACTAGGCCCCAAAAAGAGTAAGAAAAAAAAGAAATCTAAACACAAGAGTGAATCAGACCTTTTGTCTGATTCCGGAGAACCAAAGATCAAAAAAATAAAAGTAGAAAAAGATGCAGACACAGAAAAAAAGAGTAGACATAAAAAAAGTCACTCAAAAAAAGGTAACATTTGCAGTCAACTTTTTCATTGCGAGATATCTATTTATTTTAACACTTATTCTGTAACTGATGAATATTTTTTCTTTTTTCAAAACCAAAAGATATTGAACCTATTAAAATCAAAGAAGAAAAAAAGGATCCAAAAGAGGATGAAACGAATGTTGAAAGGCAAGAGGAAATTGTTTCATCACCTTTTTCTGCTATACCTAAAAAATTAACTGAAGATTCTGAAGCACCAGAAGTACCTAAACTACTTGGTTGGTATATAAATTAAAAATGTATTCATGTATATGATGAACAATATTTTAATTCCATAAATTATTATTTATACAGAAAAAACATCAACGAAGCCTACTATTATGAAAATCATGATAAAAGATCTCAAGAACAGCGAAGTGTTCAATAATACAGTAAAAAAAGTTGAGGAAGAAAAAAAAGAAAAAGCCGACAAACTAGAAGAAGGCGAAATCACAGATAGTGATGATGAAGATAAAAATAACATGCGTACTCCATCACTAAGTCCTAGTCCTGTATCTCATAGAAGATATTCACGAAGTCCTCGAAGACAAAGCAGAACTCGTGATCTTCGTAATTTATTAAAAGAAAAAGAAAAGATAAAACGGATCAGTAGTCATAGATCTAGATCAAGAAATGGAGATCGACATGCCAGATCACGTAGTCGTAAGAATATTACTTTTTTTAAATATTCATATGAAAAAAATTCAATTTTCATTTCTCATTGTTTTTTGTAGCTATTAGAAGTCGATACGGTCGAGGTCGGAGTAGAGATCGACGAAACAGTTTCAGAAATGATTCAGATAGATATGTTAGAGATCGAGATAACAAATTCAGTCATAGCGAGGACAGAAGTAAACCTAGAGGAAGAAGTAGAAGCAGAGAAAGAAAGTATGTTTGAGTTTATTTTCATAAATCAATTCTTCCAAAAAAAAAATTGTTAAATTCACCTATTTGTGTATAATTTTTAGAGAGAGAATTGAAATTGATAAAAAGAAGCTTTTAGAAATAGCCAGACGCAATGCTATTAATATGATTAAAAAAGGAAAGCTATCTTTGCCTCAACAAGATAAAGCAATTGCTGCCATAAAATCTGGAGGAAAAACTGTTGAGGAATTGACAGGTACACTAGTCAAAACAAAAACATACATTTTTTCAAAGTTGAAAATTAATTGAACATATTCATTCATTTAAATGCAGATTACTGTAAAACGCTTTCAAAATCAGAAGCTCTGGGAGAACTTTCGAGTATATCTTCAGGCGATGAGAGCGGTGATGATAAAGGTTTCCAACATCCATTTTTATTAAAAGATAAACCTAGTTCTATTATAATGAATATTCGGGTAAATACATATTTCAAAATTAATTTAATTTGAGAAAAAAACCATTTCAATTATTCTTTCATTAACTTCAGGACTCAAAGCAACTACCAACAAAAACAATGCTAGAAAAATCGACTGAAGCGCAAACACAATTACGATTGCAATACCCTGTGTCCAGTGGTCAACAACACAGAAAAAATGGTAATATTTAATGCTTAATGATAAATATGTATTGAAAAGAAAACATATTTGTAATGTATTAATCTGATTATTATTACTTTTACAATAAATTTTAGAAAAAGAGTGGGTACCAGTACCAACCAAACCGAAAAATTCTAAACAAAAAAAGCCGGAACCAAAAAAAATGTTTATTCCTGCAAAAGAAGTGCTACACAATAAACCTTTACCTTTGGTTGTACCTCCAATGTCTGAACAAATCACTGCTCAACAAATGCAACAAGCTTCTGCCGCTGCTGCAGCTATAAATGCAGAAGTGGGTTCCTTTGACCCAAATACTCAGAATCCTTATTTACATTACAATGCTATGGTACCTGTTCCGTATGATCCTATGGCGGCTCAAGCTGCTATGTACAATCAACCTGTACCACAACCACCTATGTATGACTCTTCGATTGCTCAACAAATGGTGCCTCCAATGCCTATAGCTGCAGTTGATCCAAATGTTAATTCAGCTTATGTTGCTGGTGGAGAAGCATATGCCCAAGCTCAATGTGCACAAACACAGTATGCCTCAGACAAAGACCACCCAGTCACAGAAGTACCAAATACTGAATCACAAGAACATAATACTTCTATCTTTCCTGAGCCCCCAGCAGAAGTAAGTCGTAGCTTTTCATTTATTCATTTTAAATAAATTTAAAAATTGTATTAAACATTTTTATTTATAGCCTCTTGATATCAGTGCTATTGTTTCACAACGACTCGCAGCTATGCGAAAATTATCAGAAAATCCCAATGACTCTCAAGCATTAAAAGAAATGTATCAAGCGCAAAATGGGGTAATATATACCATTCTCATACATAACATAGCAACTTTAACAATTAAAAATGTAAACCTAAAATTAATATTTTTGTAGATGCAAACTTGGGTAGAAAGTAAGCAAATTCCTGGTCAATTTACTGGGAGTACCGGCGTTAAAGTTCTTACACAAGCTGAACTTAATTCTGGTTACCAAGCTTGGGCTCGCAAGGTATTATCATTTATAAATAAATCGAGGATATACACGGTGAAAACGAGTATTATGACGACGATTTAAGTTTGTAATATTTTGAATATTTTTCAAGACATTACAAATTTTAATTGTTCAAGGATCCATTTACAAAACGAAAGAAAAAAAGTCGGGGACGTGCCAAATTCAGTGCAGTAATTAAAGGTTTTCTATTGGAAAATTTTTAAAGTATTATTGTTATTCAGAGTTATTTAGAGCCTGCCATAAAAATATTTTATAGTCGCAAGAAATTTATTTAGAATTTTTAATTTCTGTACTGAATTTGACACTTTCCCAACTCAGTAACACTGATGTGACCAATTCTAGGAATTCGAAGTTCTTAGGTGCAGTTATTACTATAGAAATAGAAATCCGTACCCCAGCCTAAAACTCAAATTTTTATTAGAATTTTCCGAAACTTAAAGAGAATATTTTTTTAAACGGCTCTATGAGAACCTTAAGAAAATCAAAATAAATGTTCTCATGGGGCCTTTTAGAGAAATATTGAGTAGAAGTTTTATTTTAAAATTTGAATTTTAGGCTGGGATACGGATCTCGTTACGCTGTAAATATATGTAGCAGAGAAATCGATAGTAGGAAAAAAATACTTCACTGGCCATCATTATGACTTCATTGTATTAATGCTGCACCCATGAACTTCGAAATCCCAAAATTGGTCACATGGGCACTTATGAGTTGAGTCTGTAAAAGATTTTCAGGTAGTCTTATCTTATAAACCAAGAATGCTACAGGTTCTGATAGCTTTTTGGTTGAAGAGAAACCAATAATAAAATGAAAATTCTTAGACCAAAAAATCAAATCAAATTTAAAAAAAATGTCAGTTTCATTAGTAAAAGTAGCAAAATTGTGTATATGTACTTGTGTATCAATCATTGGAGACTCTGTTTCGGGGTCTCAGTGACAAGGAAAAACGCGTAAACATGTAAAATTTACCTAGGTACATGACTCAAAGAGTCAACTTCTGAATTTGACTTTTCTAATTATTCAATTAATAAGTACAGAGGTGTATGACACCAAATCTACAGATTAAGTATTCTTTTTAGAATAAAATAGTCAAATGTTTTTTTACGTTTACCAAAAATTACGTTTTTCACCCTTTGCGTTGTGCATCTTGGTAAAATTTGCATATTTACGCGTTTTTTCTTGTCACTGAGACCCCCAAATAGAGTCCCCAATGATTGATACACAAGTGCATATAAAAAAATGTTGCTATTTTTTACTCATGAAACTGCAATTTATTTTAATTTGGTCATATAATGAAACAAAGAATTCATTTTTACATGAGTGAAATCTTCGACCCTGTAGATACAGAAAATCATATTTTAATTGAGTGTAATATTCAATTCTAATATAAATATTAATTGAATATTACATTTAATAAAGTTGATTTTATTTTATAATTACTGCAAAAGTGTAATGATTTGCTTTTATTCAAAACGTTTAAAAAACCAAATTTTGCGACTTGAATATTCGTACATCACAATCCGTAGTCTCCGAGATTTTCAACGAATTAACGGAGTGGTAATTATAATTTTGCAGAAATTAGTATCTACCTGAAAATTTTTTACAGACCCAACTATTTAGTAAAAAAGGAATTCCAACATCAGCTGTCTACAGTTTTCCGTTTGCTCTAATAAAGTATTTACTGAATACATGGTAAGTTATGGACGTCTTCAAAGTCTTCAAAAATATAGTCATCGCAAACATTCCTCATGATCATAACTTTATAAAATAATTATTAAATCATCTTATTTTTAACTATAAATTAATTTCATTTTCATTTTTTTTCTATTTTTTTTATTAATCAAAACCCACGTAGGATCAACTGCAAACTGCTCAACCTGTAGCAGGCGGCATGGGTATGCATCTGCTTCAAAAAATGGGTTGGAGGCCCGGAGAAGGTCTAGGAAAAAATAAAGAAGGTACTCTGGAACCATTGAGCTTAGAGGTAAAATTGGATAAGCGGGGTTTAGTTACGGATCAAGATATTCCACAACAGGCGCGTCCTGGAATCAAAAAGAAAGAAGTCATTCCCAGTTTTAAATCTTTAGAAGGTTTGCCATTGATTTTAATTTCTTAAAAAATAAAAAAATTACTAAAAAAAAATAACTGATCAACAGGTAAACATCCAGTTTCCCTACTTGGAGAATTTTGCTCAAAACGGAAGTACTGTGCTCCTTTATATGAAATTTGTTTTGAGAGTGGCCCAGATCATAAGAAGAACTTCGTATTTAAGGTAGAGTAGTTCTAATCTCATTCTGTCATACTTTTATATAAACTATAATGAAAAATATCTCCATTTTGCAGGTAACAGTTAATGGGGTGGAATACAAACCTGCTGTTGCAAGTCCAAATAAAAAGTTAGCTAAAGCTGAAGCAGCACAAGTTTGCCTGCAATCATTGGGCCTTTTACCAAGCAGTCAAAATTAAATATTTTAGACTGATATTTCTAATAAAAAAAATTGTACATAAGAACAGTATTTGTAAATATGAGTTAGATATAAAATGATATAATTCTGCTAGGAGTATTTTAATTCACTTAATTATTTAATTAAACCCACTGCTCAACCCATACTGCAGCAAAATTAAAATACTCTTAGTGTGCTGTGTGACTTATTTGTCATATAAAATATGGAAAATGAATCAAATACACAACTTAAATTTTTTATTATTACGATCGTTTTATTTATTTCAATATTTACAGTTTATGAATTGCTCTGCTTTAAACCTTATGTACAAAATATCATCATAACAATCAATAAATAACTCAGACTAGACCTGCTTTTGCTTCTGAACAGCTTGTACGCACTTGGCCATAGTTGGAGAAGCCCTGGATATAGCATTAGTCATGAAGAACTGATCTAATGATTTTTGCTTGATATCAATTGGGTCGGGTAAAAATGATCCTTGGGTTGTTTTAGCTAATTCATAAACTTGTTTTAAGAAATTTGAAGGTTCAACTTCGCCGTAATTAACTAAATGTGGAGCTATTTCCGCTATTCTATCCCTAAGTTCATGTAAATCATCGTATGGTAAACGGTGACCTGCAATTTCCGACAAAGCTCGAATGATCTTCCAATCAGGTCGAGCCATACCCGGAGGTGTTATAGCAGCGTTGGTTAATTGAGCTCTGCCTTCCATATTTACGTAAGTTGCGGTTTTTTCAGTATAAGCTGCTCCAGGTAACACAATATCAGCAATTTGTGCACCATTATCACCATGACTTCCAACGTAAATAATACAAGATTCACCAAAATCTTCTTTCTTGATATTTTCATCAGCTCCAAGTAGGAATAAAACACTCGGTTTAGCTTTCTTGACTTCTTCTAGGCTAGCAGCATATCCAACATCCAGAGCAGTAACTTGAGAGGCATTAGTATGCAGAATGTTGAAAACTTTCCAATCTGCATCAGTTTTTACTGTTTTCTCAATGTTCTTGCATAAAGATTGTGTTTCAGCAAGAATCTTATCACCATCTTTACGAGTTAGTACATCTGCTCCTAAAATTATCATTGGTTTTTTTGCATTTTTCAATACTTCACAAAATGGATGAGATCCAGACTTGATTTGTGAAATGATGTCTGGAGACTGACCCAAATTCTCATGATCATATGTTAAATCAAGTTTAGGTCCAATAACAGCAACATTTTGTTCACGGTGTAAATAGCCTTTCCTAATTCTAGTATTAACTAATGGTGCTTCAAATCTTGGATTTGTACCAATTAACAAAATAACATCAGCATGCTCAACATTAGCTATTTTATTATTTAAAAGATAGTTGCTTCTGAGATCTACACCTGCTCCAGATTTGGGAAACTCCTGTTCCGTTGTAAGAAGTTCACTGTCAAGGGTATTGACTAAATCTTTAACAGCAACAAGAACTTCAGCATCTGCCATACAACCAGCAATAGCAGCGCACTTATTTGGTGGTAAATCTTGAAGTGCTCTGGCAGCTGCAACTAAAGCGTCTTCCCATTCGACATTCTGCAATTTTCCATCAATCTTCAACATTGGAGTAATCAATCTTTGTCTTTTAAGACCATCATAAGAAAAACGAGCCTTATCTGCAAGCCATTCTTCGTTGACGTCTTCATTAACTCTTGGGAGTATTCTGAGTACTTCTCCTGTCCTATGAGAAACAACAATGTTACTACCAACAGCATCATGAACATCAATACTGTCAGTTCTATGATTTTCCCAAGGTCTAGCAACAAAAGCGTAAGGTTTGCTAGTCAGTGCACCAACAGGACACAAATCAATAATATTTCCAGAGACCTCAGACATGAATAGTTTTTCAACGTACGTACCAACTTGCATTTCATTACCTCTTCCAGTGGTACCAAGATCATCTACTCCAGCTACTTCTGATGCAAAACGAATGCACCTAGTGCAGTGAATGCATCTAGTCATGACAGTCTTGATTAGAGGTCCAAGATCTTTATCTTCTACGGCTCTCTTACCACTAAAGTTGATGTCAGTAAATCTGCTCCTGTCATTACCAAAAGCCATACTCTGATCTTGCAAATCGCATTCACCACCTTGATCACAAATGGGACAATCAAGAGGATGATTGACAAGCAGAAACTCCATCACACCTTCACGAGCTTTTCTAGTGAGGGCAGAGTTGGTCTTGACCCTCCACCCTTTCATGACTGGCATAGCACAGGCAGCTACAGGCTTGACCTGTTTTTCAATTTCAACCAAACACATTCTGCAATTGCCGGCGATGGCCAGACGTTCGTGATAGCAGAATCTGGGAATTTCGACACCGACCATGGCAGCAGCCTTGAGGACTGTGGTGCCTGGTGGAACCTGTACGGGCTTATCATCGATGAAAAGTTCGATGAGCTCCGGCTGCTGCTGGGGCTGCTGTTGATTAGCGGCCGAGTTGTGAAAACAGACAGCTGACGCGAGACGTCCGTTGGATCGACTTATTGCACGAAATAGTGGTAGACGTAGCATTTTGCACTGATCCTTAGCACTGTTTCTTGTATAATTATAAATCAAAGCTGTTGGGTTACTTGGGACCCGAACGGACGTTCAAATTAGATGGATAAGTGTACGAGGAGCTGTCGTCTCTGCAACCCGCCTCCTCCAAAGGTACAAGTTTCCTTGTTTACAATCGCTTTAACACTATCGGAGTATAAGTTCGTTTTTCGAAAGTTACTTAATAGCTCTACCCTCCATCGTCGGGATTTAGTAGTATATATCGTCAGTGCTGAGCGCACAGTGTAGTCTGTAATACAATCGTCTGTTTCTCTGACCTGACGTCACATTTTGCTGAACAACGCATCATATAACCTCAATTCGCGACTGTCGCGACTCGCGCAATTATTTTTCACGCAGAGCTCAGCAGAATGATTTCAAATTGCAATTTCGCCAGAGTTCGTAATGTTTGAGCAATAACCGTCGTGACTCGTGAGTGAATATATACTTCGGTGTTTATTTTTTGAAAGTCTTTGGCTTTGCATTTCATATATTATGGGCATATAAGCTTATATTTGACAGTTCTCAGTAGAAAGTTCTTATTCGGAGTTGTTTACTGTTGTTTGATTTGAATAAGATTGGGACTTTTACGAAAAAAAAGTAAATATTATTGTGTTAAATCGTTTGTGTGCGCATGTAATGAAGCTCTTGTAAATAGATACATTGAGATGACCTATTTTCCAGGAAACTTAGCTTGGACCATATTCGATTCGACAGCTAGAATTCGAATTCAAACCGAATTGCAACGATTGGCGTGTGAGCAAGCTTTGCCTGCTCAATACAATCACGTGAATGCTGTATTCGCATCTCGATAGGCTCACGGAGCTAAAGGAGACAGTTACACTTGTTTGGACAGAATTTGTCTGCTGTTTATTCTGTGCAAACGTGATAAGAGTGACCGCTGTTTTTGACAAAAAGTGAGAATAAATAATAATCATTCTGCGTTTCATCAATGAAACACCTCGTGAAAAATGAGCGACCACATGAATATTTCAACTTGGAATTTCGACGATGTCGTAGTGCCGTTGACTCCGGAATATATGATGAAGACGCACACCGACTCTGCAAATCTTGAAGGCAGTAAATTTATTTCTTCTCAAGACAGTGATCCACTTCAAGAATTACTTTCATTAGACGATACTATATTCGATCAATTCGAAGTTGATGCTAATGTCGACAGCATTGCTCATGGCAAAAGTAAATTATTCAACGAATCCAAATTCTTTTTGGACGAAACTCTGCACGACGATCCGAGTAATTGCAGCGACAACGCGGCTGATTGTCTGTTGGAGGACAGCTTTATAAAGTACAACAATAACGTCGCCGATGAGTTAAATGCATCTGTCAATTTTTTAAAAACCAAACTTTTTGACATGCCTGGAGAAAAGTTCGTACAGCCGCCAAAGAAAAAAACTTGTCTTGAAAAATCGAATAATGCTACAAATTTAAAAAAAAGTAATGATTTTTATGGATTACCAGAAATTTTAAAAAATTCAATCAAAAAATACAAAGGAATAGATAAACTTTATGGTGAGAAATTTTATTTTTAATATCATTCTTACAGATAGTTGATAAAATTATATCAATATTAAATTGATTCATTTTTTCTTAGATTGGCAAGATGAATGTCTTAAAATGAAAGCTATCGAGGAGAGGAAAAATTTGATTTATGCTCTACCAACTAGTGGAGGAAAAACATTGGTTGCTGAAATATTAATGTTTAAGGAAATAATTTGCAACAAAAAAAATGTTATGTTTGTGTTGCCATTTGTTGCATTAGTCCAAGAAAAAGTTAGATTTTGTTTTTTTTTTCAATTAATTTACGTAAATTTTATTCAAAAAATTTATTTTTTCAGATCCAAGCAATCACTCCATTTGCTTTAGAATTTAATTTCTTGATCGAAGAATATGCAGCTGCAAAAGGGACTTATCCACCAAAAAAAAGAAGAAAGAAAAATAGTTTATACATCTGTACAATAGAAAAAGCTCAAACTATAATTAATTGTCTAATTGAATTGAACAGGCTAGAAGAGGTAACATGCAAATTGTTATGACAATTTTTAAAAATAAAAAGTTCTTTAACTTTTTATTATTCTTAGATAGGAATGATTGTAGTTGATGAATTGCATCTATTGGGTGAGACTGGAGGAAGAGGAGCTACATTAGAATGTTTACTTACAAAAGTATTGCATTCAAACAGTATGTATTATTTATTAATTGAATTAGTTCTCAAATCATATTTATTTGATAAGCACTATTTTCATAGGTAATATTCATATTATTGGGATGAGTGCAACAATAGGCAATTTAGAAGAAATTACATCATTTTTAAAGGCAGAGTTATACATAAAAAATTTTAGGCCAGTAGATATCAAAGAATATGTTAAATGTGAAACTGATATATGGCTTGTTGATTCAAGACTTGAAGAAATTTATACTGATAAAAAAACTATTAACTATCCAGTAAGTTAATTTTATAGATGTAATTGTAAAAGTTACTTATGTTACAATTAAATTTTTTTAGTATAGTGAAAGAGCCCGTCAATTAGATCCTGATTTTTTAGGAGGTTTAGTTATGGATGTTGTACCTAAAGATTCATGCCTAATTTTTTGTGCATCTAGAAAAAACTGTGAAAATGTGGCTGTACTGTTGACACAAGTATTATTTAGGTATAAAAAAAAAATAATAATAATTTTTATATTTACTACAATATGAAATAATGGAAATCCAATTTTTTTCAGTTCATTAGAGAAACATAGATCAGAGGAGAAGCTAAAACTTTTAAGTGCTCTCCAAACTGAAAACAATGAAATTTGCCCAATATTGAGCAGAACTATTAAATATGGGGTTGCTTATCACCACTCTGGGTTGACTGGTGAAGAAAGAAAATTAATAGAAGAGGCATTTAAATCTGGAGTATTATGTGTCATTTGTTGTACATCTACATTGGCTGCAGGTGTTAACCTTCCTGCAAGAAGAGTAAGATTTTTTCATTATTATTCATCAGAAAAATGAAAAAATAAATTTAACTTGTATATAGGTAATTTTACGATCTCCATACGTCGGTTCACAATTCCTGAATTTAAGTCGCTATAAACAAATGATTGGACGAGCTGGAAGAGCTGGATTAGGTGAAATTGGAGAAAGTATTTTAATTTGTTCAAAAAAAGATATGATGCTGGTACTTATTACTTAAAAAATTTATTTTTGGGTATTTATATCAACACAATTTTTTGTCATGAATTAACTTTTAATACATAATCTACTACCGACTAGGTGAGTGATCTCTTACGTTCCAAAATGGATGCAGCAACAAGCTCTCTCCATGAAGATATTGATAGGGGTATCAATAACTTGATAATAAGTTCAGTTCTTTTGAATATTGCCAATACACGAAAAGATATTCATGCAATAGTTTCAAAATCACTTTTGAAAGTACAGGAAAATCGTTTAGGGATTAATGTTAAAGAAATAGCAGATAAAGCACTTGCTAGTTTGTTAAAAGCTGGTGTACTCAGAGTGAAGCAAAAAGAAAAAAGTAGAACTTATATAAAATTAGATGCAACAGTTGTTTATCCAACACAAATAGATGATATTTTTGAAGAGATGAAAGTACCATCCAAACCTATTGAAAAACCAACGAAAACAATAATTAAACTAGTCAATGATACAGAAATAGAATTATGTCCTTTAGGAAAAGCTGCTATGAAAGGTATGTTCAATTTTTATTACATTCCATATATTAAATTTAGCTTTTCTTATATTTTGAATCTATCTACAATTCTAGGCTCTATTGATTTAAATACTGCCCATACTTTATATGAAGATTTAAGGAAAGCATCAGCCAATTTAGTGATTATTGACCACCTCCATCTTTTATACTTAATCACTCCCTATGACATTGCTAGTCAAGTAAAACCAATTGGAACAGTTTATCATGATGTTGTGAGTGTCAACATTAAAATTAAACTATTTCAGAAAAAATCTTATTTTAAAATAAAAACACTTTCAGATGATGTCCTTACCTCCACATCAGATGCAAGTGGCTAGATATTTAGGTCTTAATGAAGCAGTTGTTGAAAGACTTAGAGCTGGAATCACACCTAAGGTTTTTTTAATAATTTTGTTTTACTCTTAATTGAAAGTGAGATTTCAAATAATCAATTTTTCACAGAATGTAGACAATAGAATTGTAGCTAGATTTTACGTGACTCTGATGCTGTATGAATTATGGAATCGAAAATCTATCTATCATGTTGCTCAAAAATATCAAGTGAATCGCGGCACTATTCAAAATTTATTAAATTTAGCTGCCTCTTTTGCAACTTCAACTGTTAGATTTTGCCAAGAATTAGATGAGTTTTGGGCATATAGTGATTTATTAACAACTTTTGGTCAAAAATTAACATACTGTTGTGCTTCAGAATTGGAACCTTTGATGGATTTACCTTATGTTAAAATTGTAAGATAATTTAGAATTTTTTCATGTTCTAAGCAAAATATAATAAAATATCTTTCTTTATTCAGGGTCGTGCTAAACAACTTTACAAAGCAGGATACAAAACATTACAATCTATTGCTAAAGCTAAACCCAAAGATTTAATGAATGACATTGACAATTTGTCAAAAAAAGTGGTCTCCCAAATCATTTCAGCTGCTAAAGTAAGTTGAAAATTAATATAATATTTGAATTGATTTTCCTGATTGAGAGTTATCAATTTCTTTTTAGTTAATTTTAATGGAAAAAGTGGAGAATCTGAGAGATGAAGTTGAAGAAGTATTAGATGGATTAGAAATTTAGTCCATCTACTTACTTATTGAAGACTAGTTATTTTTTATTATTCGTTATTACTGTGATATTAATATGTTGATATTTTGAAATTTAATGGTGTTAAGAAATATTTTTTTTAGAAAATAGATTAAATATTTGCTATATAATTATTTCATGTAAAAAGCGTAAATTTTTTTAGTTGAAAAAATGCAGTATTTTGTAATTTGAAGGCATAGCCTAAAGTGTACAAAATAAAAATTTATTTTTTTCTATGAAGGTTTTTTTATAAACATCATTATTTCGCTTTCCTTCTTATCTAGATAAAACTCTTTGTGCTTTTTAGATCAACATATCTAAAGAAATGATATGTTGTTCAAGCAAGCACATACATTAAATTGTCATACACAAATATCAATACTTCCGGAGATTGGATGTATTGGAAAAGTATGATACAAATTATGATGTAATACAAAATTTATAACATAAAGTTAAGTTTATTTTTAGAAACTTATTTTTAATAAAATTTATTAACAAAAAAATACAAAATCGACTACATTTTTTAAGTGACTCATCTTTTTTTGTACATACAAGATTTTAGTAATAAGTTAGGCAACTTTTTGGCATCTGTTTTTGACACATCTTTTGTTTTTTTGAAGTCCATAAAATAAAATATATTGTGTGATAAATCCTTCCATGTATTAACAAACCCGTATGATTTCATTTGATGAATAAAATCTTCAATTTTTTCAAATCTGCTTTCAACTTCTGCAATTTTGAGAATCCCACTAAAATTCAAATCATTTTATCAATTTTTATTCTATTATTGAGTATTTCTTATATTACAGTAATCATTACATAATTTAATCTTATCTAAATATTTAATGCAATAATTATAGTCTTACCCTTGAATAAGAACTCTGTTAGCTTCCAGTATATAATCGTTTAAATTAGAACCCATAAGAGAAAGACAAAATACAACAACATTGGTGCGACCAGTCAAGAGAGGAGTATTGGCAATGTCACATGCTTTGACTTTTTCATTTACTGCAACTAAATCAAATGAATGGACGGTTTGAGGTACAGACTCAGCTATTTTAGCTTCGCCACAGCCAAAATCTGCTATAACATGTTCTTTTGGCCTGCAAAAAATAATAAGTTGAAGTATGATTATTAAATTTTAAAACTCTATAAAAAAAATATTTTTAAATTATTTTTACATTTTTAATAATGACTTAATGATAACATCAACAGGATTCATTGGCCACTTCTCAACTTGATTCTTGTAGCCTTCGTGATAGGCATAGAAGGCACTAGGATCTTCTTGAAATAATTTTTTATTTGCATTACTATCATTAGTATATAATTGTTCGTTGATGAATCTAAAACGAGAAGCTTTCAAATGGCTCATCATTCGCTCTCTCAATGGAAGATTCCAAAATTCTCTTTGTTTTTTACGATTCATGATTTTAGGATTGTTGTCTATTTTTTGTGAAGCTTTCATTTTTGTCACACTCAAATTTTTATTATCTTTTTTATTCACAACACTTTGATTTTCTTCCTTTTTATTCACAACACTTTGATTTTTCTCTTTTTTTTTCTCAGCATTTTTTTTTCTATAGTCTTTTCCTTTTTCAGTATTTTGATTCTTGTTTGCTGGCCCGGAGTTAGTACGCTTTTTAATCTTCATTTTTATTTTTATTTTTATTAATAAACCGATGGAATTGACTGATTTAGTGAAAAAGATGAACTTTTGTATGGCTTGTAGATGTCACAGCGTGGTGGACACTTTCAAGCTAAACTCGAGCGGCAAGCAGCACATGGCCGTGTGTACGTGATGGTATGCGTGCGGCATTCTGCTAGCACGATGAACCAATTCAAATTTGAGCGCCAGATTTTAAATAACTACATCAACTTTTAACAATTATAGAACGCAATGGTTTTTTAAAGAATGTTTTTTTTATGAAAAACTACTATAAGTTACTTTATATTTTTAAGCTTGAATAAACAAAAAACGATGTATCAACTCCTTATGAAAAATTTAGTATCGTAGTTTTTACAAAGCTGTCATCGATACAGTGCTGTGTATAAATTTACTGCATCATATCAACTGATCAAGTTTTGACTATTATTGAGGATAATCAGTTTAAGTAATCGAAAAATAATTTTTATAAAAACTTGAAGGAAAAGATAACTACTTTGTTTTTTTTCAGACTGATTGATCTTCAACGTGATTTTAAAATTCCGTTATTTTTAATTTAAAGAGTTCAAAAAAAAAGTTTTTACCTTGTGCGTATATTTTATATCGTGTGTCAAGATCAATAACATAGTAAACGGCTGACTATACTTAGCTCGTAGATTATAATGAAATTCGTACTAAGAGGATTAGGAGGAAAAAGAGAAAATTGTGATTGAATTGATGTTTAATCTTTTTAAATATTCTATTTATTGATGTAATACATAAAAATGGATATTCTTAAGTGCATTAATAAGTACTTATAATAACGTAAATAAAACAAATTTTAAATAACTGATTTATAATTTACAAAAACAATGTATCAAATTTATTTTCAATCAATAAAAATATTTTAATAATTTTATTTAAAATCACTTGAAAAGTTTGTGAGTACAGGTATTATTAATTAGAAATTATGAATTATAAAACAAAATTTGAATTTGCCTCTTTTTTGCTACATTGTTTCCTTTCTCGATTGAGAATTATATAAGATCAGCCAACCCGGTTTCAGCTTTACGCGCGGGAAACTTTACGCAACAAACAGACAAAACAAAGGCAACCTTACTGCTGCCGGCTGCGGGATAATCCCAAGGAGAAATCCTTCGAACAAAGCACGTTTTTTACATACTCCGACTGAATTGTTGTTCTCTGAAGATACCATCCGAATTACAATAAATTATACAAAAATGGCTGCTGCTCAACATAAAATACTTGATATGGGTTCGTTTTTATGGCAAAAATTTTATACATTCTACATTATGAGTGGTAAATTATGATCTTTTTATTGTACTTTAGATGCCGGTGCCCAGCAGGGCTTCGTGAATTTTTTCCAAAATTTACCGGAGGTAAGTTTCATTCATTTTTTGCAATACTGATTCATTCAATTGTGGTAAGTGCGATGGAAGTATCAATTATTATAGAGAATTTTACATTGCACAAATTTTTGTAATCCCTCGTCTAAGGGTCCTTTATTCAATTTTTCTCATCTAGATAAAAATTAGATCAAGCTAATTATGTTTAGTTCAGTCTAACAATTTAAATTAACAGTAACTTTTTGCAGATACACTCATACACTTCTTTTAAATACAATAAGATTATTGAGCAACAATTCAACTTTTATTATTGTTACATTTTATTTACTATTGACTTTTTCATTCCCATGTGCTATGGTAAGATGAACTTGTGTCAATATACTGTGGCTTTTCAATATTTCTGGTAGAATCACTTTTTACATAATGCTCAGTTCTATGATTAAAAGAAAATTGATGGTGTTGATTATATTGCTCTTGAAAAGATTTATGATCAAACGTAGGCTTCCTAACCTGCTGATTAAAATTAATAATTCTATCTAAGTTACTTTGTGGTTTATAAAATGATGGTTCAAAATATTCCAGTGGAGGGCGATGATGCTGAAATTCAAATCTTCCTCTGTGGTGCTCTTGATACCTTTGAATATATCTATCGTTATTTTCATGTAAAGGATATTGAACTCGTTGATTAATTTGTTCTCTTTCATTCATTTGACCATGATAATTTAAATTATGAGTGTATGAAAAATTATGATGATGATTAATATGGAATGTTCCACCAAACTGGTCTTGAGAATTTGCTCGACAACCACTGCTGTGGCATTTAGGTCTGCATGGTAACGATTGGCATCGAGGCCTTGCAGTTGTGGTTTCTATCTGTTCAACTTCAGGTCTTGCAGTAGTGGTGGTTGTGGTCGTAGTTGTTGATGTAGTAATAGGATCTGACGTTGTAGGATTTTTCAATGGTTCAGGAGAATGTTTTGGTATCTCTAGTATTTTCTCTGTTGGTTCTGAATTTCCAGATATATCACCTCTCTGAGGTCCTTTATCTTCTTTATTTTCATTGGAATGATTAATATGCCAAGGTCTGATTTGACTGGGTAATTTTGGTTCTGGTTCTTCAGTGGAAGGTAAAATTATTATTGAGTGAAAGGGGAATTCTGTGGTAGATGGATTATCAACTTGAGTAGAACTCTGTAATTGATCTTTTGATGCTTTTAAATTATAATCTTGTGAACGCTGCTCTTGCATATTAGCAGTATCAATGTAATGACTTCCTGGATGTTTAATTTTGTAAGAATTCATCGATGCATGACTAGGATCATCATAAACTTTACCATACTGTTCAGGTTTGGAAATTCCTCTCGGCCTATCAGTTTGTGAATTGATATTGTCTATTTCTTTGTTATAAGAAAATGGTTTTTCTATTCTTTCAGTAGTTTGTGAAAAACTTGCTCTCCGTTCATTTTCGCCATTGAATCCGCTATTTTCTAAGTTAAATTCCCCTCCAGGATGATAAGTATCAGCTTTGGTTTCATCATAAAATCCTCTTTGCTGGAAAGATGGATTTTCGTGATTTTGGTCTAACACTAGATCTTTCTGAGAAACATTTGCTTCTGGCAGAATAGATTTTTCATTTGGTTTTTCATTGGTTTCAATTCTAAAATCGTGAAATCTCGATGATTCTGGTTTTTCTTCTAGTTGTATTAACCCCGCAACCGGTAAAACTCGAGGCTCGTTTACATCGACATTTAATCTTGAGTTACCATACATTTTCGAAGGCTCTCTATCGGTCCATATCATTTCTTGATGAGTCAGTGGCATCGGTCTCTTTGAGTCATCGATAAGCATTGCTTCCTCTTGAAACCCTCTGTAATCTTCATTGATAGGTTGAACTTTCAACGGCTTTTCGATCATTAATTCTCGATTCGACGGGTATTCGAAAGATTTTGGTAAGCGTTCCAAAGCCGCGGGTGACTCTTCGACGATTTCCAACGCTGATAGTCTCTGTCCATCGTTGCGTCGAGAACGTTGAGATTCAAGGTCAAATCCGAAGTTTCGATTGGCTCTTGTCCCTTCGATCGGCCTTGGGTCTACGTAGCGCCGATCGAACTGCAGCGGAAATCGATCGTTATCGGATTTTTGTTGATACGTGTATGGATTGTAATCTTCTAATCTAGGGTACTGAGAGTTATAATCAGGAATACGATCGCGGGCTGAAAAATTCTCAAGTGGTGCTTGTCGATCGCGTTGGCGGTAATCTTCTTTGTAGGGATCATATACTGCAACATAATAATTGTGCGCTTTCGTAAAATATTATGACATATACCTTTACGAAAAATTTTTTTAGTGCGGTTTATAAATTAATTTATGTCACTTAGCATTAATTAATTCTGAATGAAATTAGCTGAGCGTTAGTTTTTAAATAAACATCAAATAACAAATCCTAAGCACTGCTAGCAATTTGATAGCATATTCAAATATTTAGTTGGAAGAACAGGTTACAACAATTAGATGTATTTTAGAAACAATAATAATACGCAAGCAATGCAAATTAATAACATTTTATTGATTAGAGCGTCCATGGATGAATGGTAGTCAAAATAAGTGATAATGACTAGTGAAATATTTACTATTTAATCTTTTTTTATTTATTTCATAAAAAATTACAAATTAGTTGTTCAATAAAATTGCGTAGTATCAAATAATCATAATGACGACTAAAAAAAGGAATATAAAATCTTTTCTGTATTTACATTACATATGGTCTTAAAAAATGATTGCTTATTAAAGTGTATATTATGGCCATTCTACCAGTGCAAACTAAATTCCACTGCTACTTACAAACGTATGTTTACATACGCTATACATTAAAAAAAAAGAAAAAATATCATCTCAAACTTGAGGTATTTGAAGTAAAAAATACAAGATGAAAATCGATGATATTTGACTCGTCATAATCACCTTATACATCTAAGAGGAAGTTAAAAAGCTTTTTATACAATAAATATTGGATTTTCAAAAGCGCATTCTTCTTATTAGTTATTATATTAGTCAGCATTTGACATATTATTATTGCAACCCAATTTTTTATTATATTGTCTTCATTGCTCACAAACATTTGAAACTCTGCAACATATTGGTCATCTAGGGTTGTATCAACTAAGAGTTTCTACTGCAACTTAAAAAAAAATCTACAAATAAGCGTGGGATATTTATAAAAAAATGTCTCAAGGTTGATGAACCAATTAAGTAAAAAGTTCTCAAATGTCTGGGCCCTCCAATAATTCATTACAAAATATGTGCTCGTTTATGTTTGTTTTTGCTTTTTTCTTTTATATTTGTGAGATCGTCGGCAAAGATAATCGTCGATTTCTCCCCATTATTCATTACCTCCGACGTCTCTGCGATATCTTCGGCTCGACTCGTTGAGGCACGGCTGGTTGGCGTAGGCCTCGACGCACTCGACCTGCTGACGCTGCTGTTGGCCGGAGGCCGAGGCTGAGGAGGACGAGCCCTGACCCAAATCGATCAGACCGGTGGTGAACTCGTCGTCGCGCTTGGCGCCGAACGTGCCCTGGCCGCTGAAGCTCGCCCCGGAAGCGAAGCGCTGGGGTGCGCTCGAGCCGTTGCCGATCTCCACCTCGGTCGACTTGGAGTGCTCGTACTCGAACTTGCCGCTGGCTGGCCTCGACGCCGAGATCCTTCCCAGTTTCTGATAATTCGAGCCGGACGAGTACTCACCGGCGGCACCGAATTGCGCCGAGCCGGACTGTTGCACCAAGTTGGCGGCTTGGTTCTGGAACGAGATGAACAAGTCCTCGAAGTGCTGTCTCAGCTTCTCGGCGCTCTCGTGGACGTTGTCGCTCTGATAACGGCCGCTCGTCTCGCAGAGATTGCTCAGCCTCTCGCGAATCGTCTCGGCCTCGCGCTCGGCCTCCCTCACGACGTTCTGACTGTTAGACGAGGTCAGACGCATCGAGTAGGCGTTGAAGCTGTTCACCTCGCTCTGAAGCCTGTTGAGATCTTGCTGAAGTCGGCCAACGGCGGCGGTGAGATCCACGTGCGGCTGGATCAGAGGTTGGCTCGGCTGCTGGATGTACGATCCGGAGCGGCCCTGCGAGCTCTGAGAGTTGTAGGAGCCTTTGTACTGGTGCTGGTACGAGGAGCTGATCTCCACGGAGCCGTGATGGCCGCCAAAGTCTGGCTTCACCTGTGCTTGCGGCGCAGTCAATCGTTCTCTCTGAATTTTCAAATTTTCTTCTTCGAGCTGTCGCAGTCTCGCGTTCTCCTCCTCGATGTGTCGCAGTCTCGCTTTTTCGGCTTCCTCGCGTTCGAGCCTCAGCCTCTCGGCCTCCTCTTGTTGGCGCAGTCTCAGCCTCTCGGTCTCTTCTTGCTGGATTCTGAGCCTCTCCGCCTCCTCTTTCTGCAGTCTGATTCTCTCCTCCTCGGCCTTGATCTTCAGTTGAGCCTCCTCCTGGCGTCTCAGCTCCCTCCTGGTCTCCTCCTCGCGCTCGAGTTGCAGCCTCTGCTCCTCCAACTCGCGGACTTTCTTCTCGTACTGGATCTTCTCGAGGCGGAGCTGCTCCTCGCGCTCCTTGCGCCTCGTCTCCATTTCGCGGTTTCGCTGCTCGAGCTCGCCGATGCGCTTGCGAATCTGGCTGACGAAGTGCTCCAGTTGGCCCTTGACGTTCTCGATTCGCACCTTGACCGACTCGTGCTGCTGCGCCTCGAAACTCAAGTCGTTGAGCTTCTGCATGAAGTAATCGACTTTACCGTTCAATTCCTGTTGGTACTGTGGGCTGACGTCGGGCGAGCTGAAGGTCGAGTAAAACGTGCTGATCTGATCTTGTACGCTGGTGATTTGATCCTCGACGCGCTGCTGGGCGATCCTGTCTTGGTCGATCTGAGGCCTGACGGGGTACTGCTGAACCGGCGCCAACTGACTTGCGGGCACCGTCGGCCGAAGCGAGCCTTGGTAGCTGCTGCTGCTCATGGAGGAGACGCTCGACTCGTGGTAGAGCTGCTGCTCCATCTGCTGCTGGCGCTGCTCGACGTCGCGGTTGAACTGCTCGAGCATGTCGTGCATCTGTCGATATCTAGCGCTGCCGTGATCCAAGTTGTCGCAGACGCGATTCATCTCGCTGCTGATGAGGTTGGCGCTCGTCTTGAAGCTCTCGAGGCGGCCGGACGTGAGCGCGCCCGAGTCCACGTTGAAATTGCCCATGAACGAGTTGATACGGCTGCGCATGTTCTGCAGCTCCTGCTCGAACTCGGCGGCACTCACCACCTCGGCGTTGGAGAGTCGCGCGTTCTGGTCGTGGCTGCCGTAGCGCCAGCTCGACGAGGCGAACTTGGAGTAGCCGTTGTCGAACACGGTCTGGCCGGCCTTGAAGTTGGCGGCGCCGCGGCCGTCGTCGGTGATGTAGTGCTTCTCGTCTCTCCACGTGCCGGCGCGATCGAGATTCATGCCGAAGCGTCCGGTTCCCAAGCCGATGCCGCTTCCGCCGCTGCTCCCGACGACGCTCGAGTCGTCAAAGTTCTCGAGACGGCTGCCCGTCGAGCCGAGACCGCCGCCGCCGACCATGAAGCGCCGACCGTCCATCAGTCGGCGGCTGCCGCTACTACTGCCCACCCCGACTCCACTGCTGCTGTAACGATACGAGGCCTTGTATGAGCTTTTCGCGCTATGAGACCTGTAACCGCCCATAAAGCCTGAGTTAACTGACTCTACGTCACCAACGCATTCGTTGCAGGCTGCCGGCGCTCCCAGGGCCGACTGGACGAGCAGCGCGCCCATCAACAGCCAAGCGACTTTCCCCATGTTTTCGCTTGTGTCTCGCTCTCGTTACGTTGAATTTCTGAAAAACCATTATTTACCTCTTATTTCACATTCTTTTCAATTATCAAAAGCCTACTATAAAATTACACGTGTAATGAGTAATCGAATTTAATTTCGTTCAATATTATCAATAATATAATTATTAATTTCAAAACTCAACTAAAACCGGCCCTGTAGTTTTTCACTTTTTTAGAATATTTTGTTTTTTTAAGTTAATGTGTAAAAATAAATTAAAATCGATTCAAACGTTGCAGTTCTGTTTCATTAATTTTTTAAAAAGATCAATGAAATCAATGAAATAAAATAATTAAAAAAATTAAAAAATTATAAAACATTTTAATCGCGCAGTTGAAATATTTTAATTGTTAAATACTATTAATGTTATTGACTTGCAAGTACTTAAAATTATTTTGAAAAAACCACCGATACAAAGGATTATTTATTTGTATAAGATTATTTATTTTTCATTTCCGGTTCGCGTCACAATATATTCGATCAAACAATTCAAAAGCGTAAAAACCCCGCTAAATCGCATCCAAATGATATGCCATTTATAATTTTTTTTATTATTGTTTCTTTTTTCTTATAAAAAATCCTTTAAAAACATCTGATTTGCAAATAAGCTCTGCGAAACTGGATTTGATCGTAATGCGAGCTGTTATTATTTGAAAATAGTGAGTCACATAATGCATGCTATATATAATTCACCAAAAAAGGTAAATCTACATCTGTGGCTTAGATCGGTGAATCAAGCGTTGAATCACAATGAAAATTGATCACCTAAGCGCATGGAAATTTTAGTAGATTTGAATAGAAGTTATTAATTTTTAATATTAAATCGCACTTCAAAATGATTTTCATAAAAATTTAAAAAGATCAATTAATTTGAAAAAACGGAGAATTAGAATTTAAAAATTAGGTTCTACGATTTTCCGAAGAATACTTCTCAAAACCTTAAGGAAAGATCGGTTATTTCTCACCAATTCTTGAAATATATTACTTTGGCACTTGTTTTTCAAACTCAAATTAGATAAAAAAATAAATAGCGATAAAATTGAACTTTTGATCACTTTCACTATGAGCTAATACAAGCATGCAATTCACTCTGTCGAGCGACGATCACTCGTGTAAAAACTTGGCGCAAAGACGATCCCAAACGGTTGCCCCTTTCAGTACCTGAATCGTTCCTGTGCTTGAGCTTGAGCGCGATAAAAAAGCTCCGAGGAGCGTCGAGCTACGCGCCTACTGCCTAGCCAACTATAACTAACTTAGCTGCGAACTTTCTTATCTTATTTATATATAGAATGTAATACCGATCACACTCGGCCGAAACGATGCGCAGACATGTAAGTCAGGCGGTCAGCAGCGGATCATTTATGCTGTCAACCCCTCCTTCCGCTCACGCACACGCACACGTTGACGCGTCGTTACCTCCCCCTGACATTGAAGGTTTTCTTCTCTCTCTCTCTCTCTCTTTTTTCTCTTCTCCTTCCAAGCTCTCTCGATTCGTTTGCACAAAAGCAAACGATTACTAACTCAATTTGCGCTCAAGACATTTCGATGATGCCGATATGCTTTTGCGCGTGTACGATTGGACTCTCGTTATCATCGGCTTGTATACATAAACGGACTTCTAATGAAATCCATTTATTCTGTGTGGACAATTTAGCGGCGCCGGCCCAATTCCGCCGCTCGACTAATAACGCGAAGATGACGGTGGCGATGCTGCCGCGATGCTGCCGCACGCTCGAAAGACGCCGTGCGCGTCGGCGTTTTATAATATATACAAGCGACTCTTCGTATCTCGTTTTAAATCGCGGGATCGGGGTGCAAAAAATAGACTCTTATTTTTTGTACTATACGAGAGCACCGGATTATAAGCCATGTAGCAGCAAAAATATTGTGGTTTTGAATCGATTTGAAGAATCGGACGGACCTACACGAGTCCAAACTCGTTTTTAATGCTCGAGATTTATAAGTAAAAAAATAACAAGAAAGCGAGAACGAAGCAAAGAAAGAAAGAAAGAAAAAACGTGGGGTTTCCTTTTCCATCGTTAATCTCTCGCCGAAAATACGAGCGTATCGTAACGCGCGCCTCTGTATCTGTAGGCTCGCGCGATGGACACGTGTTTATAAATAACATGGGTAAAATTGGGTTTCCAGATCGAAATAATTAGCGCCTCGCGTTTCTTCCGATCCTTTGGCACTCGAGACCTAAAAGCGAGATGCGTAATGGATATACATAAGTCATACGTGTATTTTAATACAGCCCGTATACGTGCGTACGTCTGCGCGGGTGAACATTATAAGGTCAAGCTCGTTACTCAGTCTCTGCGATATATTTTTATTCTATAAGCTGGAAAAACAGCAGCGCGCCAATGACGAAACTTTACTCGATTCGGTCAATACGTAAGATGCATCACCGAACTTTGATCGTGCAAAGGCTGTTGTGCGCTAGTTGAGACGCGCTTCCAAAATTAGCATCTTTTTATCATTTTTTTCTCATCGATATATTTTGGACACGATACGGACAAAAAAATACATTTGAATTTAACAGCCTCGCTTTAATGCCTTTTCTTCGCTCGACAAACAAGTAAGGGCAAATTATTTACACCGGAGAGAAATTCTCGCACCCACAAATGCGAGAGTCTCAGCCTTGAGGTTTAACCGAGCAAAATCATGGCTAAAGGATGCAAATATAAATGAGTGAGAGGAAATGTGTCTTCTGTGCATATTCGAGCGATTGTGAATATATATAGCAGCCGTAGCATGACACACTCGCACGTACACCTAAATAAGGGAATTTGCCGATGTTTGTAATACACCGTCGCGATTCGAGGCCTGCGACTACGTGAAAACGTATTTCCTTCAAACTTTCGTGATATCATCAATATTATTCGCCTGTACAGGTAAACAATTGCGTATCTGCGACGAGAATCCAATAATTAACCCTTTTTTAATGGCACGATCGAGCTCAGTGTAAACAAACAGAGATTAAGAATTAGTCAAATCAATTCATGGAAACAAATATTATTCCAATGTTTCTTTGAATAGTATTATAAATTTTAGATCGTGAAATGTATATGAAACTTTGCGAAGAATATAAGAGGTTTATTTATTCTCGAGCGAAACCGAAAAGTGTAGCGAGCATTTGAGATTAAGAAAAGTGACAAAAAATAAAGTCGCCTTTTTATTCGTAAACATCAATCAGCCGGTATCGTTTACGCTTCGTTAAAAGAAATGTCTCATGTATACTCGATAGCCTACTTTTCTTGTTTCACTAGTGCCATGTGTTTTTTCCTTCTTCTTTTTGTACTTGATCTTTGACCTATTAGCGCTGACTTTTTTGCGCAGAACAATCTGGAGAAAGTAATTTTCGTCAAACACGTCAAATAAAACATGGTTATTTTCAAAACAACATTGGTTTCGATATCGCGATAAAACAAAATTTAAAGTAAACTGAAATCAAAACTTCCTCACTTGTAGAAGCTCTTAGATCAAACTCAAGTAACGATTAGAATGTACATCCCTTTGCAAAAGCGGATTAATTAAATCCCCTTACGCTTCTAGTGTCGATCGCTTTTTTACGCTATTTAAACTAATTTCTAAGGCCTTGGTGCTTCTTCTTCTTGTACAGCGAGTAAGGCAATATCGACACCCTGCGCGTCGTGGATAGTGCATAGTCCACGTCAAATGCACGCTCGACTAACATCCTTGCGCTCGCGCTCGCTGCGTGGCCTTGATCGACGCGTATTTTCCCAAAAATTTCTTTTGTCAAGCGAAGATACGGCGTCGCGCAACGTGCGCAGCATCTGGAGCAAATTTTCTTATTTTTAGTCAAATGATAATTAAAATACGAGAATAATCAAGATCGCGCGTTTACCACAATGTAATCGATTAATTTATTCATGAAATCCACACGTGTCGTGGCGGCCAAAAATAAAACGTATGCACGCCACGGCATAATATCTTTACATCATAGTCCGACGTGACTAAAACGGAAATAGTTAATCGAATCTTCTTTATTATATTGCACCTCAAATGGAAGTTTTACGTAAATCATCAATTTTTATTTCTCGCGAACGCGATTTAATGCAAAACTTGAGCGATCGAGCGAGCTACGTTTTGCGATGTTTCATGTCCCATTTGACTTTTTGTTTTTTTATCGTGAAGAGGCTGCTGAGACATTTTAGAATTAACGCGGAATGAGTAAAAGGAAAAATAATGGAATAAGTACAAAATGTGATTGTCCGTTTCGTCGCGCACGCGGTCCAATTTCCTTTCAGTCATACTCGAGCAATAGCAATGGCACACGCGTGTTTTGCACTTTATCACAAATGAAGCGATGAGAAGAAAAAAGAGCGAGAGAAAAACTGCGAGATTACAGCATATGGTCTCGTTGAGCTTTTGACCTCGCGACAATTTATTATCTCGCGACGCGAGCGACCCTCCTTGTTTTGAGCGCATCGCTCGTTAACTCGTATAATGTGCTTTACAATCATTTTCGGTCCCATGTAAATTGATTATTCTTAAAGTCTTGCCAGACACTCAAACATTTCATTCGGTTTAAAAGATACGCCGTAAAGATTCACGCCACGTTTTTCGCAATTATTATAACATACAAAATGAAACAAACACATATGTTTTGCGCGCAAAATGAAATGTATGAGTAATAATAATAAACTTGCTAGAGACCTTGACATAAACTTGAATATTTTCAGAAGATTTTTCTCATGGTTGTCTAAACGATGAATTAATTGAAATTCCCTGCATTGATATCGTTGACACATTTTCATTGTGCACGCTTTATTGGTATCATTTGGGTGAAAAGACAAAAGTGTATGAGCTGTCAGAAGCTATAAATTATCTTGCATGCAAGTTCCACGAATAACTAACTTTGACGAAGGCAAAAATTTAGACTTTTCGCGATCATAAATATCATTCCGACAGTTGATATTTAGATATGTGAGTAATGGGAATTTGACGATATGTTTTTCAGAAACCGAGCAGTACCGTGAGGTTCTTCAATCGTTCGGACTTTTATTCCCTTCACGGAGATGATGCTCTGTTCGCAGCCGAGGAAGTTTTCAAAACCACGTCTCTTTGCAAGAAAATTGGTCCAGGTTTGTCTTCCACTTATTTTGTATAAAACAAAACTATAAATTTCTTCATGTATCTATTTAAAATAAATATTTCAGCTAACAACAAAATTGACAGCGTGATACTCAACAAAAATACTTTCGAAAGTTTCGTGCGTGATTTGCTGCTGGTGAAGCAATACAGAGTCGAAGTTTATGTTAACCAAAAAACCTCCAAAAATCAAGATTGGACAATCGAATACAAAGGCTCACCTGGTAATCTTTCTCAGTTTGAAGATTTACTTTTCGGCAACAATGATGTGGCCGTCGATGCCGTCGTAATCGCCGTCAAAACTTCCAGTGATGCTTCCTCAAAGGTAGGATGACTTGTTTACCTATCATTCGATTTAAACTCATTTTCTTCTTTTTCTCCAATAGCACGTTGGTATCAGTTGCATCGATATGGTCAAATCGACTATTTCCGTATGCGAGTTCAAAGATGACGAAAATTTCATTGATCTCGAAGCGCTTATTGTGTCGCTCAAAGCTAAAGAGTGTGTCTTACCAAACGAAAACGCTCAAGATCTTCAAACCATTAAAGCTGTAAGCCTTAAATTTTTACCAAAGTCATTGTGATTCTATACTGTGTTGTTAATTTATTATTATTTTAATACGCTAAGATTATGGAGCGGAACAACGTACTGGTAACCATGAAGAAAAAAACCGAATTCGGCACAGACTCATTAATCCAGGATTTAAATCTCCTTATCAGATTTGCAAAAGGACAGCAGCAAAACGCTCAAGCTTTACCACAGACTAATTTGAATTTAGCAATGTCAGCTACAGCTGCTCTCATTAATTATCTAAATGTGAGTACTCGCTTCTTGTATGCTTACTCGATTTTTCGCTTTCTCGTTTACACCAGGGTCAAGTTCAAAAACGTGATATATCAAACAAATTTCCGTATTTTCCAAATACTTATTCTCTGAAGTTTGTTTGGAAAATGAATGAAATTGAATCACGAATTCGGAATTTTCTTAAAATGGTTCACTTTTTTAGATGACTGGGGACGATGGCAACAGCGGTCAATTCACTATAGAAGAAATTCAGCGCAGTCGTTACCTACGCCTTGATTCCGCAGCCATCAAAGCCCTGAATTTGGAGCCTCGAACGGATTTACCAGCGAACATACAAAGCTCGACATCGAGTATTCTAGGTATTCTCGATAAAACCCGTACCGCTGCTGGTAAGCGTTTGCTGTCCCAATGGGTGAGACAACCTTTGCGTGATTTAGCCCCTATCAAAGAGCGACACGATGTCGTAGAAGCTCTTTTGGAAGATTCTGAATTAAGCTCGTCTTTGAGCGAGGAACACTTACGTAGGGTTCCGGATTTGCAACAGCTAGCTAAAAAGTTAGCCAGAAAGAAGGCTGGGTTGAGCGATTTATACAAGTAGGTTGAACATTTTACATCTTATTGATGAATCCTTTCATTACTTATAATGCATATCATTATTTTGCAGAATCTATCAATGCTTAAGCCACATGCCAGTCATGGTAGAGAAGCTCCAATCTTTGAATAACGTTGCTGCTGCCAAAGCTATGTTTTTGGACCCATTAAAAGAACATCTTGAAGAAATGGACAAGTTTCAGCAGATGGTTGAGCAAACGATCGATCTTGAGGCCGCTGATAAGGGAGAATTCCTGGTTAAAGCTGAGTTTGACGACGAATTAAAGGGTAATTGTCATACTAAAATTTTATTTTGTAGCATTTTTGCATACTATCATCCAATATAACATTTTTCTATATTCTCGTACTGAATATTCGTTAAAACTATTCAATTTCAGAACTGAAATCTCAAATGGACGAGAAAGAAAGAAAAATGCAGAATTTATTGAGCAAAGTTGCCGATGATCTTTCTATGGAAGCTGGAAAATCTGTCAAATTGGAAACCAATCCACAACATGGTTATCATTTTAGATGTTCGCTAAGAGAAGACAAATCTTTGAGGAATAGCAAGAACTACACGATATTGGATTCAATAAAGGGTGGCATCAGGTTCAGGAACAAAAAATTAGAAAGTTTGAATGAAGATTATATGACTGCAAAAAATGCTTACACTCAGCAACAGAAAAGTATTGTAGTTGAAATTATTGATACTGCAGGTATACATAAATAAAATTTATTTTGATTATTCACTAATTATGTATTTGAGTACAACTAAATAAATTCTTTTAGGTGGATACGTTCCTCCACTTAAGAATCTTGGAAATGTTATTGCTACTCTCGATGTACTTAATTCTTTCGCCTTAGCTGCATCATGTGCAAGCGAAGTATATGTCCGACCAAAAATGTTACCGAGTGAATCTCAAGAACTCGATCTTGTTCAAATAAGACATCCGTGCTTAGAATTGCAAGAGGAAATTGATTACATTGCCAATGATGCACATTTTACAAAAGGTGAGCTTTTCTCATTATTTAGAAATACATCGTTTTAATTGGAATAATAAAAATATTGCAATATGTATATTAGACAGTCGTTTTCACATCATTACTGGACCAAATATGGGTGGTAAAAGTACTTACATAAGGTCCGTTGGTGTATCTGTTCTGATGGCCCATATCGGAAGTTTTGTACCTTGCCAAAGAGCAACAATATCAGTACTTGATTCAATTTTGGCAAGAATTGGAGCCGATGATTGTCAAATCAAAGGACTTTCAACTTTTATGGCTGAGATGGTTGAAACCTCAGCTATTTTGAGAGTAAGAAAGAAAATTTAATTTTGAATAAAAAAAATAGAAAATCTTATTCTGTTATTTAAAAATTTTCACTTTTCGATTTACAGACATCAACATCGAACTCACTGGTCATTATTGATGAACTTGGAAGAGGAACTTCAACTTATGACGGATGTGGCATTGCGTGGGCTATCGCTGAGTAAGTGTTATCAAATGAAAATATTTTAGCATTTATTTAATTGAATTGATTATTTAGGCATTTGGCGAAAGAAGTCAAGGCGTATTGTTTGTTTGCTACTCATTTCCACGAAATCACACGACTGTCTGAAGACGTTTCCACTGCAAAAAATTTTCATGTTAAAGCAATCGTTGATGAAAAATTGACCTTGCTTTATCAAGTGAAACCTGGAGTTTGTGATCAAAGTTTTGGAATCCATGTTGCAAAAATGGCAAATTTCCCAGAAGACGTTATTGAAGTATGATTTAAAAACAAAATATTAATTTACTAAAATTAATTTTACCCTTAACTAAATTTTTTTTTAACTTTAGTATGCTAAACAAAAACAAGCCGAACTTGAGGATGTGCAAGGAATCGTATTTGAAGGATCTGATGACCCTGCAAAGAAAAATAAAGTACTTAAAGTATGTAAAATTTCCTTTTCAAAAATATCCAAAATAACTGTTTCGTCTATTGAATAAATATCTATTCATTTATATTACAGGAAGGGGAGGAAATCATCAAAGAATTCATGGAAAACTGTAAAGAATTTGAATCTCTACCTGAAGAAGAAATCTTACCAAAAGTAGCAGAATTGAAGAAACAAGCTATTTCTCGTAATAATCCTTACATCAATGCACTTTTAGGAGTCTCATGAACAATAGTTACTACTTATTAAATAAGAACAGTATTATTATCCATTTATTCTCCGGTCTTAAGCAGGTACTAAGAACGTTATTTTTTTACGATTTTCAAACCTTGACAAATTGAATGAAAAAGCAGATTAATCAGTATAGATTATCAATTTTACTATTAATTATTCAGTACATTTTTGTTTACTCTAACAGTATGTAAGTAGCATGCATGTTTTTCGATCACTAATGTTCCTATATAAGGTAAAATCAGTGATATTAATGTTTTATCGTTAAGTTAAACTGTTACCTAACAAGTTTTTCGTATCTAAATGACGAATGCTTGATTGTTTTGTAATAAATGTCTTTCAAATATTGAAATAAGTATTATTAAAGTTATTTAAATCCACAGATAATCAAACTATGAAACTGCAAGTCCCGCCATCTCTATTGTCCAACATTAACGAATGCGCGTGCAAAAAATATATATAAATATATAATGTTAGCACGACCGCGTTATATATTGCATATAATTTAGTATTCGACACAGCTCAGCAGCAACAGCAGCAGCTTACACATTTGATGGTAAACTGCAAACGCGATGTTGCGCGCAAGCGATAAGGTCTAGAATAGGCCACTGCTTAGTTTGCAGCGCGTCATCGGTGCAAGAGATTCGCAAAATATCTGTGCATAGTGCGCGGCGCGCCTCGTCGTCGACGAGCTACGTTTTATTAACGTAGTGTAACCTTGAACCTGACTATATATCTATACACGGAGTACGAATGCACGTCGCACGAAAGCGTATAGCGCACATAGTACAGGACTGCGTGAAGGATATCCCAGCGTAAGGTTTTTTGGGGAGTGTCAGTCAGTGCTTGGCGATCGAGTGCAGCGCGCCACCCAGCTACGTAGGCTTCGTATGTGCACACAGACACACACGTTTCGCGACCCGTGAACGACCTGCATTGCTCAAACGCAGCGCTAATATAATACCTGCTGGTCCAGGTAAACGGAGGAATTTTTGGCAAAAGTGACGAGAAGACCGAGTAGTGTTTATTTATAATTCGCCCCTACTATTACAATTTAGAGTTTTGCTCTATATGTGCATTTTGCATAGAGATCGTCGGAGTGGAAAGTTGCAGTTGCAGTTGCAGTTGCAGAGTGAGTTCGCGCGTGTGTGAGTGCTGGGTACATACCCGTATTTCGATACACAAACGTCCATCGACGATTTGACATTTAACATGGATCCTGCCATATTTCCTGAGGAAATTTGGATTAAGATTTTGCTTGGGTGTGATGTACCTGATATCATTGCCTTCGGCAGTACCTGCAAATACCTGCGTAAAACTTCGGACACGGATTATCTGTGGTGAGTGCAATGCATATTATACCTATATGTGTGCCAGTGCACGAGTATGTGTAACGTTAGTAGAGTAGTAACGTGTGTAGCGCGCGCGAGTACTTGCATATATATAGTAAAAGACTAGCGTACACATAGTACGTGAGTGCAATTATTGATTGCGTCAATGGCATTGAGGTTATAAGCTCTGGAAATTCGCGTGAAATCGCATTATATCCTGCGAAACGTGATCCTTGATTCTATGACCTGATCGTCTTGCGCCTTAGGATTTGCATCGAATTTTTAATTTACGCGCATTGCTCGTTGCGGTACTTATTGTTTTTGACAGCTTTTTACGGCATCGGTAGTTCACGTTGAAGAATAGCACGAATAAAATCAAGTTTATTCATTAATTAAAATATTCGCTGTTTGTATTTTTTGCAAATACGCCAAATAATATTAAGACGTTCAATGATTTACCGACGCTTGCACACATTTAATTTCACCGCCATTTGTAGAATTATCTAAAAAGTATTTCGATTACATCGAGAATGCTTTTTTTTCTATCGATCATCGACGATCAATTTATATTTTTTTCATGATATTCTAGGAAACTAAAATGGCTACAGCTCACTTCAAAAGTAAATTTTCAATTTCCGGACGTCAAGTCTCTGCAAGTAATCAACGTCAGTTTCAAAGCCATGTGCTACAGGCTACATATGATGATGGCCCTCAACGAAAGTACAGAAAATATGTTTCCAAAATGTTGTTACTGCAGTGGTTATACATGCCAAAAATATTGCACCGAAAGATCTAGCACTAAAGTAGTCATAGAAATAGGCAATAAGTACACATGGGTTATAACTCCAAATTTTGGGTTGAGGAGACACTGCTCAATGCTTGGCTTCCCGAAATATAACAAACAGATGACTCATGTGGAACAAGTACCTTCTCAACTCCCTCCACAGAGTGCACCTAGCAGTAGTTGCAGAAGAAAATTGGAAGGAAAATTCGTCAGTAAAAAGTCTCTGGTAAAATTGTTGAAACTTTCTGAACCAGAGTCTACTAAACTTCCGCCTCGCAGTGGACCATTCTGTGTATTCTGCAATTCAGTACAATTGTATAGAGAAAAAAGGAGGCTTGAATTACATCCTAATGATGCATCTTGTTGTCCTCATCTTAATGCAAACCATCAGAAATTAATTAATGGTTATTGCACAGATACAAAAGAAATTTTAGGCATACCAAATATTGATTTATTGAATCCAGCTCAAGCTTTGCTTATGGATGGATCATTTTCAGTTTTAAAGGATTTTGTTGATCATTTATTTAGACAAATGGGTCTTACTGAAACCCTAAGAAAACCTAATACAGTTCTTATGCTGTGTGAACCATTAGGAATGAGCATATCAATTAGGAAACAACTTTTACATTATTTATTCCAAGAAGTCAAAATTGCTAAGTGAGTAAAAATATTTTCTATTTGAATATTGGTTTGATAAAAAATATATTTTAATTTTGTAATATGTTACTTACAGAGTATGTTTAGTACCTAAACCACTATCTGCATGTGCTATGATTGGAATAGACACTTGCATTGTTATAGATAGTGGCGCTTTAAGTACAAGTGTAGCTGTTATAATTAATAATAGAGTTGTACCTTCTTGTTGGAAAATAATACCTGTTGGTGGATGGCATGTAGCTTATTATTTAAAACAAGCAATGAATTGGCAACCAAAGGAGTGTCAGGAAATACCGATTTCTTATCTAGATTCCCCTACTGTGAAAGAACGCTGTAGGCTCTTATTGGATATGCAAGATGGCGAATTTCATAATAGATATGATAAATTCAGCAAAGGGGGACAAAGCAAACCTGATAAAGTAGATATTGATATCAGAGTTGATACTTATGCTAACTGTAAAAGGGATTGGGTATGTATCATACAATTAAAATGATCGAATTATTGGAAGTATTGAAATTAAAAATCGAATGCATTTTTTTTCAACAGAGAGTAACATTAGGATCAGAATTATACACAGCTCCAGAGCTCATGTATGTCAGCATGAATTTACCTGAAGCAGTCAAAGAAGTCACAAAAGGACTTCCTGAAATCGTTAAAAAGGAATGTTTGTCTCACATTCTCTTGACTGGTGGAAATACAGATTTACCTGGATTTGAATTACGATTGCGACAAGATTTGAAAAAAGTCTTTCCAGAATATGCACCTCTTTTAGAAGTAAAAGGCTGTCTAGGCACCCACTGCTGGAACGTAGTAATGGGATCCTTGTATGTGCCTTTATCTTTGCATCCAGGTAAATTGAACTAACAGATTAATTGGATGATAAACATTAAAAGAAATGTAATAAGTCTCTTTTTATTTATAGATAAAATTGCACCAGAATATTCAGAGGGATGCTCATTTACATTATCAAGAGAAAAATATATTCTTTTTGGTTGTGAATCGTTAGATGAAGAAATTTATGATTAAATAATTGAGTCTTGATTAAAAAGGTTGATAAAGTTTCATATCGAGATTTTATAACAGCAAAATTATAGGATAAATTGAAAAATATTGAATATCCGTTCAGAGCACGAAAAAAATAAAAAATATTATATTACGTATCTAGGCCGTGAAAAAGAGAAAACTTCCAAGGTTCGTGTAATTAGTGTCCGAGGCTGATGAACACGTTTACTGGGTCTTTTTTAAGTCGCAGGCTAAGTGTATATACAATATTTCGTGAAGTCCCTGAGCAAAATGTAACCATTTCCCCTAGGCGTTAGGCTGAAAAAGAGTTGCTTTCGGATGGATTATCGAAAAAAATATGTTACCATCTTGCGATAGATTATATCCCATGTTATCAGTGAAATTGTTGGGAATTGTAAAAGTCAAATGATTAAAAATTTCGACTAACATCAATCGGATATATGTGTATTAAATTTTGCTTACAGATCATCTGAAATATCAATCTGCTAATAATAACTGGTGTAACCAAACATCTAAAGTCATGATCTACATGAAATTAATATTACATACAATTATTGCGATAAAAAAATTCATAGTCATTACTTATCACATAAATCAACAGTGGTAAAGCATTTAATTGAACATTCCAATTGATATAAAATTCAATATTTTTAATTTCGTTTGCTTTTTCACTGTTTGTTGAATTCAGTTTGTTGAATTTTCATTTCAAAAAAGTTGATTTAACTCTTCAATCGAAACTCTTTCTCTCTATCTCTCTCAAAGTAGTTAATTAATGAAAAAAAAATTAATTTTTTTGTTGTTGTCACTTCTAATTTACTTGAGTTTTTTTTTAAATTAAAATTAATAACGATTTTTTATGATACTAAAAAAATATTATATAGTAATGAAAATCAGATTTTCATGGTTGTTAAATTTGTTTCACATTTAAAAAAAAGTATTTCACTGTATTTTTTCAAAAGTATTCAATTTATGAAGAATTGTATTAAGTACGAAGTATCGAATGTTTATATGGACATTATTAGAATGACTGAATTGTAATTTTTGTAATTAAGTTGTACTTGTTTTGTATATAAGAACGGTGTGTAAAAGTGTCCGATGAAAATGCTTTAGTATTAAAAGTATAAAAGATTATTGTGATAAAGGACTTGGTATTTCTTAAAAATTACAAAAAAAATATGAAAGAAAAATATGGTAAGTTTTACAATAATTATCAGTTGTTTCGTAAATTTATATGGAAGAAAATCTTGCCAAAAATAAATTAAATGAATATAGGAAAGAAATATAAAAGTTATATAGCTGGATTTCTAGTCATATTTGGAATTTAGAAACATAAAATGTTTACTTCCGTGTTAAGATATATTAAATGAAAAAAAATCCATGGTAATAGGATAATGTAAGGAAATAAAAATTGGAAACGGCGTGAAAATTAACACGTGCATTCATAAAAAAATATCATTAAAAATTATCAAATTTTCAACTGCTTCTTGTACTACGATTGATTTTTAAAATTGAGCGTCATGGATTATAAAATAATAAACATATTTACACATAAATATTATGATCTTAACGAATTTAAAAAAAGGATCTTTCTGCGATTAAATATAATGATTTTTTGCTGTATCTGGTTGAAATAATTGCTAATTATAGATTTATATTTTAGAATTTTTATTGTTACAAATTTTTTGTTCAAGAAAATGAATTATGCTTCAGAGTTTATTGCATTAATCGTATAACAATTAGCTTACATAGTAAAGTACGGCTACAATTACAGTTATAAAGGTATTCGATTTTTCATTGTATATGTACATCATTCTTCTGTAATTGCTAAACTAATGATTAAGCTGTATTTTATACTTTAGTTTCATAAAAAGTTAAGTTTTCTTTTGTAAAATTCTTTTAGATTTAATAGATTTTCTTATAAAATTTTAAATATCTACAAATTGTCACCTTATTATAAATTTTATAAATAAAATGGTATGAAAAAATTATGTCTAGTTTTTAAAAAACGCAATTTGAATCCGATCATTAAATCAAAACTTCATATAAATTTTATATAAATTATTTATTGCATTCTCAATATACTAACTTACTAACAATAATAATTTGGTATTTTCTTAACAACTAAAACGTATAAAATTCTGTATAATGATTTTATTCATACTAGTGAATGGTAATTTTAATGGAAGAAAAGTGTGAATTTTTATTTGCCAGAATATTTGAAATTGTAAGGTGGGAGACCAGTTACCCCTAAACCTTTGATGGCAAAAAGACTTCCAGCATCAGGTTTCCTTGACTTCTCTTCGTCACTCATATTAACGCGAGCCGATGTGACGTACAAAATATCGAGATTCGGCCCACCGAAGGCAACACTGGTTATTTTGTCAACGGGCAACTGAACCTTTTGCAACAATTTTCCTGACTTGGGATTCACTTGGATAACGGCAGCCCCGTCGAAGAGGGCGACCCAGAGATTACCCTGCACGTCGATAGTCATGCCATCGGGAATACCCTTGATGTTGTTCTTCTTGAGATCGAAGACGACCCTCTTGTTGTGCATGTCGCCGGTGCTGACGTTGTAATCGAAGGCCCAGACCTGATGGGTGGGCGAATCGATGTAATACATGACGTTGTCGTCGAGGCTCCAGGTCAGTCCGTTGCTGATGGTGACGGGCGAGATGACGCTCTCGGGCTTGAGGTCGGGCCCGATCCTGTAGAGGCTGCCGCGATTCGGCGCGATCTGGCCGCCGACGTCGTGGGCCATGGTGCCGAGCCAAAATCGGCCGGCCGCGTCGCACTTGCCGTCGTTGATGCGAGTATCGCTGCGATCGGTGTCGAGCGAGGCGATCTTTTTCATGGGCGGCTCGTCGGCGTTCTCCTCGCCGTTCCAGGTGACGAGGACGAGGTCGGTGCCCGAGGCCGCGACGAACTTGTCATCGCTACCCTCGACCGGAATCGCGACGCCCACATAACCGTGCTTGACGTGGGCGTAGGTTACTTTCTTGGTGAGCGGATCGAAGCGGAGGATCTTGCGCCCGTCGATGTCCACGTAGTAGAGCTTCTGCTTCTTGACGTCCCAGTGGGGGCCCTCGCCGAGCTCCACCGAGTCCGCGACTTTCTCAACGACGATCGTCGACATGTCCGCCGCTGCTGCTGCTGATGCTGCTGTAGATTCGTTGCCGCTGGCACCGCTACTGCTACTGACGGTCGTACGCGACTCGATCGGCTGCAGACAACACGAGCAGACGACAGCGACTGCCAAAGCGCCGACTAAATTCACGCGCAATAAGCCCATTTGAAGCGGGTGCGCGAGCTTTTATAATTTTCGATCGACCTGCTCGAGCAGACGTGCGATACGGTCCCTATGCAAACACGAGCGCAGCAAACTTTGCAATAATATACAATAAACGCGACGCCTCGAGTCGACGAGGTTATACGCGCTGCCAGAGATAATGACTGTTTTCCGTTTGCTCGGCTCTCGTGTACTTATAGATTCTTATGTAAAGGAAATATATATATATACACGCTATGATCTGCGGCCCTCCCGCGATAGTTTCTCTCATAGAAAATGATCGTATTTACTCGCGTAGCAGCTGTCATGCAGATGCTGGTGGTGGTGGTGGTGGTGTTGACCGAGAATTCATAATAAAACATCTTTTTGACGTGCTTTCTCGCGGCGTCCGCGTGGAAGGTCGTAATTTTTTCATTACGTAACTCCATAAATTATTCCTTATGAAGCTTTATTACAAGCGATAATTAACCTTCTTCACGCCATTGTGCCGATTTTTTTTCCTTCTCCAACTCTTGAAGCCGATCGCATAAAAAAAAAATAATACTCGTGATCAATTCGTTCCTTGTTCTTGGTGCATGTAATCGAACGCGTTAAGGCAACGGAACGAAAAAAAAACGATTATCTGCGTAAAGTCGTACGATCCGCGGCTGCTGCACGAGGCAATGACCATCGTTGCAGCTTTATTTTCTATCAATATTTACTCGATAATATATTTTGCGTTGTTTATTGATGCGCGCGAAAGAGAAATGCGAATGTATATGTCATTAATTTCCAATGATGCGATTTCTTTATTTATTTATTTTTTCTTATTCAAACAACGGGTTATCGCTGTTTGTATCGTGGAAATTATGTTTAGCTTGCAAGTTACGACTGCCTGTGGCTCGCGCGGGTCTGTTGTTAGAAGTTATTTGACTTTTCTCCCATTTTTAAATTTAATATCGTGAAAATGCCAACGTAGATAAATGATTGGTTACGAACGTAATGACGGATTCAAAATAGTGTATTTATTCTGCCGGCTTTATTTTTCCTCGCACATAATCACGTACTTTTTGACATGTTTTTTTTAGCGCTTCTCGAATAAATAGCAAACATCGTACGATGCTCCTTTCTGTCCGGTAAAAGTCGCCGGATAATTGTAAATCAGAGCGGCATTTTCTTCGCTCTTGTTGTGGAAGCTATGCTGATTCTTACGAGCTGAAAAAGGAAAAAAAATTACAACACTGAACAATCGCATCCTAATACATTAATTCATCTAGTTATGCTCGGATTCGGTACCTTCGTTGACGAAGAAATTGGCGAAATACTGGGATACTTGTATGGCGTTTTGAGTGTGAGGCACGTTCTTGCCCGGTCTCCACTCGTAGGCGTTCTTTTCCGGGTGAAATTGCACGCCGTAAAACGGATGGGTCACGTGCTCCAGCGTCGATATGAACTTCTTGTTGCTCTCGTCGCGATTGTAGGACATTACTCGATAATCTTCGGAAATTTGCGCCTCGCGCAGCGACTGCAATGCACAACAACAGTCAACGTACGGAGCATCGCGCATCGAGTCGAATTTCGCGCTTCAAAGCGCATCAATTTTTTTCGTCGGATTGGATCGACTCACCTGTTTGTTGAAGCAGAATCTGTGATAATTCCAGGTAACGTTTTCCGTCTCGAGAACGTTGACGAGATTTTCCGATGCATTGCGGAACAGACGGCTCTTGCGGTAGTCATTCGTCAGCTCCAACGGGACGGCTCGATTTTTGCTCGAGCAATCGAATCGGTAATCCTTGCGATTGCTCGCTATGTAGAGAAGAACTTCGAAACCTAAGCATGTGCCCCAGATAGGAAAATAATCCCCGTTCGTGTTCAGCCTCGTCGCGATACTAGAAAAAAAATCGGATGATGTTACTTGGAACGAGTTTTTTTTAGGTCTTGCCCTGATAGTCGATGAAGTACTACGATACGAACTTGTAAATTTTTTCAGCTGATTCGGCATAGCCATTAGTTACGTTGAACCATGCGGCGCCACCCGGAAGTAAAACCCTGCATAAGTAGTTGAACGTTCGTGAGATATAGTCAAAAGATTCAATTTGATCAATAAGTTTCGTTACTTACCCATTCACTTTGCCCAAAATGTCTTCGTAGTAAGCCTCGGTTTGTCCAAGCCTATTATTTGTAATCGTTTAGCGAATAACTCGTAGAATGAAAAGCAAGAAGAAAAATGTAATTACCAAATCGGTGCCACCCTGGCTCCCGCGCCCTCGATAAATTTCACATAAGAAGCTGCCAAGTAAGCGTTGTAAGGTCCTGGATAGAGCTCCTTCAACTGATATGATATTTCCTGCGTCAGAATCCCTGCGGCAAATCGTAATTCTCAATTTTTGCTTTTCCACGACCAAGATTAATCGGCGTGTACATAAACTCGGTAAGCAACTTTTGATGACGCGCGCGAGTGCAGCAGCCGCAAGAGATAAACAATTTTATCGACAAAGCCGCGGAAACAACATTATACAATGCGCAAATAACTTACCAATCACAGGCCGGCTATTGAGTTTCGCGCCATGTTTCGTAGCGGCTACCAGGAGAGTCGGGTCCGCCAGGCAGCTCAAGCAAACAGCCAAAAACACCAGAGCCGGACGCATCTCCTTTTTTTATTTTTTCGTCGCTCCGAGCCCAAAATTTCTCTCTCGGCGCGTCTGCCGGTGCTGGGGCTTTTATCGCGAGTGCGTGTGTGTTTATATACACGCGAACAAGAGAGAGAGAGAGAGAGAGAGAAAGAGCGAGAGAGAGGCCTCTATGTAATAGTCGAATATATTTGCCGAGCCGAGCACTTCATCTTCGATACTTCGTATGTGCATGCGTCATCGTCGCGCTTGCACAACTACTCCGCGATCTCGTTGTGTGTATATATGTGCGTGTGCTTTACATTTGAGCTATATAACAACGGCCTGATAATAAGAACCGTGGAAAATAAAAGAAATGTATACCGATGATAAAATCGCTACCAGTCCACAATGAAATCGTGGGGGTCTCTTCCGATATTGATTAATCGTGCTTACGGTTTTATACACTTGTATACGCACGTCTGCTTTATTGTAACGACAGCCTTAGGTAATAGAGACGCTTGCGAAACTTTCTTTTGTCAACAATGAAGGTACAAGATAAAATTTTAAAAAATATTCATATATTATATGTAACCAACGTAAGTAATACAATATTTTTTTGCTTGTTTTCTTTACGCAAAAGTTCGCGATGACTCGATTAACGAGCATCGTATTTTTTCGCATTCACAAATTTGCTCTTGTGTTATTTTACTCGTATTAACTTTGCAATGAGAATTACAAAAATGGAAAGGCAGCTAATATGATTTTTTTCCACTTTTTGCTACACAGAATGCTTCTTGCATAAATCAGTACAATACATACTTTTTTTGAACATAAAAAATCATATTATTGTGAATTCGTTGCACCATGGCGCAAATTCTATAAAAAAAAACGTTTCCTATTTTCCTATTCTTTCGCATCAACGACAAGTTTTATAAAATAATTGCATGATTTATTAAAATTATTTCATACAAGTGTCGTAGAAAATGTTCGCATGTGAAATTTGATGAAATTCTACAGCTTATATAGCATCCAGCACAATTACGAAGTTATAATATAGAGTGATGTAAATGTTAATAGACGCAATGTTTTTCGTAGATATACATAGACGAATTATATATGAAAATATTAACTTTGTTCGTTTTTCTTAAGGTTAATTTTCATTTAGATAATATCGACTCTGATTTTATAGGAAAAAACAAATTGTTTTTTAATTTCAAGTAAAAACGAGTCAACTTATGCACATATAAGTAAGATTTAGTCTCTAAATTATCAGACAGTAGTAAATATCAAGTAAATCATCAAAAAACGTACATAACGTTCATATTGAATTTTAGTCTTACAGTTTGACGCTATGCGTTAGGTAAATAAACGTATAATCAAACTCACTTTTATACAATCTATGTACAAAATGAAAAAAATGTGAAGATCTATACATGTTAACTATCAGCTATGAGATAGATACTATGAATGCATGAAAACTTGAAAGTTCTTAAAAGATCGATGGTAATTTTGAAAATGTGACAAATAATATTAGTTGAGTAACTCAATCATAGTACCGTAACTTGAAATAATGAGCAAATGAAGATCACACACAGTTTTTTTCTTTAAAAGTTATGATGGAGTTTCAAAAATATCAGCGGAAACATCACAATACTGCACCGCTTTTCAAGTATGTTATTTTTACAATATAATTTTCTGCATTACAGTCTATAAATTTCAAAAGTTCGGAGAAGAAATGCAGTTGACATTTTGTTCGTGATGAGTTCCGTCATGATTTGAATTTTTCGCCACGATCGTCGCTTTTATTTTGTATGCGCGTATAAAAACACAATGAATAACAGTATAAATACTTTAAAAAATTGGCAGCTGTCGTCCCGCATTTCTTTTTCATACAAACGTAGCCTCTTCCAGCTCTCTGGCAAATCTTTTTGAATCACATCGTTGGGAAAGCATCAACAACATCAACGAATTCTTCATATATTACTACATATGACTAGTGAAAAAGTTTTGGTAATGCAAAAACGATTGCAACATCAGCTATCGAAATGAAAGCTCAACTGCATGTCTTCTACGAACAAGAAGTCACTTAACGATCGGCCATTATCGTTACTGACAAAAACAAATAATAATAAAAAATCGATTTGTATCGCATAAAATTATAAATGTCGACGTATTTATATTTATACAGTCATGTGTCCTAGCAGCAGGAACTCTTGGCAGGCTCGGCCTCGACGAGATTGAAGTCCAGACCACCGGGCCGCGCGAAGCCGGTCTTGATTCCGTCCCAGCCATCCTCGACTTTGTACTCGCCGTTCTGTATTCGATTGTAGACCTCTTGGGTGACGGTGCGGAAGGCCTCCTCGACGTTGAGGCCGGTCTTGGCGCTCGTCTCGACGTGGTGCACGCCGTACTGATCGGCGAAGGCGCGCGCCTCCTCCTTGGAGACCTCGCGGCGGCCGCCGTTCGCCACCAGGTCGAGCTTGCAGCCGACGAGGCAGAAGACCGGTCGGTGCGGCTCGATGTGACGTCGAGCCTCCATCATCCAGCGGGGAATGTGCTCGAACGAGGCGCGATTACACACGTCGTAAACGAGCAGAGCGCCCACGCTGTTGCGGTAGTACGACTTCGTTATGGACCTGAAACGAGATCAAAGACATTATTTTGTTGGATGAATAGAGCCGAAACTCTTGCCTAACTTGTATTGAATGGGAGAGAAAAAGTAAACGAATCTACGGTCACCCCATACATCTAAAGACCAACGTATAGTTTTACTCTGGCTATGTAAGGTTTCTCGCCCTGCGCGTGTTTAAGTTCACGATTCATTTTATTTTGTTTTGAAGGTGGGTTTTTGGTATTCGAAGCTGATCGATAAAACAAAATTGTACCTGAATCTCTCTTGTCCAGCTGTGTCCCAGAGCTGCAGTTTGATCCTCGTGCCGTCTTTCACCTCTATTAGCCTCGCAAAAAAGTCCACGCCCACTGTTGGGTCGGAGAGCTGCAAAAAAACGATTACGTCTTTAAACATATTCATAAAAACTGAATGATGTGTATGAAGCGTGCGTAGGTCAGTCGGATGTGATCTACATACGTATTGCTCTTAGCCGATTCGTATGAAACAAAATAAACCACAGATGTTGTAGTTAATAAACGCAAACATCGCGTTACGTAAAAATACCTGCATCTGCATTGCAAAGATTTTGAAAAAAATAATCGACTGCAGCGAGCATCTCGCCTGTGCAGAATGTGCTCGCAGTTGCATAAGTCATGCTAAACGATCCTTTGGTAACAGCAACGACGACGACGAAAAAAGCCGCAACTCGAGTAGTCGAGGGGAGAGCGTCCGCGCATTTGCCGCGCACGGATAATGTATTAGCATAAATTACTCGATCTCGTTTAATCAATTCGAGCTGCAGCTAGCCGAGCGGCAAATGTGTGCCATTTTCCTAACATTACATGGCGATAGCCTGCGAGGCGTGCGCGTCAACGCGTGTTGACTTATGGACGGCGGTATCCGATGGCGACTTTTAATTAGAAAATACATATAATCTCTCGCTCGTGTTGCGAGCCTAGAAGGTAAAAATGGTAAAAGTTGATATCGGATTTGATTTGAGCGATAGCGTAAATCCATTAATTATTTTTTCCTTCATTAATATCACGCAAGCCGTGGAGATCTTAACGATATCGCAATATCATCGGAAATGTAACGTTACGAATGAATCGAAGAATTAGTTCTCGAGTGTTATTAATCAATTTTTAATAATTGAAAGCTCATTTTTTTATGGCACGTAGAAAATTAAATTATTATGTTAAATAGAGAACGCTCGTGAAAGTTTCATTAACCGTGTCGAGATGAGTACCAAAAGTAGGATTTCTAACGCCTAGGCCAGAATCCTAGGCATAATGTCACGAGCGAAAAGTAGTCATTATGATTTACGCACACATACGAGTTTCTCTCGCGTTGCACTTGCTCGGAATATGATAGGCAGATTATTGTTTCTGTTGCTCGCGGAACGTCTCATTACCCCGCGAATCTCCGGAGCAAAGATTTTTTACACGAGAGCGATCGCGCGAAATATAAGTACGCGCGCACGCTTTCTCCGCGGTATGCGGGGCGATATCGCTCGACGACGTGTTGAATGTACGACTCGTGTAACAATGCATTCGATATTTCATTCTTTTTTCTTCTTCTTCGTTGCGTGCCCTCGATAATCCGCGCGTTGCGATGCGTCGAAGAAAAAATGCCAGCTATCGACTAAATATGAATTCGTCGATGCGTGATCTGCACTTGTCGCCAGCATCGCTTGCTTTAACTTTGCGTTGAAAAACGATTGACAAAACTTCCGATGCCTCGTAAAATCAATGTTTTATTACGATATCAAGGCGCAGAGAGAATCGAGTATTGAAATTACTCACTAACTCATTGTACGATCGAAATACGTTATATGTTTTGATCACATGCCGAGAATATACTAATTTATTATCACGTATGGAACAACCGTGCGGAATTTCTATATAGATAAGAAAGTTTTGTGACGGGTAATTGCGTGCGATCGTGACAAATATTATTTGAGGAATTGCGATTTCTCTTTATTAAATGTGTCTTCTGTAAATTAGCTATTAGAATCTGACGCGATCCAGATATGAAAATTTGCATTCGACAATGATGAAAACTCTTTGTTTTGTGACTATAGACAAGAGCTTCGATTTCAAACAAAGTGCAGCATTGAATCTACGAAGCTACGATTGTTTCTTCGAGTGCAAAAATGTCGCAAGTGAACTTGTGGGTTTTCAATGGTGCGTTATTCATGATAAGCAACGTTTGAAAATAGATCGTGATTTATTAACTGCTCCTTTTTTGTCATTCTCGTGACTCATTGCTTAAAACTTCCCCGAAGTATTTATATTTCCGAGATGTAACTTTGTGCGCTTTGCCCACAACATAAAAATCTTGCCAGCGGAATTGCAATCGCTTCCTACGTATAGGTATAATTGCTTCGAAAAAGGGGAAAGCAGTAAAAGCTGTAAAATAATATCGGAGATACGAATTCAATAATCGTATTTCTCTGGCAACAGTCGGCGAGCAAAGTCTTTACCGCAGCCGTGTAGTCCACGACAGCCTTAACCCCAATCTAATATAAGAACGAGAGAAAGCTTCGCGCAAATGAACTCGCAGAGAAAGAGATAAAAGCGTCGATGCCCGTACGGTCCGCGACTGAGATTAGAAACGAGTGCGAGAATTTACGAAAAAGAAGAAGCTCGCGAAGAGCATATTTAGCATAATCGAGCGCGTATAGCAAAACGCTTCCAACTATTTATGTGTCATTTACTTTTAAACGTGTTTATTCTTATTAAAAACCCATAACTTAAAAAGTCGTAGCTAAAAATTTTTCGTAGCAACATTCCAATTTCGTACGCAGCATAGCCGATAGCGCGTGATTATTTTTCTCAACTGCGCACTTTGACAGCTCCATTGGTGGACTAATATACGAAGCATGTTTTGTCAGCACGCACATGTGTTTATATATCTGTTAAAAAATCTCATGCAAGCGATTCGAGCTGAAACTTCCAAGTAGACGTTGCGCGAGCAGAGTCTTACATTGCACCTTGTGCTTCGTACGTGAAATTAAATGCCCTCTCGATCCCTTTAAAAGCCTTGAAAGACTCCGATCAGACTCGTGTTTTCGTATTTGATGTTTTGACCCCCGCCGTCCGCCATCTTGGTTAATGACGTCACAAAGTCTAACGTTCAATCATGTTACTCAAAAAAAGAATTTCTAACGTCAATGCAGGTAAGGGAGCTAAAGCGCGACAATGCGCCAAAATAAAAGATTCAACAATATTCTATTCGGGGAGCTGACAGTGGCAGCATTATCGTCAGCATCGTTGGAGCAACCCACATACAAACACACACGGTACACGTGACACAGTAAAAAAAATGATGAAATAAAGCGAGATATCAAAAGAGGAAAAAAAATTACCTCGGCAAATTTGCCATCGGTGAAGTACTTGAGGAGCGAGCTTTTGCCAACTGTACTGTCACCGATTAGGATGAGCCTAAATTGGTAGTCGAAAATTGGCTCGACCATGTTTGACACTGTATTGCTTATTGTAAAATGCACGCACGAAACTGGCTAAATGCGCGCGTACGAATGTTTACTACGCACTATCTCGTGTATACGTTCGAATAAAGCACTACTATATACGATGAGCACGGCAAGCTGATGATGCACACCAGTCACTCTAGGAAGGCAGCTGATGCACGATGCTCTCCTCTGTCTCTTATTGTGTATATTTACGCAAGCAACGTGTGATTTATCGATATTAGGCACTTTTCCTGGCTGGCAGCGAGTTCAGGCAGCACAGACGCTTCTTATGTTCTCTTTTATGTAAGCTACAACTGCTTGTTGCTGGTATGTGTCATCAAGGCGGCATCCGAATTGTGGTCATTTGACAGACTCTCATAATTACACTACCGCTGCGTCAAAAGTTTTGTAATTTCTCTCTCTCTCTCTTTAATTTTTTTTCTTTGTAACCTAAGAGCCAGCTTGTATCGTGTGTGTGCACTCTCGAGACGGCTGCTGCCAAACGACTACCTGCCCCAGACGGCTGCGGTTGCTGCTGCGGATAATCTATCCTATACCGTTCTTTATTTCGCTCGGCGCTTTATTTTGACGACGATAAACACATGTATATATATGCAGAGGAGCGACTGCCGAGGAAATGTATGCGTAAGACGGACCGAGGACACGGCTGCGAGATTTGCTGCTGCCCGAGGCATTATTGTACACGAGTACTTATGAAAAAGTGTTCTCGCAATCACCTACAATGAAAACTTCGCGGAGCAGCGAACTTTACATTGCGGCGCGTCGAGTTCGAAAAATCAACTAAAAACACTTTCTACAGTTTTTTTTGTCAAAAATATAAATTCTTTTATTAATTTTTCGACGACATTCCATGCAACAATACCATTAACAATTACATTTTTTAAACTTAGATGATTTTGAATATAAACTTATGTTCTAAATAGAGATTTAGTTTGGAAACAGTACTCAATGCATTAAAATACTTTTTATGCACGCGAATAAATCTTTTATCATGCAATATAATCAATTTTAACTTCATAAAAAAATAATATATAATCTTTTAGATGTGTTTATGCTAATGCTCCATAATACATTATTTTGATCCTCTTCCCAGTGCTGCAAATGAAAAGTTTTCATTTAATTATTCAATTCAATTTTACAATAAAAAGGTAAATAAAAATCAATATTTTACCTTCTACATGGCATACTTCAACATCAAGACCTATTTGTTCCAAGTATTGAAGCCAAAGTTTTTGTTTCTGAGACAGTGAATCACCAGGTCCTTTCACTTCCACTATCTTGCACTAAAATTCATATTAAGGTATAATTTTTGATAAAGTTCGACCAGAAAAATATATAAATTTCATTTTTTACCGTTGAATTAATAACATTCCAAACAATGAGGTCTGGAAAGCCTGATCTCCATAATCTATAATTTGTGACCAATCTTTCGCAAATGCCTGTTACTCCACTTATTCCCATGCAAAGAACGACATCCTATGTGAATAAAGATGATACATTATTTTAATGACTAAAAAAAATTATGGAGATATTTCAGAGTTAAGAAATAAAAATACTTTAAACTGATCTTCGTTCTTAAATAATGGATTATTTGCCATTAATGACTGGTACTGTAAACAGTTGCAGTACTTATCATACAAAATCATAGCGAAAGTATCAGAATCCATGGCCCGCATGGATGTAAGTTTTTCTTCTATTGCTTCCTTTCGATTTTGGAAAAATTCTTTAGTGAACAAATCTAATGGCGCTGATTGGTAATCCGAAATAAATGTTCCCGGTACATAATAAGAGTATAGCTCATCCCAGAAAAATATCGTGAATAATGTAATTGGTAATGCACCCTCGCAATGAAGACCTTCGACAAACATCTCTTCACTGGTGTAATGCTGAAGCGCCAAGACTTCGACACTTCCGTAAAATTTGTCTCTGCCGTTTATAGTAATGCTCCATGTACTTTTGCCCGTGGATTCGGCCCTGTAAATTATTCATTTAATTTATATGATTGAATAAATCTTGGAAAATTATTAGTTGAGTTATACCTATTTGCCATATTGGCCTTTATAATTTTGGTATTGGCTGGTTGAGGTACTAATCCTTTCTCTTCTACATCCAACAAAGTCTTCTCAACTAATTCTCTGGTTTCCTTGCTCAATCCAGTTTTCCTTCTGGTTAATTTCCTCAATCTTTCTACAAGATCAGATACATCCACCTCGGTCAGAGTATTCTGCTGCAAGGCATGAATCGCCAACGCCGCGCTATTCTCCAAATTTTTCAAATGATGCATCTCAATCAATGCAAGCTCGCTGTACCATTTGCCCCGGCTGCTTTGAGAGAAAAGCTTATCATCTATAAGCGTTTTTAATATAGTCACAGCCTCAGGAATTGTTTCAGGACTTTTTTTGAAGGCATCAACGCTCATTGACATGACTTTCAGCCACGAATATTCAGCGACGAATTTTCGCACATGCAGTGGTAAAGTAGAGTTTTCCGGCCTGAAAAGTTAACAAAATAAGATTTAACATCGGAATTCTGGCTTTTATTGTAGCTTTCAATTATCGTTAAAAAATGTTTTTACCTTAATTTTGAATTTTTTATGTGATCCAAGGCAGTGCGACCCAATTTTTTTATATTTTCCCAGTCTTTTTTTTCGGTTGAAGCATAAGTTTCTCTAACTGCATTGTTAGCTTCGACGTATCTGAATTAGATTTTAATTAATGAAAATATTTTTTTAATCAAATTATAAATTTTAATTGGTATAAGAATAAATTAATGAATTAAAATTTCTACAATAAATTTCATTATATATTGAAAAAAATCACAAAAAAATTCCGATACCGGGAATCGAACCCGAGCCTCCTGGGTGAAAGCCAGGTATCCTAGCCACTAGACCATATCGGAGTATGAATGGTGGTGTCTACTAACTAATCAAATATAATGTATCATGATTTTTGTTTAATCGTTTATATCTTTTGCAACTTTAAACAACATCCAACATGAACTTAATATATCGTTTCAACGTATTTTTGAAAAGCTGCTTTTATGTATATCTAGAAAAGTTTACTATCCATTATCAAAAACAAAAGTTTTCATAATAAATATAAAATATAAAAAATAATACAAAAATATTGTATGAAAAATTAAAAAACTCAAAACTTTTGATACTTAATTAATTGAATAAAATTAAATAGAATTTACTGTCATAAGTCAAATAAACCCTAAAATAAAATTTTTAAACGGTTGAGAATTCTTTGAATACTTAAACGATTATATTAAAAAATCTCTATTCAATTGAACCAGCATTGCCAGGAAGCTCTCATTGATTAAGAGCGCGAATACATTAATATCTTAGAAATAAATTTATACTCAGCAGGAAAAAATACATGGTTAACATCTAATTAAATATTTTAGAGTTCAATATGAATCCTCAGCTTATTTGGTTGCTATAATAATTAGAATAATTTTCGGTAATTGTAGTAAAACTAAAAAAACTCACTCTTTCAGACTCTGTTGATTTTTAAAAATTGGAAACTGTTCTCCTTTTGGCCTGATGGGATACAATACTTCTCCTTTGTGCACATTAGTGAGTAGAAGGAAAAGATCAGCAATGCTTTCTTTTGGATCTTGTGTGGGGTGAAATAGAAGTAGAATTCTATTAAATATTTCTGTAACATTTGTTTCCATACAAACACATAATTTTAAAGTAATTTGTACTGTTGATCTCAACACAGTTTTTGGACTTTTTGCACCAACAAATAAAGATTTGGCAGAATTTCCATACTTCAATAATCTACCAAGTAATACTGGCTTAGTTCCTTTATTATTTATTTTGAATTTTTGACAAATAGTTTTGACTTCATCAGCTTGTAGCATATTTAAGATATCAGGCATATCTACTTTCTCAAGATCTAAAATAGGAAGTTTGTTTGTAAAAAAATTAGGTATTTTATAGAATAATGTATTCAAAATAAATATTTAGACAAAATTTTACCTGATGAACAAAATCCATTATCAACAAGTTCTTTAAAAAAAGGAACTAAATTATCAGAAATTTCTGGATACTTAATCAAACTAGCTCTGTGCCAACCTAATTTTCTTTTTAGCAATCTCACAAATAACATTTGAGATTCTTTTGATAAAGTGAACAGAGAAAATACTAAATTGAGTTCATCTATTGAAAAATAACCACAATTCATTGGATTAGAAAAAACGTTCATAACGATAGACATTAAATGATCTGCGTGTTTTTCTTGCCCAAAATTAATATCACGAATATCAAATTTAACACAGTTTGGGTTCATGACATCACTATATACCATTGAAAAATCAGACTTCTTATAAATAGATTCTAAATCAAATTCATTAGAATTAATGCTTCCTTGCCTCACAAGATTTAAATTTTCGACAGCAGCTCGAACATCATCCATGTTAATTCTATCAACAAAATATAATTTTTGAGGAGAGCTTTTCTTTGGAGATACTTTGCTTTTCTTTTTAAAAGGACTTTTTGTTGGAGATGTTTTTACTTCCTCAATATTTCCCATAGTCAAATTTATTTGACTAGGGCTTTTAACTTTGATAAATGCTTTTGAATCTACTGCTGGTTCTTTATCATTAGCACAATCTAAATTATCAAATTCATAGTCATCAATATAATGTTCTGATGATTCCATTTTGCAGGAAACTAAATTTTCTTTTGATATATCACTATTTTCATTAGGTGTAGAAACTTTTAACTGTAGCTCTGCACTTTCTTTCACAGGCATAGTGCAGGGTGCAGATGTATCAACATTACTTGCATCATCAAACAGACCAGTATCATCAAAGTGTTGTGATGGTTCAAGTTTATAGGGATAAGTTGCTTCATTTTTATGCATAGTTTTTTCAATACCAATCATATCATCTAGTTGTGTTTTAGTGCAGGGTGCAGACGTATCAACAGTATTTGCATCATCAAACAGACCAGTATCGTCAAAGTGTTGTGATGGTTCAAGTTTATAGGGATAAATTGCTTCATTTTCATGCATAGTTTTTTCAATATCAGTCATATCATCTAGTTGTGTTTTAATGCTCAGTTGAGTTGCCTCATATTGGCAGGGAATTTGATTTTCCTTTGCACCGCTTGCGATTACTTCTTGAGTAGATTCAATAGTACAAGATTTTTGCACTGCTGGGGCATTTTCAGTTGCATCAAAAGTTTCAGAATCGTGTCTTGGTTTCTTGATCACATTTTCAATCTGAGATGAAGATGAACGTTTTTTTTTGTTTAGACTTAATTTGAGCTTTTTCTTTGATGTGCTATCGAAAACTATTTTAACTTCGCTCTCTACTACAGGATACATAATTGATTTTCTTCGTAGCTGTTAATAAAATTGAATTAATTAAGTGCCATACAATATATAAAAGTAATGATAATGTGAAACTTACGGAAATCCTTCGTTTTCTTCCTTTGTTTTTTGGTGTTGAATCATAAAATTTTATTCCACAACCAGTATTCCTGTTAGATACAATTCTGTAAAATTGATCTAAAGTTGTTTGTTTCGTTCTTACAGACATTCTGGCATAATAACTGTAAATTATTGTAATTTAAAAGAAACATTTTAAAAACATGCAACCTATTTCAAATGCCCTCGAAAATTAATTTTATAATTTCCGATTTACGATCAAAAGTAACTTAATGTTTAAAAACATGCAACCTATTTCCAATGCCCTCTAAAATTAACTTTACAATTTCCGGTTTACAATCAAAATTAACTTAATGTTTACAAACATAGGAATTAGCTTAACTGGAAGAATATATAACAATCAATTTCAGGAATTGTTGAGGAATACATACCTTATGTCAGATTCAATAAACGTCTAAAAATAAACTTGATTCCATCGGTGCTCCTTCTCCCAATGCTCGATTCTTTATTATTTCATTTTAATAAGAGAGAAAGAAAGAAGTCGAGTCGCGTTTTTGTTTATACAATCAAAGTATATGCACAACTTGCAGCGCCACTGTGTCCTGTGTAGTGTGTTGCCTTGGCCGGTGTCCCATGTGCTGCCGCCTGCAGTGCCCAATAGTCATACGAAATGCAACTTTCACATGCGCATCGCCGACTAAACCGATTAGTCGTAATGTTCCGTCGTCTGTGACATGTGTGACAGTGTGGTGTAGTTGTACATGCACTGTAGTTACATCTGTCGAACACTTCCACCACGTGAAAGTAGACGAAATTATTTTTTAAATTTTTGTGCTCTTGGAAAAGTGCCTACTACTCGTGAGCAGAAAAAATGAACGAAAAAATTTTATTGGCGGAAATAGCGGAATTAAAGAAAAGATTACGCGAAAAAGAAGCTGCTCTCATAGCATTGCGACAAGAGACACAAATTTTACAAGAAAATGGATTAACAAATACGGAAATTGCACGTTACAGTAGACAAGTGATTCTACCTTCCATTGGAGTTACGGGTACATAACATTTTTTTACAATAATTAAAACAATTATAAATTTACGCATTACCGAAATTGATTATTAATTTTTTTTATAGGACAAATTAAAATAAAGCATGCCTCAGTGTTGATTGTCGGGGCAGGTGGTCTTGGGTGTCCTTCAGGATTATATTTAGCAGGAGCTGGTGTTGGACGCATAGGAATTATAGATTATGATGATGTAGAAATAACAAATCTCCATCGACAAGTATTATTTACTTCATCAGACATTGGAAGACCTAAAGCTTGTGCTGCTGCAGAACATCTTAATAGGTATTTTATATAGTTGAAGTATTTTTTTATTCTTTTAATTTGTTTTATAATTTTCAGACAAATAAAATAATACCAGATTTTCTTTTCTAGATTGAATGATAGCATCCAAGTTGTACCTTATAAAGTCCAGCTAGATAGCAGTAATGCATTAAATATTGTGAAAGATTACGATATTGTTTTGGATGCTACTGATAATGTTGCTACCCGCTATTTGTTAAATGATGCCTGTGTTTTAGCAGGCAAACCATTAGTATCAGGTTCAGCATTGCAATTTGAAGGTCAATTGACTGTGTACAATTTTAGAGGTGGACCATGTTTCAGATGTATTTATCCAGACCCTCCACCTCCAGAAACAGTCAACAACTGTGGTGACAGTGGAGTCATTGGAGCTGTAGTTGGAACAATAGGAGTGCTACAAGCATTGCAAGTTATAAATATTATTCTTGATTTACCTGGAATCATGAGCCAACGTCTTTTATTGTTCAATGGAATTAATATGAAATTTAGAGACTTAACTCTCAGAGCCCAGAATAAAAAGTGTGCAGTATGTGGTCCTAATTCAACGATTCATCATTTAATTGATTATGAACAATTTTGTGGTTCTAAAGCAAATGATAAAAATCCAAATTTGAAAGTTTTGGAACAACATGAAAGGATCAGTGTTGTAGATTATAATGAGAAACTTTCTTCAAAGCCTCATTTATTAATAGATGTGAGATCTGCACAAGAATTTGAACTGTGTCATTTGGAGCATTCTCTTAATATTCCATTTAAAACATTAAGCAAAAATAAAAATTTAGAAAAACTTCAAAAGGAAATTAATGAAAATCATTATGAAACAAAAAATAGTAAGTATTTATTTTTTTCCAAATACATTTATCTCTGTCAATGTCCAGCACTAACAAAACATTTTCATTTCAGTTTATGTAATCTGTCGCAGAGGAAATGATTCTCAAAAAGCAGTCAAAATCATGAAGAACTTTTTTACAAATTCAGACATTCAGATTAGAGATATCATTGGTGGAATTCATGCATGGACTTATAATATAGATACAAGCTTTCCTATTTATTAATATTAATTTTAGATTGTATTATACAGTCTATAAAATTTGTAAATAAGTACCTAAAAGGTAGCATTTTTAAAGCATCATGTGATATAAATTATACATTTGTAAATCTGCTATTATTTGCTTTTAAATTCTGTTAAATAAATGAATTTAAATTTAAATATAAGCTGTTAGTTCTTCTTCAGTTATACTCATTTCTGGGTGCTTATAATGCACCATTGGCAATACTCGTAATTTTTCAGCAGCTTGTTCTGGTGTTAAATCTCTTTGAGCCTGTGCTAAAAGTTCATATCCAACCATATGTTTTTTAACAGTTGCAGAACGAAGTAAAGGAGGGTAATACATCCCATGGAATGTCCAATGTCTATAATCTTTTAATTCTGGACCAGTTGGGGCACCTTGTTTGAGGAAATTTTATTATTAATCAAATGGCACATGTAAATGTTTTATTTGAAATTAAAGCCTTACCATGCCAACCCATTGAATACGGAAAAGAACATTTAAATAAGTTATCATATTTTGTACATAGAACTTTCATGACTGCTGCAAGAGATTTTTGTTCATCTTCAGTCATATCTTGCATTCTGATGAACTGTCTTCGAGGTAAAACCATTGTCTCAAAAGGCCAAACTGCCCAGTATGGAACAACTACAATCCAATGTTGAGTTTCAAGAACCAATCGCTCCTAAATCAAAGTTACATTGAATGTAATTATTCTACACAATCATGATCTGATTAATTTTAACCATACCCTTCTTTCTACTTCTTTTTTCATGTAATCAAATAGCATGGGAGACATGTGTCGAGTATAATAATCTTTTAAATTTTGATCTTTGACTCTGGCCTCATTTGGTAAATAAGAGCTAGTCCAAATTTGACAATGAGGATGTGCATTACTGCAACCCATTAGTGCTCCTCGATTCTCGAAAATTTGCACCCACTTCCATCTTTTTCCCAAATCATTCATTTCAACTATCCACCTTAGAAACAATTTGAAGATTTAAAATTTCATGTCACTTGATAGTGAATTTTAATATCTGGATTATCTACTTACTGTTTAATAACCCTCAATACATCTTCGACATCCATAAGGGCAATTGTAACATTTGATTTTGGATGAAAACACATAACTCTGCATGTACCTCTAGCTGGACCCATTTGGAAAAGCTCGTCATCGGATTTTGGGGGATCGGGTACGTCCTCTAGTAAAGCGGGAAAGTCATTTGTGAACGTATAAGTGTGCTCATAATTTTCGGTTAACTGAAATTGCAAAGGAAAGAATTATTTATGAAGCACTTTTTACAAATGAGTAAAAATCAATATCTTACGTGTCCATTTGCACGAATATTTCCAGGGCATAATGGATTATTAGGATCGTATTCTGGTGGATCCTCATCATTGCTAGGCTCAACCTGTCCTCCCCAAGGGCGTTTCATTCTGTGCGGTGAAACCAACACCCAATCTCCTTTCATGGGATTGAACCGCACATGTTGATGATCTATGTTATTTGTGAATTTGTTTAATTAAAATTTAATCGTTTGAAATATTTTAATCGTCAACAAACCTTTTGGATCGAATTTAACTTCTTCTTCGGTCATCGTGAAACTGTTAACTTTAACTACATCGCCCATTCTTCGATAATCAAAAATAAAATCTGAATCTTATCACCTTGTAACGAAAGGTACACTGTTTGCGTCAATAAAAGTATTAACTACGAGAAAATGATAATGTCACAGCTAATTAGACTATATGTTTAACTGCGAACGCGAAGATAGACGACGAATCATTGGCCTAAGAGATCGCATTGCAGTTGAAATTCGCTGACACCTTAGATATCGAATTAAAAAAGCTCCCGCTATCGCACTGCTGCGGCCTTATGTCACGAGGAAAAGCACAGACTCGTGTTTACTACGCTTACGCGATGCACTTTGGCCTTGAACATTTTAGCATGCGGAAATGTTTGTCAGCGCGACGATCGTGACCTCAGTGTTTATTTCTAGTCACTTTACTCTCGCGTCTTCTCTCTTTGATCGATAAAGTAACGAACGACAACGAGCGAATGTATAATTTGATTCACTGATTATGTAGAATATAAATATAGCTTTATTCGTTGGAATATACATATGAGCTGTACAATTTTACAATTTCGTAATAAAAGATGTGAATATTAAATATAATAACAATATGCACTACACAGAATCAATGAGAAGCATTCATTAATTAAAAATTTAGCTCAGTATTAATGATCTTAAGGGAAATCTAATTAGCTTTAAAACAGTCCTTTGCCTGTCTTAAAGCTCCCATTACTTCTATTGGATCTTCTTTTTTTGTAAAAAGCTTAACTTTAGCATCGCAAACTCTCAAGAATGGATTGATCAATTTTTCCTCTCCAATTGTACTTGGTATAGTTGGGAGATTACTTTTGCGTCGACTACAAGCCCATTCCAGTTTTTCTTTCATTGCTTGGTTAGTAGGATCTACATGTAGGCCAAATTTCAGATTTTGTACAGTATATTCATGACCGCAATAAACTTTCTGCAATACATTCAAAAAGTATTAGTTGATGTAATTTTTTTTTGGACATTTTAAAAGGAAATTAATTAATATTACTGTTTCATCTGGAAGTTTGGCTAAAATTTCATTCAGAGCACAGTTCATTTGTGCAGGAGTTCCTTCAAAAAATCTTCCACATCCCCCAACAAACAAGGTATCACCTTTAAAGATTAAGTCAAGTTTAAAGAATAATTTTTTTGAGTACAGAAAATTTGTAAATTTCATTTGGAATAAGAATACCTGTAAAAACTGCTGGTTCTGAATTATTTCTTGTAACATAATAGCATATATGACCTTTTGTGTGACAAGGTGTCGACAAACATTCGATTTTCAAGTTTCCTACATTGATAATGCTACCATGCTCAACTTTACAATTTAGTGCTCCAATTCTACTATCTCCACCATATACTGTTAAATTTGTTATTGAGCTTGCCAAGCATTCATTGCCACCTGCATGATCCCAATGGTGATGAGTAGTCAGTACTTTAGTCAATTTACATGCATTGTCTTTGACAGCACAGATAACTTGATCAGGACTAACTGGATCCACAATTGCTGCTTCTCGACTTTCTCCATCAATGATCTGAGAACAATTTTTTTTACATAGTAAATAACTCTGTGTTGCTTTCAATGAATGCAAATAAGCTTTAAACTCACGAGATACATATAATTATCTTCTAATGCAGGTATAATTTGAACCTCCATTTTTTGATGTTCAACTTTGATGGAAGTGCTGTGTAATAATCTTTTAAATCTGCTCGAAGGAAACTGTTCTGCTGCAACATAAAAAATGAGATCATGTATACAATTGTATCGGTTAGATTATGAAACTAATTACTAATTTTAATTCTTTTACATTCAAAGAAGTTATAAATCACGTATTATTTTTACTAGATAAATAAATATAGTTCACATTAATACCCTTGCAAACAGATACAGATCCATTTTTCAGTCGCGAGGAACACCGCGCAAAAATAGTTCTGAACATTGGCTTGCAATTGAATAATAAATAATTTCTCTGTTAAATAAAGGGTCGAAAGTAAATCGAAAGTAAATATGCCAAAAGAAAACAAAAAAATGTGGTAAATATGAGTTTAGTTCAGCTTACTTCGCAGTCACCCACTGATCGACTCGGTGCTTATCATTGGACTATTGCATGCACTGTTCAATGTTGCACACAGTGAGTTTAGTGACGTCTGTTCCATGGTCTGTCAATTTATGCTTTTTTGAAATGCGCTTGCCGGGCCGGTGTCGTCTGTGCTCTAACCTATGAACATATATAAACACAAGAGTTATTTGCAGTGAAAAATCTTAATTTTGTGATGACAAAAAAGTGATTGTTGATAAAATGTCTACCAGCCACTCAGAGGATGTTATTGAAATTGACGATGATCAAGATTATGAAGGTACTTTATTTTTTTACATGCATAATTAAGATTCAAGCAATTGCATTAATCCAAAGAAACACTATAATTATTTATCGAAAAATGTGATTTTTTAATTTTAATACATTTTTTAGTTACGGAGGAAGACGAGATTGCAGCAATAAATTACGAATTAGCTCAAATTGAACGTGAAGAGCAAAACTTAAAGGATCGTAAGAAAGTATTACTAGATCGAAAACAAAAACTCAAAGATGATGCCTTACTTAAAAAAAGTTTTAATTTAGCCAAAAAGTCATGGAATACTGAAAATTTTCCATGGTCCAAAAAACTCAAAGATACCTTGAAAAATGTTTTTAAAATAAATGATTTAAGACCGCTGCAATTAGAAACCATGAATGCATTTTTGTCAGGTGAAGATGTGATTCTTGTTATGCCAACAGGTGGTGGAAAAAGTTTGTGTTTTCAACTTCCAGCAGTATTGAGTCAAGGAGTCACAATAGTTATATCTCCTCTAATAGCTCTAATGGAAGATCAATTATACAGTTTGCAAAAATTAAAAGTTTGTGCAAAAATGTTGAATGCCAAAGCACCTAAGGAAGATGTAAAGATGATAATGACTGGTTTGGTTGATAATAAATCACCTCTTAAATTAGTCTATGTCACCCCAGAATACATGTTTAAATCAAATAGGTTCATGAGCAAGATTCAAAAGGCTTTTGAAATGAAACGATTAGCTGGTTTTGCTATAGACGAGGTTCACTGCTGTAGCAGTTGGGGTCATGATTTCAGGCCCGATTATCAAAAACTTATCAGTCTGAAAGGTATGTTTCCAGGAGTTCCTATCATAGGTCTCACTGCAACTGCACCGGCTAAAATTATAGTCGATGTACAAAAAATGTTGAGCATTCAGGGTTGCCTCGTCCTCAGAGCTTCCTTCAACAGACCCAATTTATACTACGAAGTACGACGTAAACCAAACGACAAAGAAGCCTGCCTCGACATGATATCGAATCTCCTAACTACCAGGTAAGTTTTTATAAATACATCATAGTTTATAAATGCATTAGTTATTAGCTTGACGAATCGATCTATGTTTGCAGATTCGAGGGAAAATCCGGTATAATATACACGACGACGATCAAAGAATCGGAACAGCTGAGAACGGATCTGCGCGCGCGAGGTCTCAAAGTTGGCTGTTATCACGCGATGCTGGAGGCCGAGTATCGCACCAAAGTCTACAACAAATGGATGAGCGGCGAGTACCAAGCGGTCGTGGCGACGATCGCTTTCGGCCTGGGCATCGACAAGCCCGACGTGCGCTTCATCATCCATCACTGCCTCTCGAAGTCTATGGAGAACTTTTATCAGGAATCCGGTCGCGCCGGTCGCGACGGTCAGCAGTCCTACTGCATAGTCCTGTATCGTCTCATGGACCTGTTCAAGCTCAGCCCCATGGTGTTCCAAGACCAGGTCGGCCTGCCGAATCTCTACAAGTGCCTGGCCTACTGCCTCGATCAGAGCTCCTGCAGGCGAAGCCTGATAGCGGGTCACTTCGAGGAGAGCTGGAGCAAGGACGACTGCAAGAGCATGTGCGATCACTGTCGCAAGAAGCGAAAAGTCAAGCTGGTCAATGCGGCCGTCTACTGCAAGCACCTGTACCAGATCCTGGGCAAGGCCAAACAGGCCGATCAGAAACTCACGCCATTGAAGCTCGTGGACGCCTGGTACAACAAGGGAGCGACGAGCCACCGACTGGACAGCGTGCCGACGCCCAAGTTTCCCCGGGAGGTCGGCGAGGCCATTCTCGGCCACTTGCTCGTCAAGGGCTACATGAAAGAGAACTTTCAGTTCTCGGCCTACACGACCAACACCTACATAGAGAGAGGAAACAAATACGCCTTGGCCATGAGCGACGGTCACCAGATCATGCTCGAGCTTCAGGATTGGGAGAGCAGCTGACGAATCTAGCACTTTTCATTTCGTTCATTGTTGATATCATTCTTGTACAGTTTCACATTCATCCGAATAAAATAAGTTTTTATCGTATCACGAGTTTAGCGAGTAATGGATTTATTTATTTGTCACGGATAAAGGGGCGCCGCTTCGCTGGACAAAATTCAAGGGGGCCGCGCGAAATTTATCGCGTGCGCACGACAGTAGCGGCTCGAGACTCGAGGTGGGGTGGATAATATAGCTATATAGGTATTAGAAGCACGGGCTGCTTCGTACCGATCAATAATAGCCGTATACGTACAAAACAGCGCGTAGTATGCACGAGTCATATCGCATCGGGCGCGTGTTACACACGACTCCGCGTCACACATAGGTGTATCGTGTAGTAGCTGACACGCTGAGCGGGGAGCGCGCAGAGTCAGTCGCGCTGCGATTTTTCGCTCGTTCGGTAGCGACGACTACACGACGTCCAGTGTCCATCGATCCTCGTCAACTTTTTTTTTTCCTATATCTTATACAACTCGTACGTGCAAAGCTGCAGTATACGTAGCGTCCGTTTGCGCCGCGATCATTGGAAGGGATTTTTGAAAATTGCTGTATAGAACTCGAAGTTGTATCGAAAATGCCAAAACTCAAGGCGAAGGTCCACGGTGAAAAGCCGCAAAGGTAGGCCAATCATTATTGATGCATGTTCGTGAGCTGTCGTGCTCATAAGGTAAACAACCAAGTATCGGAGTAGGTAGGAGCGCGCGTCTAACGAGTGGCAGATTTTTACTATCGAGGTTAATCGTTTTATTCTTTTATTTTGTGCTGCTGCGGCGGCTAAGCTATAGCACTTATGTACTTGGTTCGTTGCTTGCGACGATATATACATACGTACAATAGGGGATGATGGTTGCGGCCGGGTTATATACATGTATATCATGCGACTATGACGCTACATCACAGCGTAACACATTACGTGTATTGTACGTTGAGAGGGTGAGCTGTTACTCGTCGTCGACGTCGCGTGAAATTAACTTTTTCACTTCGCATTTTTTTGTACGCGTTTACTAGCACAGTGCGAAAATTAATTCAAAAAAGCTATACTCTGCGGCAAATACTACTTTGCGAAGAATTTCAGGATCGAGGGATGATTATCCTGCGCGACAAGTTTTACGACAAGAATTCGAGGAGGAGCTTTGACCCATTTACAAAGGCCCGATTGATGAATCGTCTATATGTATAGGCAGTGCCGCCGAGAGGAAAAAAGTAATGAGATGGCATGCACCGAGTTTGTGAATATTTCCGCGATACGTATCGCGCGTAATGCATTTTTTGGCACCGCGACTTGCTCGATGGAGATCAGCATGCGGAACTTGGAAGTAAATTCAGCCCATTTTACCACTTTGTATCTCGGTAAGAGAAGATTGCAGCAAGATTCGCATAAGGATTTGAGTCTACTATGATAATACGCTCGGTCTCGTATAAACCAAATTTATTGTTTTTAAAATTGCAATATCATTATTTTCAAACGTCGAATAGTTTTACCGGAGCAACCATCATAATGTCGTCGAGGGTGACCATATGGTAGATTATGATTATGCGACCGATTTATTTCTTGATTGAGATATGATCATTCGAATCGATGGAAGCTGTTTACTCAAATAATAACGTATACGAGAACACGTTTATCACTGGCATACGATGATAAATTTAATATTATTTTATTGACGACAAAAGTAACGCAAAAAATAAACGTCTCTTTAATAAAGAAAAACCGCAAAGGATACGAATATTATCAAGCATTAGTGAATCGAAGCAATAAAGGAATAATCTCATGAAAGTTTGCACAGATGTTATACAGACATTTAATCCAAACGTGTGTGTATCAATCTTTCAGCGTCGATTAATATTTTGCTCCTGCAGAAGTAAGCTCTCGTTAGTATTTCTCTATGTAATATATTGTTTACTTTTCGCCATACGGTAAGGTATAATCTCTGTCCTCTTTTTCTCTGGCGTCAAAGGGATTTAAGCTCTTTCGCAGTTCTTTTATCGCACTGTAATCTTTTTCGAGAAATTTCCTCATCACCCGATGGATCAAAAAATGCAATAAACATTGATGACACGTCCGAACTGCGAAACTTTTGCGCTGTCGGTTTTGCTAAAGCTGAATTCACTCAACGTATAGCTATAAACTTATATAATCGTGCATAAATGGTTGATTCCACCGGTAAGTGCATATTTCAGAACTTGAAATTGGCAATGTACAATGAAGAGTGACATTATAGATACGTAGCTCGTGCTTACGGTATATCTACCGGTTTACGAGTAGATACGATACAGTTTAATAAAGGGCTCGAAGGGGGCTTGAAATCGAAAACATATTATTAAATTTTTAGAGCGGAGTTTTCGCCCTATCCATTGTACTTTTTAAACGCCAATCCTTATGCTCTTTTCGTATACTTTACGTGTTAATTTTTTCTGTTTTTGTATTTTCTTGTAAATCGTGTGCTTTTTTACCTGTTGTAATATTCAAAGCGAATCAATTAAGATATAGCGCCCAGGTAACGTACACTTCTTTAGATCATCAATGGTCACGAACGCAAACTCGGGTGATTGAACTCATATATCTCCTTTGATGAATGTTTTTCATGATCGAGATGCGTTTGGTTAAAAAAAGTACATTTCAATGTTTGTGTAGGGCATCCGAAGGAGGAAAAATATCGAGAATTTTCCTTATGTCTAGCCGCATTCCTAGTAAATCTTTTTTCAAGCACAATGCAATCAGTGTAAAACGTGCATCGCTTACATTGCAAATAATTATAACAAGTTTAAAGCGATCAGCTTTAAAGTTTCCATATTCAATTATATTTACGCGACTGTGGAATCAAACATACGCGCAACCAAACGATTCCAGACGACAGTCTAGCGCGCATATCCGATTTCCCAAGTGAAATTATACTTGGGTTTTGAGTGCAGTTGCGCGCTTACGAGATGTGCATTCGGCCAGTATAAATGGGTCACGTTGGCGCGCGGCACTTCTCGCTTGTGTATAAAATATTATACGCGTACGAGTTGTGCATCTTTTACCGTAATTAATACTCGATTCACGGTATGGCAACTAGGGTGGAAAATACAATTTGACCTTTCGTAAATTTAAACGAACCAACGAAAAAAAAATCGTAACTTCGCTTGGCACCATTAATAACCAGAGATTTTCATACTTTTTTTTCGTTTCAGATGTGCTCTACATCTTGTTAACTTTTATATAAACGATTTTACAAAAATTCATCTGGCCGTGAAAATAGTTTTAGTCGTTGTAACATTCGTTATTATCAGAGCTTCCAAGCGAAAAGATTTATATGCAATTTTAAAAGGTCTACTCGTGGCTCGCGTTAAACTTCACAATTCCTTTTTTAAGATGCTCAAAAAAGCTCACATGCTATTTGCTCATCTTATCATGCATAAAAATATGTGTTACGAAAACCGTCAGTTAGTAAAATATACATTTCTGTGGCATTGTGTTTCAGCGGCGATATCGTTGCCACTGCGCATCGTCATCGAATCGAGACTTATTTCACTGAGTAAAAATAAATAAGATTATTTAGGCGATATTATAATTTCAATTGACTCTCCAGCAGGTGAGATTTAAAATGCATTTAAATGGCAAAATTTAGATATAATATGTGTTGCATTTTTTAAGATTAGCTTTAAATGTTGTTTCATTAAATCGATCGATGTTCAGTACTTTAATCTCATCGAATCAGTCATCCAGCATCCACACGAATGCGTTACATTTGCATAATTGGTATTTTTATCAAAATATTGCAATAACACTCGAGTAAAGGCAAATTTAATGAACTTCATCAGCCAAATCGACGTAGTACCCATATAACAAAACGATCACCGCATGCAATTAAAATGATCTTTTGAATATTCACCCGACAATTTGCCTATATAATACATTCAATCGATTGACAGAAATTGAGGTTATTAAAATGCACCAGCCACGGGTACATTATCGAAAAATCACACAGCAATACTTTGTTTGCCATAACAATACAACTTTTTAGCTGCAAATCGCACCGCTCAATGTACATTTTATCACGCTAACTGAAGGAATAACCGATAACGAGCAAACTGTATGAGAAACGTGAAAGGAAATACGTATTTTCCATATAATAATTAGGGTTGATATTTGTTTGGCAGGGTAAAGTCGAGGTGACGGGGCTGCGCAACGAGACTGCGAACACGAGCATCATGGCAATGTGCAGCAGCGGCATAGGTTTGTGCAATTCAACGGCAGGATCGGGATCATGGCGTTTTACAGTAGAAGTAACGGGACGGCGTCCAATGGTAATGGCAATGGCAATGCAGCAGCAGGAGGAGGAAGAAACGCTCGATACCAGGCCAGTCAAGCAGGCAGCAGCAACAACAACAAAGGAATCGGCTGCGGCTTCGGCGTCGTCGGTAGCGGTGGTAGCGGCTGCGGCAGCGGCAACATCGGTAGCGGCGCCGGAGGAGCCTTAGTCACGCGCGAGACGCGCTGCGAGCTGAGCTTTTGCGCGATGCCTCTGCCCAATATACTGCGCAAGGCCAGCAGCTACATCCTCGGCGACAACTGCCAGGACAATTTGCGGGCCATGTACCAGGACGGCGAGACGCTGTTCTGCAAGAACAACGTGTGCGTGCACCCGCCGACGCTGCTCAGGCAGCACTGCGACGTGGTCCATCATCCGGGCTACCTCACGGTCACCTGCAAAGTCGACAAGGCCACGGCCCTGCCGACGCTCCACCTCAGTTGGATACCCAACACGACCCTGCGCAAGTGTCCGGCCACTCTGGAGAACGCCGCCGCCAAGAGGCTCGAGACCACCAAGGAGAACAGCGCCGAGCCCAGCTCCGACGAACAAGGTTGGCACTTTTGAACTCGAACAGCTTATACCTTCATCTATTAACGATAATAAATAACAACGATTTTATTCTTATTTGCCGCAGCCAAAGGGACGCTGGAAAAGATCGACGGAGCTCAAGAGGCCAAAGAACCGCCCAACAGTCTCGACTGCGAGCGAGTCTGCTCGGGTGGCGCGAGCACGCCGCCGCCGATCTTTTGCCAGCCGAAGAACGGCGACGCGACGATCGGGACGGATCCTTTGAGCAGCGACGTGCCGGGCCGCAGCAGTAGCGCTGCCGGTGCAGCAGCTGCTGCAGCCGATGCGGAAGCGCAGCGGCCGTCGTCGAGCGTCCAGTACTCGAGGTCGGAATCGTCCGAGTCGAAGAACGACGACGGCAACGAGCTCGCGCTCAAAGATAAGAGCCGAAGCTTATCGTTGACGTCCATGAACAGCTTATCTATAACGATCAATAACGATGGTGAGCAGTTGTTTACTTTTCTATCGTATACAGAATAGTGGAGTTTTCAAAGGGGACTTTGTTACGCTTTGTATAGAGGAACTCCCGACGTGGATGCGGAGCCCGGAGCTGCTGGCGCTGCAGCACAACCTGGCCTTTCCCGAGAGCGCGAGCGCCTCGCCGGTGACGCTTCGCCGCACGACGACCCACCGCTGCCGGCGCTTCTCCGTGGACCTCGGCCAGATGCGCTCGCTCCGGCTGTTCTTCGCCAATCCCGAGTGCAGCTCGGGCCAGCTGGTGGTGGCCAGCCGCGAGAGCCAGTACAAGATTCTGCACTTTCATCACGGCGGCCTGGACAGGCTCGCGGCGACTCTGCACCAGTGGCACCAGCTGCTCAATCCCAGCGGTCCAGCGAGGCCGCCGCCGCCGGCCGGCGAGGAGAGCAGCCTGCTGCCCTATCGCCACTTCATGGTCTGCCGGCCCGAGGTGAGCAGCGACGAGTTGCACCCGGAGGAGGGCCAGGTACCGATGATCACCTCGCTCGCCTGGCAGGATATGCTCAACGAGCGGGGCCAGCTCGAGGACGATCTCGGCCTGCGCAAGGGCATATTCTTCGGCGGCCTCGAGCCGGTCCTGCGCAAGATCGTCTGGCCGTTCCTGCTGCACTGCTACTCCTACCAGAGCAGCTACGAGGACCGCGAGAAGATCGACGAGATAAGGCGCCAGGAGTACGAGGAGATCGTCAAGAGGCGCAACAACATGAGCCCCCAGGAGGCCGAGCACTTTTGGCGACACGTCGTCTGCATCGTCGAGAAGGACGTCGTCCGCACGGACCGCGGCAATCCCTATTACGCCGGAGAGGACAATCCCAACATCGAAGTCATGAAGTCGGTACAATTTCCATCCTCGGAGAATGAAAAAAAACCATCGAAATGTAAACTAAAGCTGCTTGCTTATCGACAGGAATATCCTGCTGAACTACGCGGTGTACAACGCGCGACTCGGCTACACCCAGGGCATGTCGGATCTGCTGTCGCCGCTGCTGGCCGAGCTGGACGACGAGCAGGAGGCCTTCTGGTGCTTCGCCGGCCTGATGCAGCGCTCGGTGGCCGTCTGCACCCCCACGGACGTCGACATGGACCGGAATCTCTGCTACCTGCGCGAGCTGCTGCGCCTCATGGTGCCGGACTTTTACGCGCATCTTCAGAAGCACGACGACGCCCTGGAGCTGCTGTTCTGCCATCGCTGGATACTGCTGTAAGCTTCCTTTCGACTCGCGATCGTAATTCGTTCGCAATCCCAATTATGGTATACATATCGTTGTCGTTGCAGCTGCTTGAAGCGAGAATTCCCGATGGACGTCGCCCTGAGCATGTGGGAGGCCTGCTGGGTCAACTACCTGACCGATCACTTCCACCTGTTTCTGTGCCTGTCGATAATGTGCGTCTACGCGGACGACGTCGTGGCCCAGGACCTGCGCACCGACGAGATGCTGCTGCACTTCAGCTCGCTGGCCATGTACATGGACGGCCGGCTGATCTTGCGCAAGGCTCGCGGCCTGCTGCACCAGTTCCGCCAGCTGGACCGGCTGCCCTGCACCCTGGCCGGCCTCTGCAAGCAGTGCGGCCCCGGCATGTGGGACAGCTCCCACGATCCCGTCATCGAGTGCGTCGGCCACCTCGACGCCAAGTGTCCGCTCGCCGACAATTACTCCCGGCAGGCCTACAACAGCCTCGAGTGAACGCGGTCTAGCTCGTCGATGTACTTTGGAATCGAGTTCGATCGAGAATACACCGCAGCTTTGCGTGCGCTGATTGTTCCACGCGATGCTGCATTGGGACTCGTGCCCAAATATGCCCAATTGCCGCCTGTAAATATGTCCCTCGACGTTTTAGTTCTAGTTCGTTTATTCCAGGCACAAATTACTTGTTTCACACCAAAGACTACTTAGTATTTGTAATACAAAAATATCCACATTACGTATTCAGACAAATGCAATGATTAGTGCCAACTACTGAAGCTATCACGTATACGGATTGACAACACCGTTTCGATAGTTTTTTCCCTGCACATAGTTTAATTGTCGTGTGTGTGTTTGCGTATCTTGAGCTTTGGTGGATCACCTTAGTAAAAAGTTTAAAGTTTCAACTTATACACGATAAAAAGATTCTGAGTTGAGAGATAAAGTTGATGTCGCATCAAGTACGAAAATGTCAAATCAGTCTAATCGGATGCTTCAATTAAAAAAATCTCGTCAATAGCTATGAATGTAAATACAATTTATTCTTTACTCTTTTCGCTAAAATAACAAGAGTAAATAAAGTTATATACTAAAAAATATTAAAATGTACATATGAGTCTGAAGTTATTTGCGTGTTCGATGATGAATTAAATCTCAGCTTCAGAATATTTAATCACAAGACTGACATAAAAAAAGCACTTTTGCAACGTGTATTGAGCATATATTCTTAACATTGCGTTCCAAAAAAATGCTCTCAATAAAGGCAAAAGAAAGATAGTATTTTGAGAATTACAAAAAATAATTTAAAAATTCAAAAAATTCCATCAACAATTTGACATTTTTGAAAACTATCTTATTTGCACGTTGAATTTTTCTAATCAAATTGTTTAATGCAACGATATACGATTTGTACAAAGTATTGCACATGTGTAGTGTTGTCTACAGTTTTTGTAAGTGTTTTCTTGTAAATGTTGTCTACCTCTGTTGTAAGTGCCATTACTTGTGTTTTTATTCGATATAATCATTAATAAACATTTGAAACTCTCAATTTCATAAAGTGTTATAAAAATTATATGTAAAATCAGCTGTCCTCAATTTATGACACAAAAGTAATGGTGAAACCGAAATAAATATTTTTACTTGAAAGTTGCTTAACAATTTCAACTCAAAGTATTATTTTCACACATGATCATTACAATGATCTAGTTAAAACAGTTAAGAAAAAGTCTATTCATTAATGTAAGCCTAGTTATTAGTTTGTATGAAAATAAAATGAAATATCAAAAAATCTTTCATTCAAAAATTATTTTATTCTTTCAACTTTTTCAGTATTATTTTTTATTACATGTTCCAGTTGAAAAATATACATGCTTTTTTACAATATTCGTATTTCATGTAACTTTATTTATCGACGTCATGCGCAAAGATAAAAGAGCACTTTTATTTACAAGATTTAGTTAGTTACATCAACTTTCTTTGACAATTTCTTGTCTTTTTATCGAATCAGTAACTAGAATTTATACATAAACTAAAGATATTAATTTACATTTTAAAATTATAAAATTGAACATTGCCGTAAATAACTAATGAATGATAAATGCAGATATAAAGGATATATTTTTGATATTTACTTATCAAAATATATAGATTCTAAAAATTTACTTTTTATATTTCAAATTTGTATGTAGTATTCATTTAAATTCATTCAAAAATACCCTTTCAAAGTATTGTACTTATATTCGAAGCAAGCTACTCAACTTCAATAGAAGTATTTTCAATGCATAAAATAGTTTCACATGGCGCGTTTCTATGACTGTTATTTGTAACATTATACACGATAATGCACCTTTAATAATTTGATTTTAATATATACTAATTAAACTTAGTAACTTCAATTTGAGTAAAGTAATTGAAACAAGAGAAAGCAGCCTTGAACTCATTTAAAATAACAATTAAAAACTAATTTACATTCAGTACTTTTATTAAGCCTAGGTAAAAAAGCGATACAATTAAAATGGAAAATTTTGGTGAATATTATTGTCTTGGAAGTTATAACGTATGACGCTTTAATTTGTGTGAATTATTTTAGAATTGAGTCAAAAGTTAATTAATTACAACCCTGTCTAAATATTCAATTGAGTTATCTTCGCGATTTTTTTACTTTCAATTCTTTAGTTTTATTTAGTCATATTTTTATCACAGAAAAATAATTTGTCGAATGGGAACAATATTCAAGATTTTGAAATCTTCTGGGATTTATCATTTGAAATATTAAACAATCTCAACGATTCAAAATGATATCTTTTCATAAATATTTTTTGATTCATAAAACATCAAAAGTTATTCATTATTAAACTATAATCATGAATTTATGTTTGAAATCACATTAAAAGGATTATAAAGACAAAATTTATTTGTCAAAATCTTGGAATAGCCAAGTAAAAATGTACGAAATAAAAGCTAAGCTTATTGTAAATTATGTCGTAATTTGTGTATCGCTTACCCAACTTCGGATATCACTGATACCAGAACTCATGTGGGTTTCAATGAAATTAATTGAAACGAGCAACATGCAGAAGACAGACCATATGACCATAAAAATAATCCACGCAATATTTGCAAACGGACTGGAGTATTCATTCATTACCCCTTGACCGATTATTTGGGAGGTCTGTCTTCTGGCGTTCAAAACTAAAAATGTCGGTATTAAATACTGAATACCCGCACCCGCATAAGATCCCGTTATGCTGACCAGTACAGACAGATTTGTCGTACTCATTGCTATGAGATATGGCGGTATAACTGCTAATACTGGAAAGACTAGTTTGCGCAGACATAGACAGTATTCTTGAGTTTGATCTTCGCGCAAAAAGAGCGACTGAAGATTATTGCGTAGAGTAATCGCTATCACAGGAAAGCTTGTACTCAAAGTAAAAACCGGAAAGAGAGCGAGGAAATATTCCATAAGAGTCAATAGGATATTTTGACTGGTGGAACAGTTTCTTGGGACAAAATCCAAAGTATAAAGATCATCTAGCTCTCTAAAGGCAAAAACGCCTGTAATGGCTAGTAAAAGATAAAAGCAAGAAATTAGGATAAAATCTAAGCTTAGAGACTTATAGAGCTTAGATTTGTTTGAAATAGGAGCTATTAATGCTGGTAGAGAATGGTGACACATAAAGGAGTAAACACAAACACCAAATAGACCAGGCAATCCTAGAAAAAATATTCATGAATTTAAAGAATGGATAAAAAATTAAAGTCTATTTAAAATAAATTGTTAAAGCTGACCTTTTAAATTGGACTCTTTTGGAGTGCCTTCTGGACCATCAACAACAATTTTTCTTATAGCATAAATAATCATTATTGAAAAAGACATCCATCTCATAAGTGAGGTAAACATTTGTAAATACTTGGTCTTTTGCACATTGAAAAATGCAAATGGACCTAGCATTAGTATGAATCCAGTCTGAAATGTATTTTAAAATTTAGCAAAGGACATTTTTTATTATTTTACAAATAATTAAAAGTAAATAATTACCAAAAATATTCTGTAAGCATCTAATCTATTAATATTGTAATTCGGCCAACAAAGTTCAGTATCTGGGATGGTTGTATTGCAAGTAAAATTTTCAGGAACATAAGTACAAGATACATCAGCAACAGATTTGGCTATAACTGTTCCATATATACTCAAATCACCGTAAAGATAAACAGCCAAACATACATAAAATAATGTAACTCCAAACTTGTTAAAAAAGATAGAAGCCATCTCTCCTAATTCTATTCTTTCATCTATAGCATAATAACGACTTGTTAAACTACCACGATCAACAAGAGGAGTATCTTCGGAATCTGAATTTGACTGCCCTGCATCTCCTAAAGCTTGCATTGCCTATAAAAAATATGATTTCTTAATATAAAATGCTATTATGTATTAGAACAAAATAGTATAATTTTAGAATGCAAGTTATGTATTATAAACTTTATATAGAAATAAATAGTACTACTAGTGATATTCTAAAATAAACAAAAAAAATTAAAAATAAACAATGAAATAAAAAAAGACGTTAAAAAATATAATCTATTGTTAGGAAATAAGTGTCATAAATATAAAGTTCAGAAACAATATAAGTAAAGTCAAATGGTGAAAAGTTTTATAAGTGTATCAGTTTTTTCTTGTAAGAGAAAAATAGTAGAAACCTCTGACTCTGGTCCTATAGCCGAGTCCGAGTCTTGAGGAACACCTACTCTTTTGCGTTGTTGGCTTTTTCTCCAAGTTAATATGGCATTTGCAGAAGCCATAGTTTCCACAACAAATGTCACTGTCATGAAACTGTAAATAAAAAATTATTATAAATTAAAATTCAACCACTTCTACTTTATAGCTAAATTTATTGATAACAAACCTTATGAATGCCAAAATAAGAACAACACCTGATCCAAGAAGCCATCCTGCTCGGCTAAAAACTGCTGGAAGTGCTAATGCTCCAGTACCGACGATCAGATTGAAGACATAGATAAGGCCAACCTATTGAAAAAATTTAATTGCGTTATTTCCAAATTTTTTTAATAATATTAAATTCAATAAAAAAATTTCATGGTCTTGAAATTACCAAACCATGAATTTCAGATTTTTTTGTAAGCAAAAAAAGCACCAATTTTATTTCAATTTGATGCTGCGCAAATCTGCTATTTTTTATGTAAACAGTACTTGACACTGACCATGATAAGAACAGTTTACATGGCCTGCATAATATTCACTATTTATCATGTAATTATTGACAATAAAGATAATATTAATGTTTCAAACAAAAAACTGACATCCAAACATCAAGTGAACAGTAGTAAACAACTTGCTGAGTTTCTAAAACCTGTTTTTCGCAAATCAAAAAGTTTTTCACTTACCCAAACTGAATATTGCTCTCCGCTTGTATACACTGTCATTTTGATGTTCTTAAACTACATTCGTCTAACACATCTCTGCATCAAAGTATGCAGTTAACTTGCCAGATGGCCGATGAATTCTTTCTCTGTCGGAATCTGTCATCCGAATGATAACAAGTGGCGGCCAGCGGGTATGTATAATTTTACAGCGCACAAAAGATTCGATCGCTGACTGGCAGATGAAGCGTATATCGTTTTTTGCTGTGTCTGACAAACGTCAGCGCTGTCTGCAGCAACACGTTCTTAAAGAAAGGTTCTCTCTCATCTATGCGCAGGACAGCTCGATAAACTCCGAACATGCGCGGTCGGTCCGACGTGAAAAAGTTCTCCGTTTTATATGCAAAGTACGGAAAAATCGGTTTCAAGCAACGAGCTATCTTTAAATTGGCGATCAATTCTTCGAATCCAAACGATAGATAAATAAAAAATTATAGTTTATTTCGCGGTAGTGAGGATGACTCACGAGCATTATCTTAAAATTCATAGTAGGGATAAATTTGTTTCGAAATGACAATATAAGAACCGAATAAATTGATACAAAACTTTTTTAATTGAAAATAACTTTTTATTAAATTGAAAGTATAAACCCAATTGTTGTCATCCTTAGAGATAAAAACGATCGTACGCTCAATTGCGTACTATATGAATTACAAAGATGAATGACTAAAATGAAGGGAATGTATGAAGAAATTGTACAAAAGTATAATTTTTTTTCGTGTTCATTCAAGGATTCAATGGAGCGCTTTTTCTATTATTTAATAATTAAAAATCCATCGCCAAGAAGTCAATTCCTCAATTAATGAAGTTAGCATTTAATTTCTCATTTAGTCAAGATTATCATTTCATTGAGTAATATCACATGAGATAGAGAAAAAAAATAGTAAGGAATTGATTGGAGGGAAAAGTATCTAGTAAATTTATGCAATTAGAGTAAGAGTATTTTCGAAGCATTTAAAAAGCACAAGATACAATACATATTTTGTAAATTTTTATTTTTCATAATCCCATAAGTCTAATGTAGTAGTCTTTTTTCACGTCGTGTGTACGTTGAATGGTCTTGCACAATACAATGGGAATAAATTATAATACTTTGGCTACACTTGCAGGGTAAAAAACACTACAAGTGTTTGAGTAAAAACGAGGCTGCTAGCTTTCTTCCTTTTTTGGTTACGCTTGGAGCATTGGTTACACATTCATGTTTTCATGTAGATTCTCATAATTATTAAGAATACAGTTATTTTTTTGAAAAGGAAGCAGAAGCCTCGCTTCCACTCACCCTATTTCGCCGTTAAATCATTATTTTTTGTTTTATCTTTATTATTCCTTAATATTCTCGATTAACTCGTGTGTAGCCGTATAAAATAGGAAATGATCGCAAGTCAGGCCTACCTGACTCATTGTTCGGAATGATTGCGCCCTCGCGACGAGCGAAAGAAATAACAAAATATATCCGTAAAGTAAAAAATTTCACTTAAAAACACATAGTACAAGATTGAAATGTTAATTAATCTTTTCGAATACAATACATTCGTGCGCGAGGTTCATAGCTATAATAAATAAAGAGCGGATATGCGCCTAGTCTAATCTAAGTGTGTGTGATCTTTGAAGCCGGTGTCTGCCTAGCGTTCTCGTTTGTGATTTCTATTTCAGGTTTTTAATTGATTTTAAACCTTCGTAAAAAAGCGTGAAAGACAAGCGAACACGGGCTAAGTATCACACACACTAAAAGTAGATTTTAAAAACGTTGCATCTTATACAAATTACGGAGCAAGTTGTTTAAGTTTTAATATTTTTATAAGAAACAGGAAATTATAACGCCTCTGCCGTCATTTTCCACAGTTGGTATTGTTTGTTGAAGACAAACTGCACGAGTAATAAACGCATAAAGCTGCGTTGCCCTTCGACAGAGGCCGTGTCTTCTTCTCTTCTTTCTCTTCTTTTGTGAAAAGGAGTGAAAGGATGGTGTATGCGGGAATAATAATAAAAATAGCAATAATAAAGGTTCAAAACAATGAAGAATGACAAAGGGATGATGATTGATGCGAAGGGAATTGGACCATTGTTGGAAAGGCGCTGGCGTTTGCTCTCCTTCTGTTCCTCGTCTCCGTAATAACGCAGAATGTGTGTGAAGTAATAGAAAGTGCGCGCTGCTGCGGCTGCCGATCGGTGCCGAGCATTTAGAAGCACTTCCTGTGGACGATTGATGGACCGGACTCGTCGTATTCTTGCTTGGAGATCCACATCTGCTGGAAGGTCGAGAGGGAAGCGAGAATAGAGCCTCCGATCCAGACGGAGTATTTCCTCTCTGGTGGTGCAATGATCTTGATCTTCATGGTCGATGGGGCAAGAGCGGTGATTTCCTTTTGCATTCTGTCGGCGATTCCTGGGTACATGGTGGTGCCACCAGACAAGACAGTGTTGGCGTACAAGTCCTTACGGATGTCGACGTCGCACTTCATGATGGAGTTGTAGGTAGTCTCGTGGATACCACAAGCTTCCATACCCAAGAACGAGGGCTGGAAGAGAGCCTCTGGGCAACGGAAACGCTCATTGCCGATGGTGATGACCTGTCCATCGGGAAGCTCATAGCTCTTTTCCAAACTGGACGAGGAAGCAGCAGTGGCCATCTCCTGCTCGAAGTCCAAAGCAACGTAACAGAGTTTCTCCTTGATGTCACGTACGATTTCACGCTCAGCGGTGGTGGTGAAGCTGTAGCCTCTCTCGGTGAGGATCTTCATGAGGTAGTCGGTCAAGTCACGACCAGCCAAGTCCAAACGAAGGATAGCGTGAGGGAGAGCATAACCTTCGTAGATTGGGACGGTGTGGGAGACACCATCACCGGAGTCGAGCACGATACCGGTGGTACGACCGGAGGCGTACAGCGAGAGCACGGCCTGGATGGCGACGTACATGGCGGGCGTGTTGAAGGTCTCGAACATGATTTGCGTCATCTTTTCACGGTTGGCTTTAGGGTTGAGGGGAGCCTCGGTCAAGAGAACTGGGTGCTCCTCGGGGGCAACACGAAGTTCATTGTAGAAGGTATGATGCCAGATCTTCTCCATATCGTCCCAGTTGGTGACGATACCGTGCTCGATGGGGTATTTCAAGGTGAGGATACCTCTCTTGCTTTGGGCCTCGTCTCCTACGTACGAGTCTTTTTGGCCCATACCGACCATGACGCCCTGGTGACGCGGCCTTCCGACAATGGATGGGAAGACGGCGCGGGGTGCGTCGTCACCGGCGAAACCGGCTTTGCACATACCGGAGCCATTGTCAACTACGAGCGCAGCAACTTCGTCGTCACACATTGTGATTGGGTTTTAACCTGGAATCAAGACAAAAAGGAATGAATTAGTTTTTTTTTCATGACACGATTGAATTAAAAATTGAAAATCATTAAAAATCAAGGAGCCTTGGGCAGAGTTTATTATTAAGAAAATAAATTTCATTGATAGACAGTTGAATTTTTTTTGCAAGTCACGCTAATTTCAAGGCTCGGCATACCGCTCACACAAGAAAATCGGGTCATAACGTAAATGTGCATGTACATCGAGAATATCACGAGTACTTGCACGGTAGCTAAAAATGCGCCAAGAATGCTACTTTGAAACAATTGCAAAAATAAAAAAGAAGAAAAGATTACATTACAAGGCTCGTGCGTTACGCGCCGCAAGAATTCAATATGTAAGCAATAATCGAGCGATGATCTGTGCGCGCTGATTTGGCGTGACTCATGGAGCAAACATTCGCGAAATTTTCCAAGTCAATACGAGTACGAGTAGCAGTATGTAGACCGCTCATGATTCACGCTCTCGATTATGTACGTTACGTATGCCGTGTAAGATTCGAGATACGCAGACTTAATCATATGACTTGGAAGGGAGCTCTCAGACGTTCGTAGACTATAGCGTCGAGACATGTTACTCTTTTTCTACTCATTTTGCAGATAATTCTCATTCGCACACACACTCAGACATGTTGGTCGTAAGAGAAAGCTAAGCCTCGCGCGGAGCCCCGCGGTTCTGATTTTTTGCGTACACGCCGGAGCGCGAGAGAATCACGTGACCGGCACGTTCTATAAAATGGCTAACCACCTTCTTTCGTGTTGTCGTTTTCTCTCTTTCTCTTCGTTCGTTCAATTTCTTTCTCTCTCTTTCTCGTCGACTCAAGGCTACGTTATATTGGAACAGCGCAAGCAAATGAAATATTTAACGAATCGTACAAACACACATAAACGCGATCTCGCCGCAGCACAGGCAGAAGAGAGAAGAAGAGGAGTCGGGAGAGAGAGAGAGAGAGAGAGAGAATATTCTAGGCGCGTCCCGTGATCCGAGCGACGAAGAGAGAAAGAGGCAGCAGCAGCAACGCAGGCATAGTAGCGGGATTCACGGGATTTTGCCGGCAACCGCACCCTGCCCCGCCCAGCCCCGGCTACCAACGGTCGATAGCTGTGGCTGCTGCTGCCGCTGCTGCTCGCTGTATATGCTGCTCTCGCTCTTTCTCTCTCTTTCTGCGATACTCGCGCCGGAAATCCGACAATGCCGTATCGCAGACTTTCAATGTCTGTGTATGTCGTACAAAAAGATACCGAGAGAGACTATGCTTCGAGCGGCAATTTTTTTTGCGAGGGCGTCGACGTTAATTAACGAGATACTAGAACGTTGCGAGCGGAGATATGAAATTTCAAAAATAAAAGAGAAGGCTTCGCGTCGACGAATAGAAAGTTCGGTACGGTATACTTTGAAAGTTATGCGCGAGCGACGCTAGTACGATCGATTTTGAAATGGAAGGATTGAGTCGCGAGAACGGATTTCATTCAAATATTTGCTGTCGCAGCGTGACGTTAACTCGACGCGCGATACGCGGAATAATGCCACATGAGCTAATTCGCATTAATTGAACGAACGAAAAAAAAAAAAAATTTTCACTCAAGCACAAAACCAAGTCACGCGGGGCTTCTTTCTTAGCACGCGCCTCTCTCGTCACAAGCCGCATAAAATGGAAGCCTTCGCAGCCGGTACAGGGCGCACGAGTGCGGCGTTGGCGGCGGTGTTGGCGGCGTCGTCCTTAATATATATTTTTTTCTACCCGCACACAAATGAAACTTAGCTCGATGGAACTTCCATGAATCAAAAAAAAAGTTCATTATGTTTCTTTAAAAAAAAAACTAGAAGCACAATTCACGATAAAGAGCACTCGGAGTAACGAACAACAGCGAGCGGTAGTTTCTCGCGGAAATATTTCCTCTTCCTCTTTCGAAACACACCCACTTGGAATGCTTGAAAACTAGGGTGGCAACTGCCCACACCTTACGTCGACTAATGGATAATTTTCTGATCACTCTTAGAAAAAAACACACACAACTATTAGAAATAAAATTTGACACACTACGCTGCGTACGAATCTTGCACCAGGGGGATGGTTCTTATAAGTAGAAGTAGAAAAAATATCCAGCCTCCGCTGGGACGACAACTCGGTAAACTTACTTTTCACGTTAAAAAAAGAAGAGAGATCAAAGTCGTGCCGGCGACTTGGGAAAAACTTATGTACAAAGCTGTGTTGAACTTTGTGTGCGTTGAACGGGCTCGGAGCACCGAATGACGGCTCGGGGTTTGCGGATCGTGATGATATAGCCGCCGATGCGAGGCGCTACGTTGCCGTCTCCCTACCCCCACGTCGCGCCGATGGCCCATCGACGTGCCATCGCAGCAAGCAGCAGCGACGTCCCCTCTCTCTCTCTCTCTCTCTCTCTCGCTCTTCGCGCCGCACATATATACATACGTATTTTGTTCAAGTGCTCCTCTATGTGTGTGAGTAAGTTGCGCGCATAACAATCACAATAATGCCGAAAGCAGCCGTGTGTGTAGTATTAGCAGTAGTAGTAGTAGTATGTAGTAGTATAGTAATCGAGACTCGTGCGCCAGTGGATTTTACCATATACGGCGAGGTTCTAGCCTGGCCGTTTTTAGGCAGCCTTTCAAGACCAAATATACATCATCATTGCTCGGCGACGATGATCCTCGCTTAAATACGTGTATCGACGCCGTTCAAACGGTACGAGTAACTTTTTGATGATGCATTTTTCGAAGAAATTTAGCTAAGAGAGACGAGAGCTGCTCTTTTTTTCCTCTTTCGTTCAAAGTTTCACTCGCAGGTATTTCGAAGTCGAGAGAAGTAACTTACTGGAATTTCCAAACTGATAACGCTTATACTTTTATACGCGATTGATAAATTTTATTCTCATTTTTTCTTTTTTAAATCATCAACTCGTCATTTAGCGATTTTGGTTACTCCATACAAGACTTATCGATTTCCGCGTCACGAAGTTTGTCGAAACATCGAGGCAACGTTGCAACGAAGGATTTCGTAATTGTAATTTATAAATAATAATATGGTCCGACAAAACGATTCTTTGTGTCGTGTTTGGGCATAACAAACTGCCTCAATGAAACTGATATTTGTTATACATTTGCATTTTCATCTGCAAGCTGTCGGACGTTTATTAAAGCGACGGCTGTTTGTATATTTTTACTATCAGCTGTTTATCATTTCGTGTGTGTGTATGTCGCGAGTCGAGAGAGAGAGAAAAAACACAACACGCCAGTGTGTACGTGTGTGTTTGTACGCGCGTGTATCATCGATGACTAAGTTTGGTTTGTTTTTCCGGCGCGAGTTAAAAGGAAGTAGCGCATTTTTAATTCATCATCATATATATGCTAGTTGCACGGAAAATTTGCTTGTAATTTTGTCATTCGCAAAAAGAAGAAGAAGAAGCAGCAATGAGTGACGAGCTCTGATTAATCATCCGCGCATTGATCCAACATTCTTTTTTTTCGTGCAAAGATTATCTTCGCGAGCGCGTACAAGTCATCGGTCGTGAAATAGCCATTTTCGGTCATGTGTCAAGAGAGCGAGAAGCGAAAAAGACACGATATCTTTGCGCTGTTATGTAATTATTGTCGGTGCAAATCGTCGATTTAAGGCGCGATAGAACGAGGCCAATTTAGAGCGATTGGTCAGAGCTTATCGTCGACCGTTCAAAACCCCTTTTGAATGAACAAAAGTCCGAAAATTCTCGATCGTTCCGGCAATGGACTGTGGCGAGTAAAAAAGGACTTGGATGCACGGAGGCGCGCGCGTCAATGGGGTACTCGTAACTGCGACCGGCAACGGTGCTGCGGTACAAGTCGGAGCATTGCGTGCTGTAAAATGGCAAGCTCACGTACGATGCAGCAGCAGCGACAGCGCATTCCGATGCGTCTGTGTAGCAAAGGGCTCGGCCGGCCACACTGGCTACATACGTTTATAGATGTGTAATGCAGTCGCGGCGACTCGCGTAGCCACGTGCTTTATACTCCATAATACTTCTCTCTCCTTTTTGCGACGCAATGGGATTCTCGGCCGATGGCGAGGAATATTGCGCGCTGAAAACACGGAGGAAAAATGCGTTTGTTGCACGAGTCTTTAGAAAGTATTCGTGTTGCAGCCAGCCACGAGCTCTCGTATTGCTACGACTCGTGCGCGCTTACATACGCGTATTTTACAGAATAAATAATGTATGCGGTACGCATGCAAGCCTCGGGAAAGCTTTAATGAATTATTAACCCAGATTGTTTGAGTTGGCGAGCGCGCGTTACTCAATACGATAACATTGATATTATTATAAATACTTGCAGAGAGCCAATAAAGATAAGAATTGTATATGAACGTGTACCGAGCGTGTGAAAATAGAGAAAAGTAAGTGCACATTTGCACAGAAACTTAACTAAATGTGCTGGCTGATGACTCGAGAGAAAAAGAATAAATAAAGGAAGAAAAAAGAAGCGAAGAGTGAAGCGTCAGTTTTGAAAAATATATACCGGCCGTTGCTGTTGCTGCTACGCGTTTACATACGTGCGTAAATGCAGAAATGGGTGCGAGAGCCCTGGCATGCTTTCTGCCCTATACCGCACGCAAGGCGCGTACTATACACACGCAGCAACTGCAGTTCGTGTGCAGTCGAGTGCACTAGTCTTTTTTTTTTTTTTGCTTCTGTCGACGGGAACGAACGGAAAGCCTCATTTGCCGTAGCGCATACAGTAGGTAGTATAGTAGTCGTAGTACTATGAGCAGTATGTACCGAGCAGACCCATAGAACACGCGCCGGAAGGGAAGCACGTAACGCGTTTCTCTCGCTGCAAGTACACATGCACACATCGCAGCGGACTCAGCTTTGAGCCAGAGAGTCGATGTTTCGCGCGTAGCTTCGAAAAAATATATACAAACGCCACTGTTGAATAACGAAGCTTCGCGCTTAAATGGCTATTAAATCGTCGTTAATCACGATGGTCGGAAAAAGGGGCTCGTCGAACGCGTTATTTGGCACGGCGTCAAGCGCGTCGACGGCTCTGACCTAGGCGCCGCGCTATCCGCAAGTTTATAAATATATGTCGTACTATAAGCCGAGCGAGTATCAACAACTTATAAATAGCTGAAAAACCACCGACTGTTTACACGAGTCGTCGACGATCGAGTATACGGAATAGAGACGAGGAGAGAGAGAGAGAGCGAAAACCACCTGATACAACTACGGCGATCAGCGACTGCAACCTGCCAGCCATCGGCGGCATTAGCAGCAGCAGCTCGGTGGCTTTTCGCGCGCGCGTGGGAATGCGCGTGTCCGTTATATGCTGTTGCTGCAGCTACTTGCCCGTGAGAGAAAGAGGCTGATAAAAAGATGTTTTACTGTTAATAAGCGTACGTACGTACTCGTACGCGAGGACTATTTTTCTTAGCTAGACACGAGATCATTTGACGTTTGTGCTGAATGCATGATCGATCGCCATTATTCATTCGAGTGATTTTTCTTTTGCGCCCGATAGCTATTTTCAGGAGCTTATCCGGCTGGTATAGTTTACCGATTGGATGCGAATCGACGAAAGAAAAAAAGCTCGATGAGAGATTTTGTAGTCTCGAGGGCTAGTAAACGCGAGGACCGCATCGAGCACCCTAACCTTGAACGCGGCTCTCTCGAGGCATGGCCGAACGAGCCCGGCTCAGGCTGGCACAGATATTCGGCGCCACTATTCCATTACTCAACTTTACTCGATAGTACAATATCGTCGTAACATTTGCAATATGAATCAACGAGGTACAAGTACGTCGAGCCGAATAAGGAGGAAAAATCCGAGGAATCTATAGAATGAATCAAGTCTCGCGAAGATAAGAAAATCCCGGCTCGAGGTCCCCACCCAAGTCCGGCGAATTCAATACTTATATGTATATAGAGGAGCGGCGCGCGGCAGTACTACAAACCCCCGTGTGTCCAACGCCTTATACGGCGAATTTTGACGCAGCGTAGACTTCTCGGTACGCGTGCACACACATACACCTATGAAAAAATGACAAAAGCTTGTTCGTGTCTGTTGAAACGAGCGCGTATATAAGCAGATGAAGGCGAAATTCGATTCGAGTTTTTGAAAATCGTCGGCGAGAGCAACGCCCTGCGCTGCTGCTGCTGTAATGGCCGCTGCTCTCTCCGCCAGCTATACACACACACACACACACGATCTTACGGGCGAATTCACGGACGCCGCGCGACATACACGTATGCCGGCATTTTCATCGCACCTCGGAACAGGCCGGCTGGCAGGGACGAGGCACCTTGGCTCCAAAATCCTGTGCCGTGTTAGTGCCACGTCGCCAAGGTCGCAACGGTTTAACGATCAAAAGCCGCGAGCGTTACAGAGGCTCGCGGTCGCGCGCGCGTTTTCGATCAACGGCCCAAAATCGTTAAATGTTCAGCAAGAAAAGTCAAGAGGAATAAAAAAAAAAAGTAAAATAGAGAACAAGACGCCCAAGGCTCGACATGTTTGTTTGCTTTTCGGCTTCTCTCTAGTGCGAGCGTGTTTTCTTGGCTTTATCAAATGTCTAATGCACAGAGTTCTAATATTATGTACGATATAGATAAACATAAATACCTCGTTAAGAGAAAGAAAGAGATATACGGGATGAATCGGTCTGGTAGACGTTAGCACACGCTGCTGTTGCTGCTGCTCTCGGATAAACTGCCGTGCTGCTATGTGACAGGATAGCTTCGTCGTGGCACACACTACTATAAGGCTGCTTTTGCCAGTACAAACGGTCGCGCGAACGTGCGTTTGCTGCTGCTGCTGCTGCTGCTGCTGCTTACCAACACAACTCGCGTGTATTCACACACGTACGGGGGCAGGCAGATATCGCTCCGTCTCGCTCTCGCTCGTGGCGGGTGGCGCGCCAACGAGGCCGTCTCTTTCTATCTCGAGCGCTCGAAATCGGCGACTCGACGCCGCCGGCCCCCGAGCTTTACCGGAGATCCTTTCGCGTTGCGAATATATGTGTGTAACGCGCACACGTCGTGTGTGTGGCGCGCCATGTTCGGGCTCGTTCGCGCTGGGTAGGGGCAGCTACGTGTGTTGATGTGTTTGCAGCCGTTTCGCGGCCCGCAGGGGAGGTCCGTACGATACGATATTGCGCGAGCTGAAAAAGGATGCCCGAACACCGACACACTTACAATTTCGATTCCTGTACACACGTATTATACATGTTCGTATTCGTAGACTCGTCCTGTGTCTCGACATGCCATTGATTTTCGTCTTTGGATCCTTCATCAAGGAGAAAATCTCTGCAGCAGAGCTGCTCATAAGCATGCATCATTATATTCATACGAGAGATAAAATATGCGAGTGCATCGGTACGAGTTGCGAATAACACGAGACGGCTGAGCGTGTACAGAGCCGGTATATCGGAGTCGGCATGAGTCGTCGTAAATGGACTCGTCCGCTCGATGCTTCCCCTCTTGGCAGTTGCGGGCTGCGCGCGCCAACTCTATATACTACGCTCTCTCTCTCTCCCCCCGTGGCTGTTAGCAGACGTCGTGCCTCGGCAGCAGCAGCAGCAGCAAAATCGTCGTCGTCGTTGCCATATATGGGCATAAAACGAAGCCGGCTCGCTGATTGGTCGGTTACCGCCGTGCCGGCTCGCTTCTTGTCTTTCTCGCGCGAGCTCGCTTATGTGTATATACAGTGTGCTATATAGGTCTCTGCTGCTGCTGACTACGTCGTTGTATAGGTCCGTTGCGCGCTTACGTGTGCGAAAATGTGTGCATCGTGTGTATATAGTAGTATAGTATACTATATGTGGCCCATGCGCCGCGTGCTGCACGAGTCTCTTGTACTTATAAGCCAGTGCCAGGCCGATAACGGCTAGCTGTGCCTCATATGCTTGCGTGACTCGTAGCCTCCAAAGAGAGAGACAGAGACAGAGACGTGTTATATGCACGTTTTCACGCATTCCGCACTAACGCCGAGAGCCAAGAGATGACTGACTTTTTGCATAGCGCACAATCATACATATAGGATCGCGTCAGAGCTTCGAGAAGCGGATTCGAGGACGATGTGCAATAATATTTTTCATCGATTACGAGCGAGCGTCACTCGAGTAACGCGACTGATTATTCGCGCGCGACGTACAAAATTAAGAGTTCGGCTGAACGCCCGCACGATATTTAACTCGAATTTAAACAGAGCTAAGGTAGTAAGGGCATGTCCGGTGGCGTGGGCGCGACACTGCCAGTTACAGTACTTGGCTCCTGCAAAATGTGCCGCTAATATAGACTGGTACAAGCGTGGGCTTGCATTTCTTTGGCAAAAAGTGCCCACCCTAGCGATTATCTACTGCTTCCTTGACGTTGAAGTTTTCGGAGCATTTATCTTCATACGCCCGTACAATTTGATCGTCTCGAGTCCTGCGATTTTGAGTTACACTTCAGCATTCTAAACCTCCAGACGATAGACGATGAGCGTCGAAGTAGCTTATAGGATATATTTGGACGTATAATCAGCTCGATGATGTCATTCTCGGCGTCTCCCCGATCGCGCGCTAGTGATTGCAACAACAACGAGAAGAGAGAAAAAAAGAAATAAGAAAAATATGCATAATATGGCCGCTTTGTAGGCTGCGAATTCGCTCGGCGGCGCTCGAGCTCGTGCTGCACAGCCTGAGAATTCGCTCGTTCCGCGTGTTGCGGCAGAGCACGAGTAGCTGCTGACTACTGCGCGAGACCTCGATCTCTCACACACACACAGAGTCATCGATAATAAAAGCCTTAAATATTTTATCAAACGACGTTTTATCGTTGGCGCTCGTGGAGAGTCGAGTCTGCGATAGGTATGTGTTGTATATATGTAGAGTCGACCGTGCCAATTGCGTAATGTCATTCTCTGCCGATGTACGAATTGACGATCGACGTGTCTAATTCGTCGATGACTTTTTTGTCGCATTGCTCAGCTTAGAACGTTGCAAGCTCGCAAGTGCACCTTACTCATCTCATATATTTCTTCGAGTCAAGTATCGAGAAGAGGAAAAGTCGATCGACTCAAAAAATCAGCGAGCCGTGTAAAGAACGTTCGATGTGCATCTCTTTCACTGCGTACGACTACTTATGCAGACGCGCGTGTGTGTGTACGTACCTGGCCGTATACCAGTATATATATCAGCAGTAGAGTAAACCGAGTCCAGAGGATAATGAGAGAAATTCTGGCGCATAATTAGGAAAAACAGCTTCCTCGCGGAGCGGATGTACACGCGCGTGTGTTCCACGATCTGAAATATATTTAAGAAATATATTGAAGAAAGGGGAGAATTTCGAAGGAAAGAATTGTACGTACGAGTTCCTGTACACCTACTATACAGCGAGATAGCGCCGATCACGCTGTAGAAGCGCTTAAAGCCCCCGAATAAAGTCATTTCCAACGGCGCATCCGTGTAATATAAATTCGATCCTTGGTGTTGTACATATCGCGTCTGTATATTAACGGTTTATTTATTCGCGAAATTCCTGACCCAATGGCAGACACGTACCGGACGTGTACTTGCGCCAATTACGCATGGGCATTAATATCACATAGAAAATGCCGCAAACCAAACTCATTGGTTCTCTTTCGATCGATGATCGCTGACCGTTGTACCGATTTCGTATAATTATTTTTGTCCCATCTTCTACTCGTGGAAACGAAAAGTGTCTGCCTCGTAAGCAGAAAATGCTCAAAGTATAAACTTTTTGTCAAGGTAACTCGTGTTATATATACGTGTGCATATACGAGCTGATGCCATCAACGTTATAAGCCCATCGGTTATACGCTCATTTAACTCTTCTCTCTCTCTACTCCGTATAGAATGGCGTGCGATGCCAGCTCGGCGGCCCGAAACCCGATCGAGGATGCGCGAAAGGAAAAGAAAAGAAAAAAAAAATTACGAGACTAAGCACAATATAGTCAGACTGCTATATGCTATAGAAGCTATATGTATGTATAAGAAGCAGGTGAAACCGAAAACTTGAGGTGCTCGTGTGCGTGAGTGTGCTACATAGACATGCACACGTATAAGGTATACTCGCGAGTTTTATATGTGTAATACTATTCGAAGAAATGAGGCCCCTTGTTTTGTTTCGCCAATGAGTGTAGGTGTGTGCGAATATGTGTGCGTGTGTGCGAGTTCGCGTCGTCGAAGAAGAAGACCAAGAAGAAGAAGAAGCGTCAGCTCGACGCGCTTTAAAAATTTTTTTCCTGCGTATTAAATACGGCGTATTTAAAAAAGTTTTCGATCATGCCGCGCGGCTCGTTGCGCTAATTGAGTTATTCGAAGTAAAGTCGGAATTTGGCTACAGGTAAAAAAATGAAAGAAGCGACGATTCGCACATATGTAGGTCGATAAATAGCCGATATATATAGCGAGCGTCAGATCGGAGTTTTTTTTTTATCGGAGCCGCCGCGAAACAAACGAAAGACTCACGAGTATACGAGGCACAGTTGTTGTGCTGGGCCTGCTCTCGCCGATAAGTATATCATGTGTGTACGCAAAGCTGTGAGAAAACCACGCGCTCGGCAACTCGTGCAGTCACGAGCTCGCACTTTGTTGTACCGAAATATATACAGATTTACGCTCGTGCATTACCGCGACGAGGCTCGCACTCACACGAGCCCACATGTGTTGTTTAAAAGCATCGTAACAATAAGAACGAGGCGTTTCTCTGTCGTTGAAACGGGCAGACGGCCAATGCTCGCTCATCCGCGTCTAATCATTCAGAACTCGCTCTCGCTCCATTTGTGTGCGTGCGTGCTCTCTGTGCTATGTACCTCTTACTGCGATCGTATATGAAAATGCTCGGCCCAACGCTATATATACGCTACGAGTCGCTATTGATCGCTCGAAACTCGACGTTACGATTGTACAAAGGAAGTGTGCGTGTGTGTGCACTTTCGTGGCTGGCTATATACGTATAGGGCTCTTATTTGCTCGATTAATTAGCGACCGATGCGATCGCAGAGAGAGAAAACAAAAGGGAAGTCACTTGAAAAATGAAGAAAAAGGAATGCGAGGGCACATATCGTGAGAGAGAAAGCGAGAGCTTTTCTGCCGGGCCTCGAGCTTGACATTTTTATCCATACTAACGTGTAATTTATATCAATACATTCGAGAGATTATACAGCACTGCGAATTTCTTTCCATGCATCTTTTTGCTGCTCAATATGCATAGCCTATTTTCTTCGCTTGCCCAACGTTGCGCATTGCTCCGAGAGCCAAAAAAATCTCGTGCCAGCTAATCGATGCAAGCTCGAATAATTTACTATTAAAAAAAAAGCATGTGTTTATCAGCGCCGAGGTCTAACGTCCGATGAAAAAATCAATGAAGCTCGAGTTCGCGATACATAAATGCATCGATGAAGCAAGACGATCGCGACGCGAAGGAGGAGGAGGAATAACACACGACGACGAGCAAACAATCGTAAGATAAAAAAGCACTGGCCGATCGATTTCTCTCTTTCTTCGACTACCGCGAATTGTTGCATCTCGTCGGCTAGAAATAGACTCAAGGTCGAGGCTACGCGAGATAGATAAGCTCGCATATATTATCGTCTGCGCAGGCTCCATCGATTATTATTACCTCATTTTTGCAATAGATTTATCAAGCGCGCATGATCTCACAGCACTCGAATCGACTCAAAGAAGGTTTACGAGCTGGCAAGCGGCCGCTCGAAACATAAACGAAGGGTTGAGTCGCGGTGAAAAGAAAACTGCTGCTATACCGTGGCTATGTAACACGTGTGCAGCGGCAATGCGA